ATATATATATATATATATATATATGAAAGTCGACCTTCGCAATTCTTTGAATTATTGATTATAAAAATGGTCAAGTTTCTTAGAAACTAATTTTTGGTGCTGAACATGTATGTTAGCATGTTTTGTCATCATTCTACACAAACCTTAAGTTCAATTTAAGTATATACTCAAATGATCCCAAGGAAGCTTTATGGTTGGTCAAAGTTGAAAATTTTTGCCCTGAATAAATGTCGAAATTTATTATTTTTGAAAATGCATCAATCAAATAAAAATTCGCAAAAAGTTGAAAACGATTAATAATCGCGACAATCTAAGTTCAAAGCCTAAAAGCTCCCTTAATTTTGTCGTATTGTGAACTAGCCTATAGGTGTAAATCTGTTTGAATAGCTTGTATATCAATGTTTACAGTATGTACTACGTCACATTGTAAAAAAGCGTCAGGAGTTCTGAGAACTACCTTCTTATTTACTATAGACAAGCAATACAGTAACACCTAGTAAGAGTGATTAACGGAGGGGCGGAGCCCGGGCTTCGTGGGGGGATGGCAACCTAATGTCATTTCTTGGAACCTATTAGGCTGCCGAGATCCAAATTAATTATATTAAGTAAATATATTAATTATGGTTTCCAATCTTTTCCGGATCAATTCCGTATCGGAAATGTTAAAAATTCCTGAAAATGTTAAGAATTCAAGACGAAAAAAAACTGTTGGCAAGGAGCTGAGTTTTTGCCACAAACTCTGATTTTCTAATCCCTTTATCTGTGCAACTCAAGTCGTGAACCCTAGATATTTCAAACTATAAATTCTGGTATATTTAATGTTCAAAGTTTAAATATCAAAGGTTTTCACCATCAAGCTGCGGATATATAGGATTTAGAAAATTTGAATTTGTGGTTGAAACCTTCTTCAACTAAATAACGAATCACTAAAATCTTAAAACCTGTACACTACTAGTTACGACCTGCTAAACCTGTACAATACTAGTTACGACCTGCTAAACCTGTACACTACTAGTTACGACTGTACACTACTAGTTACGACATGTTAAACCTGTACACTACTAGTTACGACCTGATAAACCTGTACACTACTAGTTACGACCTGCTAAACCTGTACACTACTAGTTACGACCTGCTAAACCTGTACACTACTAGTTACGACCTGCTAAACCTGTACACTACTAGTTACGACCCGCTAAACCTGTACACTACTAGTTACGACCTGCTAAAAAAAGGTTTACCATTTTTCCGGACCAATTTCATATAGACTAATCTTTCCGCAAACGACTTTAGTTCCGAGTAGTTTTTGAGTAGCTTCCGGAAAGGATCCGAAAGACCAAATTGATCCAGAAAATTATAAACGCATTTAATATAAAATATTATGGGTATAACAGTATCTATATATACACTTGCAATTATTTCAGGAATTTTATTTTGTAAATATTAATATTTTTTTAAACTTACATTAAACAGCGGGGGTAATAAATTCTTCACATTTTTATAAACATGACTAAATTGCATTTATATAATAAATATTCTATTTATGAAATATATATTCTATACTTCTAGCTAAATATTATATAATTAGTAAAAACCTAAAAATTGCTTTAAAATGTTTCTCGAGCTTTAAATATATATATATATATATTTTTTATTAAAAATCAGTGAAGTTAATGTATTATTTGTAGTAAATTATACAATATATAAGGTATAATTATAATTATAAAAATAATATTTAGTTTTTCTGTATTTTATCAATTCATTATCATATATTTATTCCTGGCTAAAAGAAAGTTACAGAATTATAAAATTATGAAACACCAAAAAGTTACGAAAAATCTAAATTTATTATTATAATCCTAATTTTCGAGTTTCCTAAGCCTAATCCAGACAAGGAACCAATTGTTACAAAGTTTAAAATTTATTGCTGATTCCTAATATTTTTATATTTGTTCATTGATGAAGATCTAGGACGGTAATTTTTTAAAGAGACAATTTATCAAATATTAAATTCTATCATATATTCATAATTATTATTCATATGGATTTTAATAAATTACACAGAAAAATGTTTGCAAAATAATTAATCATTGAAATACGCATGCTGGGTATAATTAATAAGACTTTTTTAACTTTAACATCTGTATTAAAAAAGTCTTATTAATTATACCCAGCACGCGATGTTTCTAAATTCTAGCACATTTTCAAAGTTGTCCAAGGATTATAAAATTAAAGTTTTTATATAATTCCTTTATTGACAATACAACACAGAAATGCTTCAAGGGTATTAAATTTCTAGTTTGCATCTTTATTCTAGACGCAAAAATAAGATATTTTCAAGAGAAAGGTGTTGACTTAAAAATTTTCACTAACAAGGGTTCATTGTGAGAGCATTAGAGGGGGAATTTTCTAAGAAAATAAACAGAATATGTGACGTCACCATCATTCGTCATTCTTAAGAATCTTTCGAGAATTTGATTTCTAATAATAGATTTATTTTTTTAGTAATGCTGCAATGGCGATGACGATGGGACGAGGAGGAGAGGATGAATCTGATGATGAGGATAGGATCAGGGATGAGAAGGAGGAGAGGAGGGAGAAGAATAGGATCTGGAGAGAGAACAGGGAGAGGGAGAGGAGAAGGATGACAGGAGAAACGTCGGATGATGAGAAGGAGGAAGATGATTTGAACTCGGTTAGTTCTCATATCTCTCAGGTTCAATCCTTCCTAACCTGCTCCTCGTGTCAGGAAGGGCTTTCAGGACGGATCTGGCAATGTGGGTTGGGTCATCCGGTCTGTAGAGATTGTGTGGATGAAAGCTGGTTGGAGCATGACTCCAACTCATCCCAAACCGTGAGCAGAACCATATCATCCATGGATGGTAGATCCACAACATCGGATGACTCCCTGAAAGGTTTTATAGAACAGATGAGTGAGAATGAACTTACAGATTTTCTGGATTCAACTTCAGATTTATCCAGTCACGTGACCTTCAGTGGTCCAACCCTAGCGGAGAGAAATATTCCTGAGATTGACTGGTTTCTCAATACTCTAGATATCAAGAAGGATGCTATTAAACCTTACTATGATTATCATAATGAGGAGCAGGAGGAGGAGAATGAATCAACTGAAGATGATTCTGATAATGACACAGACACAACCACTGGAGAAAGGGAGGACAACCTTATACCAAAGGACGAGGTTGAAATGCTGAAGTTTGAGGCCACACGAAAAGCAAGACTTGCCACCTTTGATGAATCCGAGTCCGGAGAAGATTCGATCAATGCATCCGTCCTGAGCTTTAGCAAGCCTAGAGCTGTTATCCAACCTATAGACTGGTTTGAAGGTACTATTGAAGTAAAGAAAGATATTATCCAACCCTACTTCAACTACAGCTGTCCGGAGGAGGAGCTGAGGAACGTTAAAATCTCCGACGAGGTCGAGATTATCCAGACGGAAGAGGAGGCTCGGAACAGTCGGCGGAGTAATATTTGTCCGACCTGTTCTACTCCAATCATAGGACGGAATCTTTTCTTGGAAAGCGTCATCGCAACTGTTAACAAAAATCCATAATATTTTTATCGAACTATTTTGCAAAAATTAGATGGTATAGTAAATTTTTAAGAACAAATATGAGCAGAAATAAGAAGGGAGGGGGTAGGGTTTTTTTTTACATTTAGCTTAGATGTAATGGGGAGCTCAGGAACTATTTTAACAAAATCACAGATTATAAACAGGGATTGTTATTCCTGTGCAGTGTTCGCTTCTTTCTAAAAATTGCTTTTTATTGAAAAAAATAGTTTTAAAGTTACTCCTTAGTCCTTATACATCACAGTAAACAAGTGTAATTACAAACCCCAGCCATTCTCTTTAGTCCTCACTCCAATTTGACTGAAGCACTAAACACATTACTTTTTAAATTTAAAATGAAATTTTATAATAAATTAGTAATTCAATATATAAAAATGTTAAATAAAAACGCAAAAGAACTAAATGTTAATTGTATCTTTCATATTTGAATAATTAGGAACCTTTTATAAAACATCTGTTTTCCATTCAAATTAATTACCTGAATATATAGGAGTTACTGTACACTGTACAGGGGCATATTCAGGAATTTGTCTAGGGTGTGGTTCTTTTTTTTTTTTCTTTCGGGGGGGGGGGCTCAGCACCCCCTGTGGTCTAAAAACCCCCTGAAATCAAAAGAAACTGGTCCAGGGGGGGCTTAGCCCCAATAACCCCCCCTGAATATGCCTCTAACACTGTACAGTGAATTAGTAGAACCAAATGATGTTTACAACATAAAGCTAAGCGGAAAAAATTGATTGTCAACCAGGGGGATGATAGTTCTGTACCTGTGTGCTCAGTTAGCTGTACTGTACAGTGTACACTTACAACTCTTTACTAATATTGATATATTATAGGTTAGGCCAGAATCAACTTATAATAAACAAATATGCAGTACGCTTAGTTTATGGCCTATAAAATTAGTAAAGGATTAGCGTACATCATCACTCTATACACTATAACCTCGTTGTTGTCAACTCATAAAGATAATTATGAAATTAACTTTAATTTGCGTACTTAATTGAGTTTATTGTGAACATCAAACTGTTGCTTAGAAAACATCTAAAGGTTATTGTAAACGTTTGCAGTGGATTACATTCCTTAAACATATACGTATAAAAACTTGATAAGCTTATCGTGAACAAATCATTGTTCATTGTTTAGACCAGAAATACCTTCCACACTATTGACCAGATTGAGCAGATAAAGGTTTCAAGAGTATTAATGTGAATCGGGCATTGCCTTCTTTCTGTAAGTTCTAGTATCATGGGATGTAATGTTTATTAATTGAAACTATGAGTTCTAGTATCCTGAGATATAATGTTTATTAATTGATACTATGAGTTCTAGTATCCTGGGATATAATGTTTATTAATTGATACTATGAGTTCTAGTATCCTGGGATATAATGTTTATTAATTGACACTATGAGTTATAGTATCCTGAGATATAATATTTATTAATTGACAATATGAGTTCTAGTATCCTGAGATATGTTTATTAATACACTCTGTAAGTTCTAGCATCCTTAGATATAATGTTTTTTTTAAGACACTCAGTATGTTCTAGTATCCTGAGATATGTTTATTAATACACTCTGTAAGTTCTAGTATCCTGAGATACGTTTATTAATACTCTGTAAGTTCTAGTATCCTGAGATATGTTTATTTAGAAACTCAGTATGTTCTAGTATCCTGAGATATGTTTATTTAGAAACACTGTAAGTTCTAGTATCCTGAGATATGTTTATTGGAACAATGTATGTTCTAGTATCATGATCTACAAATATAACTTTTTTGATATTGATAATTGTATTTTTCCATTTAAATCAGATAATTTTGCAATAATAGGATATATTATTTCAATCAGACATCTAATGATAACCTTAATTTTAACAACGACCAACTAAAACTTTATCTGTAATTAAATCTTTATAATTAATATTAAATTAATCCTAAGTAACTTCAAGGACTATAAGCGAAATTTTAAGCGCCCATTTATGCAAACATTGCAATGTTCCATTCGCAGCGATACCCTTGAAACCCCTGAAACTTCTTTCTGATAAATAATCTGTTCATTTTCTTAAAAACGCTAATTTTAAATTAAACACATGGAGGTCACAAGTGCAATTTTTTTTTAAGGCACAACCAAAGACAGTGTTTGGCACAACTATTTCTCTTAAAAATAATGTGATTGTTTTATAACTGAGGTAAATTATTAATTATACTTTTGAAAACGCCCCTGGTATGATTGGATCAATACACACTCTTGCAAAGGTGCATTAGTTTTGATAGAAAATCCAATACCCGGATACAACTAGTTCCTACAACGCATATATCCAGAGATAAGAATATACAACTTACAGTGCTAAGCCATCGAAGGAAAAACGTGATAGAATTATGTTTATTTGAAATCAGTTTATTGGTATAAAAATAGTTTACTGATGAAAAAGTTGTTAACAAAAATACAATATTTTTACAGACAGAGATCTATGTAATTATTATTTTAAGGATTTGTACGATAACGGCCTAGTCGTAATTTCTTCCTACGTGCAAGAAAATTTACAATAACAATAACATTGTAAAAACAACATGTCCGCTAATAAGAAATGCCTACAGGGGGTCCCGAAAAAGACTGGTTTATATGGGGTCCCAAAATAAACATGTCAAGAAGGTGTCTCGAAGCAAACTTCTGAAGGGTATTCCAAAATAGACTTGTCTACATGGTGACCCTAAATAGACTTATCTATAAGGTGTCCCGAAAACAACTTATCTATATGGTGTCCCGAAATAGACTTGACTATAGGGTGTCCCGAAATAGACTTGTCTACATTGTGTCCCGAAATAGACTTATCTGTAGGGTTCCCCGAAATAGACTTATCTGTTGGGTGCCCCGAAATAGACTTATCTGTTGGGTGTCCTGAAATAGACTTCTCTACATGGTGTCCCAAAATAGATTTGTTTACAGAGTGTCCCCAAAAAAGACATGCCTACAGGGGGTCCCACTAAATTATAGGATGTCCCAAAATAAACATGTCAACATGGTGTCCCGAAATAGACTTGTCTACAATGTGTCCTGAAAGACTTGTCTATAGGGTATCCCAAAATAGACTTGCCTACAAGGTTTCCCATAATAGACTTGTCTACAGAGTGTTACAAAATAGGCTGTTCTTCAAGGTGTCCCGAAATAGACTTAACTATAGGGTGTCCCACACAGGATTAACCCCTGCTGCAATGGCGTCCCAAAGGTAGTTTCTAACGAACTGCTTCGTAATCCCAGGGGTGGTGTAGTTGAAATCGAACACGTTTACGTCATCCTTCCTGGGGTTCAACACAAACCCCTGAAACATAAAAAATAAATTTATTTAGCATAATTCTGACGAATTTACTATTGTTAGGTTTGGTCAGGCATCTTTGTTTGATTCGTTTTTAAAATGTTTTTTGAATTTAAAATGTATTTGGCATGCAAACTAAAAATTCTTAATATTTAGTATGATTTACAATCCCATTAATATCTTATCAATAGTATCTAAGACGAAATGAAAAAGTTAAGACAAAGAATTTTAGTTTTTATGAATTCATTCCGACAATAAATCATATTTTTAGACTGTTTATAGAATACAACTAGAAACAAAGAAAACAGATGCATTTTATCCCTTGCATTCATGATTAAACTTGTTTTCATTCAACTTTTATTTATCAAAATAAACGATAGTATAAATAATCAAATGGGGTGGGGGGTGGGGAGGGAGCTAATCATAGATAAGAAAATAAACATAGATAGCTTATGTATGCAAAATCACAAAAAATTGAACAGTCCGCGAACTCATACTTCTAGGGGTCAAAGTGTACTTCAATGATAAGCGGGGTGGTTTGTTGTTTTAATAGATTTCATAATTATTAAACCACTCAGGAGTGAATTTAATTTTGAGAATATCAAATAATCAAATTATCATATTGACGAGAACTGAAGAAGGACATGAGAAGGACTAAACTAACTTAAATTTCTCTCTACAGAACTCATGTACACCACAAGTACTCAATGACATAAGAGCAGCCAATGTTCACAACCGACCTAGTTTATCTATATTATAGGAATATCTTTAAAACATCTCTGTAAATTTATATCTTTCAAGATGAAAAATGTCGTCTTATGCGCAATCTATCTATATCTATGGAGCTAATACTTAGTAGGCAAGATGTATGTGATGTCGTTCATTATAATTATTGAATATAATAATAATAATAATAAGGGTAGATCTAGATTAGACGGTTAGAGGGGCACAGTAGGGGGGAGTGAATTGAAAAATTTCATCATTCTAATGTAAAAAAAATTCTAAGAACAGTTTCTTTTATGACACTTTTGATTGGAGGTCGTCTTCGTTAGCTAACTGGCACTTCAATTGTTTACCTAAATGTACTCTTTTTTTGAGATTGGTGATTTCGCAATAAGCATGCAATAAGCTTCCAATTATTACAGAAATAGGCATTTCTAATGTCAAAAACAATTTTAAGAACAATTTCTTTTATATCACTTTTTGATTGGAGGTCGTCTTCTTATGCTAGATGGCACACAGATCCAGAATAAGAGTACATTTAGGTCAAAAATATCAGTGCCAGTTAGCTTAAGAAGACGACCTCCCATCAAAAAGTATCATAAAAGAAACTGTTTTTAGAATCGATTTTTACGGTAGAAATGACTATCGCCGTGAATATTGGAAGCATTTCAGAAATAAAGTATATATAGGTCAAAACGTTCAGTGCCCGTTAGCTAATGAAGACGACCTCTAATCAAAAACTGTCAAAAAAGAATTTGTTCTTAGAATTGTTTTTTTTTTTGCATAGAAATGGACTATCGTCATAATGATTTGAAGCATTTTACTTGTGTCACAGATCTTAGAAAAAGACTTAAAGGTCAAAACTTGCAGACGACCTCTAATCAAAAAGTGTCGTAAAAGAAATTGTTCTTAGAATTGTTATTTACATAAGAATTGACTATCGCAGTAATGATTTCAAGCAAATTGTTTTATTTTTGGAAATTAACCCCCCCCCCCCCTAGTGCACAGTGCACGCAAAGGAATGAGAGAGGGGGGGGGGAAATCGGGAGAAATAAACTTCAAAGGAATTGAGTTTACCCACAAACTTAAGTTTTCTAATCCCTATATCTTTGAAACCTGATGATGAAAACCTTTCAAATTTAATCAAACAGAATTCATAGTTTAAAATATCTATGGTCTTAGAGATTGTGTTGCAAAGATATAGGGTTTATAAAATCAGAGTTTGTGACAAAGACTCGATTAGTTTTATCTTACCCTGACTGTGTTTGGTTTGGCTTTCTTGTCAAAGGTTAGCCTGGACACAGAGTAGTAGAGTTGTTTTATCTCCGTTAGTTTAGGAATATTACCCAACATCTCTTCAACAGAAGCCTATACCAGATATTTATAGCGAGTTAAACTTCAGTTTTATGAAATGTATCTTAACAATATTAACGGCTGAAACAATACTCGTCTCTCCAAAAAAAAATCAAAATCAAAAATAAACAATTGGCAAAAAATAAGCATTGTTTTCCTTTTTCTTTCAAAAATAAAAAAATGATTACAAAAAAGTGGTATTTTCATAAAAAATTAGGGATATGTGAAACTTAAACTTGCAGGCTTTTATTTCACCCATTTTTATACCTATTCCATTTTGTTTCATTTACTTTTTAAAAAGTTTCCATAAAAAAAGCATTTCACTTTTGGTTTATTTAGTTAATTATTTACTTAAGTATAATTAATAATTGACCAAACACTATGATTTGAATATGTTTGGGAAAATCATTACCTTTGCCCGAGTTAACTCCTTTTCTTTCTCCTGAATATCCCGGAGATTGTTCTCGTGCTTAATCTCTAGTTGATCCAGCTCCACCCTGGATCCAACCAACCTCTTCCGCTCCTCCTCCAACTCTATCCTTATCCTCTCCCTTTTCTCCCTCATCTTCTCCTGCTCTCGTTCTACAGTAAACCTAGAAAAGAGAACATCTAGAGAAGAGAACACCTAGAGAAGAGAACACCTAGAGAAGAAAACACCTAGAGAAGAGAACACCTAAAGAAGAGAACACCTAGAGAAGAGAACACCTAGAGAAGAGAACACCTAAAGAAGAGAACACCTAGAGAAGAGAACACCTAGAGAAGAGAACACCTAGAGAAGAGAACACCTAGAGAAGAGAACACTTAGAGAAGAGAACACCTAGAGAAGAGAACACCTAGAGAAGAGAACACCTAGAGAAGAGAACACCTAGAAAAGAGAACACCTAGAGAAGAGAACACCTAGAGAAGAGAACACCTAGAGAAGAGAACAGTAAATAAATATAAGAGTAAGATATTATGTAATTCAAAAAGGCCTTTTCCCAACCACTAACCTCCCAATGGCATTTCCCAAAGCGGCAACTTTTCAAATCTGCAATATACCAAGCGGCAACTTCTTAAGTCTGTCCTAGCCCCAGCGAACGGACCCTAGCTTATTATAGCCGCTGGAGCTTCAAGAGGCCTATCCTAATCTTTGGAAAGTTGCCGCTTGGGAAATTGCACATTTGATAAGTTGAAACTAAGGAAGTTAAGAAGCCGCCCTTGGGAAAATGTCTTTGGGAACACACCTAACTCCAAGAGGAAACCTAATAGAGAAAAGCAAACCTTTTTCTTCTTATTTATACTACTTAATTCTTTATTTACTAGTTTTTTCTTTCAAATTCCCTTTTAAAAAATGTTTCGTCTCCCATGTAAATTCAACTACTTTATTTTTAAGTCAATCTAACCATCCCCCCCTCCCCCTCCCTACTTACACGAGTCCCTTACTTATGGTTCTGTATGGAGTTGAGAATCTCCTGAATCTTGGTATCCAACTCCTCAGTTTCCTTCTCCAAGTCATCCTAGAGTACAGAGGAATATATATTGTATAATCTTACATCCTAGAACACAGAGGAATATATATTGATAAAGATAAAGGGTCTACACTCTACAGACTTCTTGGTTATCGGATTTTGAAGTTTGGGACTATTTTTGATGTCTACGTATAGTTTTCGATTTAATGAGCCCAGCTTTAGGGTTTTAGATCTAAAAATAACAATTAAATAGGCTCACAGAGTTTCAGACTGGAGCTAGTAAAAGTAAAAGATAATCTCCGTTCACACAACTTTGTTTATTACAAATTAGTTTACAGTTTATTACAAATCAAAGGAGATCATCTTTATTTTTAAATAAACTTACTCACTTCAGTTGGAAATTTCGGGAGCCTATAATTTTGTCATTTTTAGATCTACAAGCATATCATTGGACTCAAATAGTTGGAAGTTGAGACACCCTGTATATATTGTGTACATAATCTTATTCTATAGAGTACAGAAGAATATATATTATATATTGTGTTCATAATCTTATTTTATAGAGTACAGAAGAATATATATTATATATTGTGTACATAATCTTATTTTATAGAGTACAGAAGAATATATATTATATATTGTTCACAGAATCTTATTTTATTGAGTACAGAAGAATATATATTATATATTGTGTACATAATCGTATTTTATAGAGTAAAGAGGAATATATATTATATATTGTGTACATAATCTTATTTTATAGAGTACAGAAGAATATATATTATATATTGTGTACAGAATCTTATTTTATACAGTACAGAAGAATATATATTATATATTGTGTACAGAATCTTATTTTATAGAGTACAGAAGAATATATATTATATATTGTGTACATAATCTTATTTTATACAGTACAGAAGAATATTGATAGCAACTTATTGAGAAAGCAACAAGTTTATGATAGCAACTAAGAACTGGTTTTGATAGCAACTTATTGAGAAAGCAACAAGTTTATGATAGAAACTAAGAACTGGTTTTGTCAGCAACTTGTTTAGAAAGCAATAATTGCTTATGATAACAACTAAGAACTGGTTTTGACAGCAACTTGTTTAGGAAACAAGTAATTTTGATAGTAACGTATTTCGATAGTAACTAGTCAGGGGCGTACGAGGGGGGTCGGTCGGTACCCATCTAAAAATAGCTTAAAATCTCAGTTTTGCCCTTAACTAAAAATCTTTTGTTAAAAAAGCTTTAATCAATACTGCCTTCAGTGTAAATATATCTTTGATATTATCATTTATAACTATACAATATGTATCGTTTCTATGAAAATATAGATATTTTTAAAGAAAAGTTTTCATCTTTTTTTACCCAGTTAAGCTTACACCACAGTATTAAGAGGAAGTGTCTGATGAGTCCACTTAGGAAAATTACATAAATAATTTATTAACAGTTGTTATATGGGCGTGTGTACATGAATAGTTTACATAGTTAAAAAAGGTATCAATATTTTTTCTAAAAGGGGGTTTTTAAGGGGGGCACAATATTGCCAAGGGGGGGGGCACTAAAGTGCCCCCTCTACACAAATGCTCTTGTACGCCCCTGTAACTAGTTTTGGATAGCAGATCAGCATTGATAGCAGACTGAAGAGCAAACGTTTTGAAAACAAGTGAGGCATGATAGCAAATTGACCTGATAGCAATTGAGGCTGAGAGCAAGTGAATTGACAGCAAATGAGGAAATAGCAAATGAGGAGCTAGCAAGTGAGGGGATAGCAAATGAGGAGATAGCAAGTGAGGGGATAGTAAATGATCGTGCTCCGAATATATATATGTGTACATAATATTAAGTCATAGAGTACAGATGAATATATATTGTGTACAGAATCTTATTTCATAAGAGTACAGGGTGTCCCACATCATATTAGACGGAGAACGGGTCTAAATTACGATTTTCGGGACTAATTAGAAAATTTCAGTAGAATGAATCATTTTGAAAAATAACATTAGGCTTATATAAGAATTTTCTGTGGAAAATGATAAGTTTTTCGAGTATTAAGGGTTTATTTTGGTGTTAAGGATTGGAGATAATCTATTATGATATGGGACGCTCTGTACATAAGAATATATGTGGTATACATGTACAGAAGAATATTTAGAGTGTACAGAATAGACCATCTTATATTAAAATTAGCATGTTGATTTTTTGTATAACATTCAGTGAACAAATGAAATATTATTTTCAAGTTTGAACCAACAATACATGTTAACTAACGACTCAGCAAATTCAAGTTGAAAATAAAGCAAGTAATAATAGCCGAGAAGCAATGTATTCTGAAATTTGTATTTTCTCATTTGTAAAAATAATTTAAATAAATCTAAAAATAATTAAAGTCTTGAAAACGTCATTCATTCTTTTAATTCTAATTTAATCTTTTGTATTTTTAACCCTTCGAGGTAAGCAACGAAGGTATAACAGATACGTTTAACAAATAAATTTCTTAGTTATTTAGGATGAGGTAAGAATGGAGATGTAATAACAATAAATATCTTCCTATTACGTCATTTAAGAGAAGTAAAGTAAGTACTTCTGGCTAAAAATAAACTCTGCCCTAGTTACAAACTAGGGCTCTCTTAGTTTCCTATTGCAGTCAATAGTACACTTGCTGCTAGGATTAAGAAACAGGCACAGAGCCTCTTTCTGCGCAAAAAGCTGCGCAGAAATATTAAACGGAGCAAATTGATTTCTTTAAAAGTAAGAGGGGAGAAAATGTATGAATGAAGAAATTATTATGAAAGAAGAAGAAAATGCAGAATGAATATTGAACAAAATAAAAAAGACAGAATGGGAAAAAAGGAAGGACAGAGAAATGGGAAAAAAGGAAGGACGGAGAAATGGGAAAAAAGAAGGACGGAGAAATGGGAAAAAGGAAGGACGGAGAAATGGGAAAAAAGAAGGACGGAGAAATGGGAAAAAGTAAGGACGGAGAAATGGGAAAAAAGGAAGGACGGAGAAATGGAAAAAAGGAAGGACGGAGAAATGGAAAAAAGGATAGAGGAAATGGAAAAATGAAGGATATGGACTATGGAGAAAAAATTGAGGAAACAGAAGAATAAAGAATGGGGAAAAGGGAAGAAGGAAAACGAAAGAATAAATAATGAATAATTAATTGTTTAATCAAATTAAAATCCGCGTGGAAGATTTTTTGAGCACTTTTTAAATTCTAGCGGAATTCGGCTCATTTAATTAATTAGCTCCATTGAACATATTTTAGCAGGAATGAACAAAAAATGTTCAATTATACTAAAGCTAAAAGTGTGAGTAAAAACGAAGTTTAAACAAATGAACAAAAAAAGTTCAATCGAACCAAAATCTAAAATTTCACTAGTTTGCACATTCACCCTAATTAGTACAAACTACAAATTAACAAATTTTAGTGCAAATGAACAAAAAAAGTTTAATCAAACTAAAATTTCATCACTTTGCCCATAAATCATAATTATTTAAAGAAAAAAACATTAGTCCGTTTGAAATTTTTTGTTGTTGGAAGTATTCATTAGTGCAATGAACTTGCACTACAAATTACAGAAAAAACATTAGTCCGTTTGAAATTTTTTTTTGTGAGGAATTTTCCTTTGCACTAACGTTTAACTGTACTAATATTTGATGAAAAAAATATTAGTCCGTTTGAACAAATTTTTTGTTGGAAATGATCATTTGCACTAATGTCCAATTAAACTAATATTTCCAGAAGAAACACTGTTTGAGCAAATTTTTTGTTGGAAATGTTCATTTTTACTAACGTTCAATTGCACTAAAAATTACAGAAAAAAATAAGTTCGTTTGAATAAATATTTTAAGTATTCCAGATCAATTCCACTGTAGATCATTTGTACTAAAATATTCCTGGCGGGAAAATAAAATATTCTTGGCTGGAAAATAAAATATTCCTGACGGGAAAATAAAATATTCCTGGCGGGAAAATAAAATATTCTTGGCGGGAAAATAAAATAATCTTGGCGGGAAAATAAAATATTCCTGGCGGGAAAATAAAATTTTAGTTCAATTGAACACAGTAAAAAGTTGATTTGCGTTCATTTGCACTAATGTTCAATCGAAATACAAACCTGTTTCTGATCAGAATATGTTCAATCGTACATTAGTGCAAACGATATAGCATCGGATATGAAACAACGAAGGCTGCAGAAAATGGAATAAATGAAAGATGTAAAGATTGAAAAAATGAAATAAAGATGGCTGGTTAAAAAGGAAAAATAAAGGATGAGGAAAATGGAAGAATGAGAAAAGTGGATTTATGGAGGATGGAGGAAATGGAAGGAAGGATAAAGGAAAAAAGAGGTGGAAGGGAATGCAATAAGGATCAAGAACACATGGAGAGAAATAAATTAATAAAAAAGGATTGTCAATGAATACTGGAAGAGAGTGTCGAAATAAATCATATGGTAATGATAGGTTCTTAACTTTTAATGATTCTTGTTGTGTTTTTTCTTCTTCTTTTAAAAATGTAGTTTCTTTAATATACTGCTTAACAAAAAAATATTCTTATTTGATTCATTGAATAAGAATAAATAAACAATGTTAAATAAACGTTATATTTTCTGAATCTGAGCTGTCTTGAAAATGACAAATTGTCCGATGAACCTGGAAAAGTAGCACTGAATTTTACAATATAGTTAACCTGTGTGTTTCCAGGTTTTCCATGGGAACTCGAAGTAATATCCTTAACTAGTTCACAAAACATTGACATTTCATCATCCAAACCCATTTTTTATCTGAAATAAAAAAATTTAGTTTTCAAGCTGCGGCGGTCGGACGATTGTTACGGCGGCAGCGCCGGTTTCCTCCTTGCTCCCTGGTAGGATGAGGATAAAGAGTCCGTTGCTGGAGGTGTGGCTGTACATCGTCTTACAGAACTTCTCCGCCCTCTTGCAGATCTTCTCAGGGGGCGTGGTCGAGAGGTCGAGGTGGGTGATACTGAAATCATGTTCTACTGCTCCGGTTTTACCCTTCTCCAGCACATCCTTGTGATCCGTCCCTAAACAAGGTTTGGTTTCAGTATTTACTCCGGGTAGGAGATATATCCGTCCCTAAACAAGGTTCAGTTTTAGTACTCCGGGTTGGAGATATATCCGTCCCTAAACAAGGTTTGGTTTCAGTATTTACTCCGGGTAGAACATGATACATCCATAAATAAATATAGTTCCAACATTTACTCCGGGTAGGAGATAATACGTCCTTAAAGAGACTGTGTACGTATTTTCAAATGACCTTCTGTGCAAAGATTAAAATGACAGATTGACAAAAGTACCCTAAAAACCGTTATCTGATTAATATTGTGGAAGACATTGTCATTTCTCAAAGTTCAAATGTCTTCAATTCTGATAATTTTTACGTGATTTCCTGCAGTAGAAAAGCGCAAGTCACGTTTGAAGAGAAACCACAATTGAAAACAATCAATTTTTCAAAACTATAAACATTGATATCTAATTCAGACTTGATCAGACAAAGCTTTTAAGAGTGTTATTGTGGCATTGTCATCTTTGCAAGAAGGTTCTCTGGAAAATATGAATACAGTTCCTTTCAACAAGTTCAGATGTGAAAAAAATGCGAATAAAAATCAACGTGTATTTATATTTATTATTTTTTAGCTAGTAACTGAGAATACAGTAAAAATAGCACTTCCGCTCTGCGAAGTTTGCGAAAAAATAGAAAATTTTTATTTCTTAAGACGTTTAAATTGTGTACAACTACTTTTTCGGGAAATTAAAAATGTTACTTAACCAAGCACAGGTTCCTAAGGCCAATTTTGCCTCGAAAACATTAAATTTGGAAATTAAAGTTGGTAAAGTAATATTCCTTAAACTTTCCTGTAAGGTAGATCTTTTTTTAACTTAGACATAATCAAATTCAAAACTAAAAAAAATAAATAAAGTAAAATATAAATGAAGTTCTAAGAAGTGGAATTAAATGTATTATCAAAGAAAAAATTAAACATAAAATAAAAATAAATAAATGAAAGAATAATACTGAAGAATAAGAGGCAATTAATACAAAGAAGAAATAAGAACTAAAACGCAGAATAGAATAATTGACATAACAATATATTATTATATATTATTATAGTCCAGACAATGTTAAATAATGCAGTCGTATTTGTGACGCCAGTTCTAATCCTTATCTTTACACTTTGTTTGTTCATTCTAGCCTTGCATTCATAGATAATCACCATGGACAGTTATACAAGACGTACATAGATATAATACTATAGACAGTTCTACAAGACAAACATAGATATAATATCATAGACAGTTCTACAAGACAAACATAGATATAATACCATAGACAGTTCTACAAGACTTACATAGATAAACTAGAATATACAGTTCTACAAGACGTACATAGATATAATACCATAGACAGTTCTACAAGACGTACATAGATATAATACCATAGACAGTTCTACAAGACAAACATAGATGTACTAGAATATACAGTTCTACAAGACGTACATAGATATACTAAAATATACAGTTCTACAAGACGTACATAGATATAATACCATATGCAGTTCTACAAGACAAACATAGATGTACTAGAATATACAGTTCTACAAGACGTACATAGATATAATACAATATACAGGTCTACAAGAAAAACATAGATATACTTGCACAGACATCTCTAAAAGACATACATAGATGTTAGAGCATAGACAGCTTTACAAGACGTACATAGATATACTAGCGTAGACAGTTTTACCAGATGGACAAAGAAATACTAGCATAGACAATTCTACAAGAAATACATAGATATACTAGCATAGATAGTTATACAAGACGTCCATAGATATACTTTATCCTGTTAAAATATATTTTTTTGTATTATTAGAAAAAAAAATCCAAAAAGCACCTAAACATGAAATTAAAAAACACATTTTTTAGCAAAGAAGTCCCCCCCCCCTCCCCCCAGCTTCCCGTTTGACGTAAATTATGAGAAAAATTATTCTATAATAACAAGTGTTACAGTGTACACACTCCTAAAGTATGAATGATAAATGAAATTACTCGGTAAACAGAATATAATATATAATATAGATAACTGCTTTACCATCAGAAAATAAAACATACATATTTCATTTACGGTGGTAACTATCAGAGAGGGGGGTGGGTATTCCTTTAGCTAAGCTATTGGAGTGCAGCAACCAGCCTCACCACAAAATTGCGCCTTAAACTTTTTTTTTCGTACTTTAATTAGTATTATTTTTTACTCATCTTTATATTATCATAATGAGGCCGAGGGACAAGAAGCATTGATTTTAAATAATGAATTTTTTCCTTAAGCTAAAGTACCATTCATTTATTTTTTATGTATATTGTATATGTAAACTGAAAAGTTTCAGACACTAAAATGTAACCATTAAAGGCTCAAAAACACTTGTTAAAAGGTTAGTCTTTTTAGTGTGCATTGACAATGTAATAAAAACAACCATATACCACTGGAAAAACAAACAAAGCATTGTTCACAAAAAATTTATCTGTGTTTTACATAGCAGGGTTAAATATTAAGTATGAGGTTTTTAAAACGATTAAAATATCATAATAAGTCTTAATTGGATATCTGCATATAATTCTTGTAATTTCTGATAAATTGTACAATAGTATAAATATTATTATACAGAATTAGGAGACAATTTAAAAAAAAGATTAATTAAATAATTACAATCGTTAAATTTGTTAAGAGATAGCACTGGAAAGGAACTGAGCTGAAAACTTTAGAATGGGACATCCTTAATTCTGATCCCTTGATTAATCTGGAGATTAGTAACAAGAGGAGATCAATCCTTAATCCCAATATCCACCATTCAAAAGTTCCAATCTCTGATCACTCGTCACAAATTATCATTACTAATTAATGTCGTATACCTTAGATATTTCAAACTATTAAGTCTTTCAGATGAAATAAGGCAAAGTTAGAAATATCAAAGGTTTACACAAACAGGTTGCAGAAATATGGGGTTTATAAACTAGAGAGTTATCAGTTCTTGAATCAAGAATAAACTACGCAGTAGAAATCAAATCATCCATTGATGCATTTAAATCAAGTCTACAGTCATATTTACTTAAAGTATTTAATATTCTATGCAGAAACAAGAATTGCATTTAAGCATTGAATTACTGGGTCTACACGTGATCTAGGTCTACACGTGATCTAGGCCTACGCGTGATCTAAGTCTACACGTTATCTAGATCTACATCTGATGCATAAATAGGGATGTTAACGCTTTCTTTTATTTTGAAAAACGATCGTTTCGTTATAAAAACGACGACGAAAAATCGAAAACGAAACGATCGTTTTTTTAAAGTTTGTTTTTTAAAAATAGTCGTTTTTAAAACGATCGTTTTTCAAAACGATTGTTTATATAAACTCGTCGTTTCGTTAACGATCGTTAACGAAGAGTGAAAACCGACCTGAAGGGCATCTGTACTTATCATTAAGTAGTTTTTAAGAAAATATAAAGAAGTTTTAGCTCCCCCACAACTGTTTAACTTCATGTAAGACGACATTCAATAAAGTTGCATGTATTTTTTCAAAAACGATCGTTTTCCAAACAAACAACCGTTTTGATAAAGTTCGTCGTTTCGTTAACAATCGATAACGACAACCCTTCGTTAACGACCGTTAACATAATTTCTTTTAAACAATCGTATAAAAAACGGTCGCAAATCGTTTTTCTAAGATTTCAAAACGAATGAGTCGTTTTTAAAAACAATAGTTTCTTTCCGAAAACGAAACGATCGTTTTTGAAAACGATTGAAAAACGAAACAAAAAACGATTTACAACCCTTTGCATAAATATATCAACAGAGGTCAGAACTTTTGTATTGTTATTTTGTTTTACCAAACCTTAATTAAAAAAATAAAAACGTAATCGGCGCAGTGTATATACATATAAAAACATTTATTCAAGAAAATACAAATAAAAAAGTTTATTAACTGACCTTTTTGAAAGACTTTAACCTCAGAAGTAAAGTTTTCAAGGGTTTCATAAGTCTTAGCTTTGGACTCACTTACAGTCAACGAAACAGTTTTTTCAGCCTTTTTGGCGGTCCTGAACAAAACATTATTATTTCTCGGAAGGGGCGTATTCAGCAATTTGTCTTGGGGGGGCTTAATTTTTTTCTTTCCAGGGGAAGCTCAGCACCCGTGGGGTATGAAAACCCCCTGAAACCAATAGATTTCACTGGTCCGGGGGGGGGGGCTTAGCCCCAATAGCCCCCCCTGAATAATGACATTTTAAAATTACTGAATTTTAATCGAGTTGAGTACAAACAATTGGGATACTGAAGAGTCGCACCCATTCCTAATATTTAAATAAATATTTTGATCGCTAAATTTAGCCTTTTTGGGAAAATAATTGATGTTCTGAAGAAAAAAAACGAATCAAAAGTGTTCGTCAAACCCCAGAAAAAAACGGTTAATGCTTTTTTAGTCAGTAGGTCGTTATATATTAAATTCTCCTTATATATTATTAGATAAAACCGAATATCATGATTACAAATTTCCCTAATACTGAAATTTTCAACATATAATCTAGTATTTTTGTCCTTCTTAAATATAAAGATTAAAGATGTGAAAAATTTCGTTCAGATTTCTCGGTAATTTTTTCAACCCTAAAAAGCCAGACCACATTTTGAAAAAACCCAAGATTCAGAAAATTTTTCGATAATTCATATTTTGAAAAAAGTAAATTTATAAATGAATGCTGCTTAGTATTTTAAAGATGAAAGACGACCTTCAAGGATCGTAAAAGAAAAGCAAATAATGAAAAGTGAGAATTGGTTAAGTTAGGTAGCCGGATAACTGTAGTAATCTTTCAAAAATAATTTCACCGCCTCCCCCCGGCAGAAGTTATGCAGAGTTGCGCCCCGCCAAATATATTTCTGGGAGATTAATTCGCTTAATTGGGGGGATTAAAAGTGACTAGCTATATCCTCCAAACCCAGTTATATTTTTAAACTTACTTTGTTATTGTTGACACAAGTCTACTCTTGAGATGAAGATCATGTCCAGGAACAAAATCTTTTCTTATGCAATCATTCTAGAAAATTTAATATTTCTTATACAAATTTTAAAGGACTTTCAATAGTTACCATGTCTGATTCACAAAGGTACCCGTTAAATTCTAATCTGAATAACTCCATTAGAAACAGTACCTGGGGTTCTATCTTCTCCTCATGAATACTAGGAATCCGTCCTCCCAGGAGAACGTCTCCGAACTGATATCCTTCCTTTAACTTCAGCTTTACCAGATCCATCGCAGCCTAGACAAAAACAAAATGAGACTCCAAGATTAATAACAAAAAGTAGGGTCATTTTTTTTGAAAAACTAGTCTCTCGGAATAAGAATTGATTTGAATTTACTTGCTGACAACATTTAGAAAAGACGATTAAGGCAATTGCCCTGCGGAAACCGGGTTGGCAAAATAATCCCCAGAGACCTGGATCCAACAATTTTCAAAGTAGCAAAACAAAAACATTTAATCATCCTTGGATACCCAAATCAACATAATTAGATTAAAATTTGGTTTCTCTCTTAAAGTTGTTTGAATTGGCAACCTCAATACAGTAATAGTTCAAAAAATGGTATTTCAATAAACTGAATATCGGTTGTTAAACATATGTTTAGTGAAAACACTGTTAACTGACAATTAGGGTTACTTAAGAAGGTCCATCCAAAAGATAAGAAATAATAAAAATTTATTTAATTGCAATTCCAATTATTATTCCGTATTATCGGTCAGTTTTAATCTTTATCTGTACCTTATACTCAAATATAATATTATTATGTTATAATTATAAAGATTTATTCACACACAAAGATATAAATACACGTATAAATGGTGTAGTTTAAATTTGTTAAATAATTTGAATATATAGTTTTACAAAAGAAAAAAGAAAAATATGCAAAATTATGCACAAATAGGCGACATTGATTATTACTCATTACATAACATATTTATCATTTCAGTTATTACGTAATCATCGAATCCTTCAACATATATATTATTCGTTCTTGTATTTAAAAGTTCTTGTAAAACCGGAAGTTTAGTTATTACGGTCAGACGTATTAGTTCTCGGTAGAGTATAAAGTTTGAGAGAGTTGTATCTGGATTGAAACATATGGGGTTGTATCTGGATTGATAAACATTTAAGAAACTGTTGGAGTAAGGCATTTGTTACATAGTACTCCCCCCTCTACTCACCTTGGCGTCCTCTTCAGGGCTATGCCCCACAACAACATGAGATTGGACTTGGATCTGCTTCTTTAGGAATATACTTGACAGAACTGATAGCTTCGTTTTCCGAAACCTACAAATATTCAGTAATGAGAAATTGACCCAAAAAATGCTGATGTTTATGGACCAGGCTCAGGGTTATATATTTCCTAGAAACCCCATTTTTCTCCACCCCCTTTGATTTAGGCATGTATCTATTTTTGGTTTCATGAAAAATAAATGGATTTACGGGACATTAAAACTTGCCAATATTAAGAATTTTTGTCAATATTAGGAATTGGACCAAAGTCGATGATTAAGGATGGAATCCGAGAAAAAACTCCGGACTTTAAAGATTTATGATTGAATTGAAAATCAAATCAAATCAAATCATAAGTTACAGGGATGGCCTACGCCTCCAGTAGTGGATCGGAGTTTAAAGTCCTTCCCGTTTCCTAGTTTTACAGTCCGGCCTTCTGTTTTATAAAAATGTTCTCGTTTTTACTTTGAAATTGCGAAGTACCCAGCCACATGACCAAATTTGAGCCCAGCCCCACTTTAGAATACCTTTCATTCAAGAGTTGGCAGTCAAGTTTTAAGTTTGAATGATAAGTATTTCCCATGTGAGTTAAAAAGATCCAATTTTACTTGGTATTTTATGGTTATTAAATGTTATCTAGTTTATCATGGTTTTTAATCTAGTCATGGAAAAGCCAAGAAATTTATCAAGTCTAGTCAAGAATCTTTGAGGACATATCTGACATGTTTAAAATTTATAATGTAAATTAAGTATGAAAGTGTGCTCTGCACAATTGCTGAGCCGTAATAATCAAGTCATGGCTAAGCCAAGAATTAGACCAAGTCCAGTTAAATCAAGTATGAAAGTGCTGAACAGTAATAATCAAGTCAAGTTTAATCTTCTCTGCTGAAGGATTGTATCAACGTTTAAGCCAAGATAATACAAAGAATAAAAACTAAGATTAAGGATTTAATCAAAGAAAAAACAAAGATTATGGATTGGACCAAAAAAAAGAACATAGATTAAGGATTTGCTAAAGAAAAAAAAGATTAAGGATTGGATCGAAGTAAAAAAACAAAGTTTAGGGATAAGTTTAAAGAAAAACAAAGATTAAGGATTGGATCAAAGAAAAAAAATAAGATTAAGAAACGGGAGAAAATGTACCTGTTTCCGGTTATGTTGAAAATGATACTGGTATCTATCACGTAAGGATGCATCATCTCTAGAGCTTTAAGATCACAGTTTAAAGATTGTCCAACCAGAATAGCATCAGGAGGAAGCAATCTTTTCAGATCAGCTTGAACATCCTTCAACCTAGAGCAGGAAAATATTAAAATATAATTAAAATTGAAATTACGTTTAAACTCAACATTCAACATTCCCTTTAAAGATATCCAGGAGCAAATAGATTATCAAGTACAATAGGTGGTATATAATGTGAAGTATTAACCTCCCTCCCCCAGAAGTAGGGGATGGGGGAAGTGATTTTAAAGAACGGGGGAAAAAATTGGACATTTATAGGCTGAGTTTTTCATCCTTTTTGGTACTTTTAATATAAAAGTTTCATTATTTCCCGGCCCTAAATATTTATTTCACCAATTCAGCGAATAAAACCCTGAAAAAAATAACCAACTTCAAGGGAAGACATTTTTTTAAAAAAGGGATGGGATATACAAGCACTAACCTTGTATTTACGTTGACCAGATGCTCCGCCGTGATACCACTGTATCTTGTCAGATAATCAACAATCCGGGATTCGGGTTTTACATAGGAATGGTAAACCACTTCCAAATTCTCATTCACCATACAAATCTGAACAAAAGACGACATTTCACATGTTCCTTCTTCACACAGGGTGTGCCAATAAACATGGGAGTTAAGAGTTAGGATCCTATTGAGATTTCCAACATTTAATTTGGATTATGGATTATTTCAATTTTATTGTTCACAAAAAAAACAGACGATTTAAAAGTCATCAATCACCTACAATATATGTTTATTGAGACACCCCGTACTGTTCTATTTCTTTTCTTTGTAGTGCTAACCAATTTCATAAGGAACATGAGGAAACGGAATCTATAAGAGATTCCAATGTGGACCCCTCAGACCGCCGCCGCCCGAAGGCCAGTTGCGTATCAAGCAACCCCCCATAATGGTAACCCCAGTGCAGGCCCCTTGGATGAGGCCAGCCAGTCTACCTGAGTATTAGAGAGAAGAAACCTGCTCCTCATAGGAACATCCAGCGATCCAAGATCAAGTTCAGTTTTAAAGTTAGTTTGAGCAGCACTTCTTTAGAGGAATCCCCCCCCCCCTTAAGATTCCAGTGAGGGTTTCCTGCCATGAGGATTCGTAATCCTGTTGTTGACCAATCATAAGTCACTGCCTGACAAGATACGACAACATAGTGTTTAGAAAGGTGGTTTACTAACCCTTTGTCAAGACAAAGGGTTAGTATATTTATCTGAAACCTACCCTTGTTAATTCGTTCTTCCCCCTCTCAGTGAAGCACATCTCACAATCTATACTGAACATAGGAGAACCATCATGAACCTAAACATGTACATAATCTATACTGTACATAGGAGAACCATCATGAACCTAAATATGTACACAATTTATACTGTACATAGGAGAACCATCTTGAACCTAAACATGCATATACTCTATACTCTACATAGGAGAACCATCATGAACCTAAACATGTACATAATCTATACTGTAAATAAGAGAACCATCATGAACCTAAACATGTACATAATCTACACTGTAAATAAGAGAACCATCATGAACCTGGACATGTACATAATCTCTACTGTACATAGGAGAACCATCATGAACCTAAACATGTACATAATCTACACTATACATAGGAGAAACATCATGAACCTAAACATGTACATAGTTTTTTACTGTACATAGGAGAACCATCATAAACCTAAACATGTACATAATCTATACTGTAAATAGGAGAACCATCATAAGCCTAAACATGTACATAATCTATAGTATACATAAGAGTACCATAATGTACCTGAACATGTACATAATCTATACTGTAAATAAGAGAACCATCATGAACCTAAACATGTACATAATCTTAACTGTACACAGGACAACCATCATATGTTAAGGTCACATTAAAAAATTCGTTATGAACAAAATCTTGGTGACAGTAAAGACTGTTGATTTGAAATATTCTAACCTCATGATATTCATCTCTAGTAAACACATATCCCTTAACATGCTCCTCTACTCCTGGTAGAGGTATAGGGAAGTCCTCAGTCACCAGCTGTCTAACATTCATGAGAAGTCGGAGCTTAAGACTAGTCCATCCTTCTACTGGTGTACTAGTATCCTCTGTTACCGGGAATACTGGAGGAGGGGCGGGGGCAGGGGTGGATTTACGGTTAGTAATAGGAAACATGGCTTTAACTGTATTCCATACTTCGTTTTTCATCACCGCCTCCTGAACCGTTCCAAAGTCGTCTCTCAGCTTGCGGATTTGTCTAAAATAAAACAATTTAATAAAGAAAAATCTACACTGAAATATTAGTTTTCAAGTTTAAAAATACTGTCGTAGTAAATTCAAGTACCCTTCATTAAAAGAGGTGCACACCCGATTCACAATCAGACACCTTTTAAACCTTTATCAGATCAATTACAAGTAAGTACTTAATGGAGAAACCACAATTAAAAATAATCAATTATCAAATTAAGGGTGACAGTAAACTCATGATATCCTAATCTTAAGTGCCGTTGTAAATCCAACATGCCACTCTATAAATGGAGGTTCACTTGAGATCAAGTATACAGGTCCACTAAGCATGCCACTCTATAAATGGAGGTTCACTTGAGATTTACAAGTAAGTACTTAATGGAGAAACCACAATTAAAAATAATCAATTATCAAATTAAGGGTGACAGTAAACTCATGATATCCTAATCTTAAGTGCGGTAATGACAGCATAAGCAACTTTTTGATTTATTTATCAGAAAAGTGTTTAAAGGAAACCGTTGTAGCTTATGCCACTCTATAAATGGAGGTTCACTTGAGATTACGTATACAGGTCCACTAAGAGTTTATCCCAGACAAAAATTTAAAAACCGATAATCAGTGTTGGGATGAGAACAGGTTTAAATTCTGAACTAGTTGAACTGTTTAGTGTTTACTGCTTTAACATTTTTTATTGCATTTTCAGGGGTAAACTAAATCAAATCTAGATTTAAACCTCTGAAGCATCCTATATTTCATCATTCACCGTAAAGTTACCATATATTGCACCATGAACAGGATAACTGTAGGAAGGGGGTGTGGGGGGGGGGATTTTTGAATTTTGGGGAAAAAGAAAAATTGAACATCAAAAGGCAAGTGTTCAGCGAATACAACCTTAAAAAAACATAAACAACTTGTGGGAACAAAAAGATTTTTTTGGGGGAAAAACATGCACTCCTTGAATTTAACTTAAAAACCGATAAAATACTTGGATCTCAATATATGGAGGAAAAAAAATAATATTTTGTAGCTGGTCAAGGACTGAGGCGAGATATTTTGAGATTGAGTTAGGTTTCAACTCATCAGTCATCACATGCACGGTATAAGCATAAAATCATAAAAATCTCAAAAATTGAAAACTAAAAGGACGGTAAGCGTAATTTCAAGCATGCAAAAATAACAATGCCTGATTTACAACGGTACTCTTGAAAACTTAATCTGATCAAAAGTGTTTAATTTTGATCATTTCTCCATTAAATAAATAAATAAATAAAAGATCAACCATCATTCCGTGGAAATCATGGCTTCTAAAAAACATAAATGTGCAATGCGCAAGTCACTTTCGCAGAGAAACCGCAAATTAAAATAAACAAAAACATGGATATCTCATTCATAATTGATCAGACAGAGCTGTTAAGGTTACCGTTGTAGAGCGGGGATTATCATCTTTGCATGAAGGGGCACTTGAAATTACGCTTATAATCCCTTTAATCCTTGATCAGGTACATAAGCGGTTTTTAATTCCTTGCGGCTACAAAAAATAGGTGAAAAATATAAAAATTAATAATACAAATTAATACTTACAATCCAGCCTGAGCTGAAAACTTAAGATTGTTTTATTCTTGGTTATTGGTTAATTAATCTTGAGATTAATAATAAAAGGAGAACAAGAATTATTTAATCTTGAGATTAAGAAAAAGAGTGGATCCCGATATCTACCATTCACAAGTTCCCAGCTCTGGACATAAAGCGGTTAGTCGGGAGAATAAAGTAGTCTGCCGGGAATTACTTAAGTGGTCTGTCGGGACAATAAAGTATGGGATGTGAAAGGAAAATAATGTCACTTGGGATATAAATTAATGAATAACCAAGGGTGTAATGCAAGGAAAGTTTATTGCGGTCGTGTATACTCTGCGTACACATTGAAACCAGTTCTCTTTGGAAGGAATTTGTAAACAAGAATAGATGCATCAGTGTTCGTTTAGTATCCGAGGAGGTTAAAAGCATTAAATTTTGATGATTTTGATAACTCACATAATAGTTTCCTGTGACCAGAATATTTCATTGATTTTTTTTTATATGAAAGATGGATCCCATGTCAGGCTTTGACATCCGTCTTGTGTTTACATTACCGCCCAGAGACAGTCCACGGCAGTACAAAAGATGTGTACACTTCTGAAATAACTTTCCTTGCATTACATCTTTGTGAATAACAAACTAAAAAATGATTGAAAAATATTACGTTTGAGAAATCGGAATAAGAGCTAAATCCTTCGCCACTGTAGCATCATAACTGGACGGGCTCACCACCTCCAAAAAATTAAATTTTGATGTAATCCAGGGCAGCTCGTCTTTCCGCGTCTCAAGAAAATTTGTCCCTAGTCCGTCCAGAACCAAGCAGACCACGTTTGTGAGTCTATTCCACTTGAGAAGTGTGCACCACCTGGAATTAATAATATAAGATTTTTATCTTAAAATAGAAAAAAGGAAACAGATGGTTTACAATTCGGAACAAAGAAAGATTTAAATATATATATTTAGGAGTAAAAACAAAGATCTAATTTAGAAAATCCGCCAATTTTCATAGAAATATAAATTAATCATTCCTTTGTTCATCTCCCTAATATTATTCAAAGTTTTAATCAGCTCTTTATTAAAAAAAAATGCAACAAACCATTCAAAATAGGACCTGGTCTCAAAATCGATGGTTAAACTGACGTAATACAATATGGATTAGGACAAATTAGAGCCATTTTCTTGCTCATATTTGTTGTAGAAATTCACTAATTGCTTTCTTAACACCCATATCAACATGTTATCCAAGAAAAATCTTTTTAAAGTAGGATAATAATGTATTGAAATTTGTAATATTAACTTAAAATTTTAAAAATAATAAATATTTATATAGGAATAATGTCAATAATAATGTCGATTTGTTCCATTCCTTACTCCCATGTCCCACTCCCCTCTACCTTCCTTCCCCCCCCCCCCTCCACAGTAGTTTTCTTTCTCCTTCTCTTTTTCTGTCATCACAGATTTTTCCCAATTGACAGGTTTTTTTGTTTACAAAAAAATCCTGTTCCAAACACAACAATGCAGTACGGTTAAGAGAGCAATGCAGTACGGAAATTTAAGGATTTGTAGCTAGGGATCCTAACTGCTGAGCGTGCAATATTTGGGTGTGTTTGTGAACTTAAGTAATTAGATATTCGGGTATTGATGCCTACTTTATTAATACATATATAAATAATGTATATATATTATATATCAGTTACTTCCACAATTCAGCGGGAAAAAAATCAAATGTGAAACCAAACAACTTAACATCAAATCTAATGTGAAACCAAACAACTTAACATCAAATCAAATGTGAATCCGAACAACTTAACATTAAATCAAATGTGAAACCAAAGAACTTTACATTAAATCAAATGTGAAAACAAAGAACTTAACATCAAATCAAATGTGAAACCAAACAACTAAAGACACCTGCCCAAAGTTCTTATAGAAATAAACGTTTATCAATCAATCAACATTAAATCAAATGTGAAACCAAATAACTAAACATCAAATCAAATGTGAAACAAAACAAAGATACATATGTCAAAACAAACAACCCAACAATTTATTAATTAACAGATTTTTTTCCTTCCTTCAAATATTTATAGTTCATTATAATGTAATCATTAAGAAAAGGTTGCTTCAAGTCCGTATTTTAATATTTTGGTGTGTGCGAGTGGAGTTGAGGGGGGGGGGGGGCAACAAATATATATCCTGACTTAACTGTGTTTGGCAGTGGACCATTCAACTTCATATTTAATTCTGAACTCGTTACAACCCGGACACTTGGCCTCGTCCGTACATACTGTACGCTCACGTACATCGTCCGTACGTAGTTGACACTCTTGTACGCACCTATCTGGGTAGTAAGGAGTTTTACCCCCAACTGTACAGTACAGCATGAGAGATTGAAGATCTGACATAAACAGAGGGATACGTCTTTCCTTCTCCACACTCAACAAAGCGTTCTCTCCAACAGACTTCAAACTGAACTTAGGTTGCTGGGTTAGCAGTTTCTTTCTCTCCCTAAATATAGGATCAGCATTAGAGAGACTTTCACAATTGTGTTGAGACTTTACCACAAACTTTGAATTTCTAATCCATATATCTTTGCAACACAAATTGGAAGATTTTAGACATTTCAAAAAATGAATTCTATTGTATCAAATAATCTGTTTTTGAAATATCAAAAGATTATATCCTCATAAACTCACAATGATATTTGTAATCCAATGACAGATATATCTTTGTTCTTGTGCGTTGACTTTTCAAGAAACGCTGACGGACAGATTTCTACAGAATTAGAATAACATCAAATGGCCATGTTTTGAAATATTTCAAATTTGAAAGTTACTATTTTATTGATACTGAATATTTAAGGAGTACCGAAACGTTCATCTTTAAATGACGGAAATGAGTAAAAGATATAATGATCTAACCTGAGCCGTGCCTTCAGGGCAAGGTATTCATCTCCTTCTACTCTAAGTTTATTCGGGTTAATTGAAGTTACTAATACAGGTTTGGAGTTACTGTTAGTCTTGGACTTGAAGTTTTTGTTAGACTTGAAATTTCTGAGAGGCTTATTCGGTTTCGATGGTTGGTCTGTAAAATTTTCTAAACATTATTTTTAGTATATTATTATTATTATATACAATTGAGTTTAAATATAATTTACGCGTTACGTTTTAATCTTGTGATAAACTTTTCGTGATTGAGATTTGAACTAGTTATTAAGCTTATCTTGATTTTTTGTTTATTATTAAATATCTTAATTTTATTTTAGTTTATTGTCTCGCAGATAAAGGGAGTTTCTAACCCTTAAAGGGGCTTAACACTTAATTCTAAGTGACACCTTTTTAAAATTGGCATTTGCCAATATACAACGGCACTCATAAAACCTTTGCCTGAGCAAGAATTAGAGAATTATGACAAATCTTCTTTCTACAAATTGGTTTTTGTCGATTGCGGTTTCTTTTGCAGGTTTCTACAGAAGCAATTGAGAAGATTGTTAAAATAAAACAAGCTAGAAAACCGGTGATATCTTCGATTTTACTAATCAGATAAAGGTTTGAAGAATATAGGGGTACCGTTTATATCTAGCATATTCCTCTATAAATGAGGGGTTCCTTCAAATACCGTCTCGTGAGTTTGTGTCAAGCGACTAACAGATCGAGGCTAAATTTTATTTTGGACTTCAACAAAATCTTATGGAAGGTTTAGTTATCCTCTTTTTCAATAATTTTACGATTATGCAGTTTGTTATTACTTTTGTCTTGTTTATTCTTCAAAACCATTTAATTTACCTTCAACCTTTCTTCTCTTCCCATCGGAATCATTAAGATCTGTGACTGCCAACAAAGCGTTCAGTTTCCGCTTTTTACTCGCTATCCTAGCTCGACGCTTATTCTCAGACGACATATTCTCTGAAATTCAGCTCGTTAAGATTTCAATTCAGTTGAACCGAGCAAATAAAAAAACAAATTTTCTTTTTAAAGGGATTGTCAGTGTAACTCAAAGCTACCTTTTATCTAGAGATTGCAGGGGTGTATATAATTCCAATTTTTTATTCTTTCTCCCTCCTCTCAAAATTTTTTTTGATTTCCTTCCCCAAATTCGAGAACTAAAAAGTCATCATTTTTTAGTATTTATATTGCAGTGCATAATAATCCCTGTAAGGATGCATTTAGAAAAGCATAAATAGCGCCGCGGGTAAATTTTCGAAAACTTTGAGTTTATTCCTCTTTCCCTTCCCCCCCCCTCTAACCTTCCCCGTCCCTACTTTTCCTCTTCCTTATCTATCTCCTTCCCTACCTAAACCCCTTCCCTACCTATCCACTTCCCTTCCTTCCCCTCCCTACCATTCCCCCTTCCCCCCTTTTACCACCTTTTTCTTTCCCCTTTTTCTTTCCCCTTTTCTTTTCCTTTTGCTTCCCTTCCCTCCTCTGGGTCTTTGATATCTTTCTCCCCCCCCCAGGGCAGGGGGAAAGAATTTTATCCACCCCGAAAATCACAATATAATACCCTTCAAGCATGGAGATATCTTAGGTTGGCTGTCTGGAAATTAATGAATTCGTTTCCCAGTATATCTGTTTTCTAGGTTCTTATTTCAGATTAACAAACAACGATATCTCTGCCGTATACATATCAGATAAAGGTTTAAAGGGCACTGTGTCTATTTAAATTACATTGACAGTCCCTTTATGTACAAAAATTATAAGCTATAACAATGTCTACAAAAAGTATAAAATTTAAATTTTCGGATTCACATTTTCCACGGAGAAAAATATTAAGAAATGTAACTGTACAATAAAATGCAGAATGTGTTTATTTATCAATTTATATTCAACTTTGTTTCCAAGGTAAATACTCCCCCTTATCCCCTGCAACCATTGATTTAGAATCAAATTTTAAAAATCACTGAAAAATTTCGGTGATAAAATTTTTTTTCTCTAAAGCTCTTAAATTCAAATTCACTCCGAAGTAGAAGAACATGATAGGATTTGGGGGATTTATTATACTGGAAAATATCTATCCTTTTATTCGATATTAAAGCTCAATCAATTATTAGAAGCAAGGCGAAACATTACTAATGTATTATATATTCTATCATAAGAAGGGGGTGGGGAGGGTTAGTCAGATGTTTAGCTGCGACTAATAAAGTTACATCAAAACTCAGATTCATCAAACCTAGATTTAACCCAACTTAAGCTGGGATAAAGTCAACCAGAACTTAAGAAGGAACTTTACTTAAGACTAATAAAACTTAAGCTCGGATAAGGCCACCAGAAATTAAGAAGGAACTTTACTTAAGACTAATAAAACTTAAGCTCGGATTAAGTCCACCAGAACTTAAGAAGGAACTTTACTTAAGACTAATAAAACTTAAGCTCGGATAAGACCACCAGAACTTAAGAAGGGACTTTACTTAAGACTAATAAAACTTAAGCTCGGATTAAGTCCACCAGAACTTAAGAAGGGACTTACTTAAGACTAATAAAACTTAAGCTCAAATAAGGCCACCAGAACTTAAAAGGGGCTTAATTTAAGACTTATAGAACTTAAACTCGGATTAAGTCCACCAGAACTTAAGAAGGGGCTTAACTTAAGACTGATAGAACTTAAGCTCGGATTAACTCTTTCACAACTTATCGTGAGATTAACTATAGTTTAACAGAAGCTGATATTCCCAGGAGCTGCTTCAAGCACTCGTAGGTGCAGAAGGAGATGGCACTCAATGGTACACCGCGTAGATAGTTTACTGACATACCCCTGGATATATAAATCAATTTACATAAGTATCAATCAATCAATTACACTACCAACCATCCAGTTACATGGCCAATCATCCAATTATAAAACCAACCATCCATTTAACCAAACAACCATTCATTTATCCAATTTACAAACCTATAAATCAACGTAGTTTCATACAATCAACCCATTAATCATCCAACCAAAATCAAGAAAATTAAACTATGTACTTTATGCTCCTATCATCGAATTAATCAATCAAATACCTCACATGCTGAATGCTGATAGATCAATGAACCACCCAACCAATCAATTAATCAATTATCCAGCCAATAAATCAAACAATTACCTATATAATCCCTTGACTACTCCGTCTGTAGTGTATGTATGAACTAGAACCTGCCAAACTCCTTTACCCTGTCCTAACTGCATTTTTCTTCTGAACAATATTATAATAATAATAATCACTGTTAATCCTTCAATCTGAGAGTTCAGGTTTGAACTCCACAACTCCACAAGTTTCAATGTATTAACTAATTAGAGCTGAATTTAAATATTATAAAAAAAATCGAAAATATGACCAAAACAATTTGGTTTGTAAAAATGAGAGAATAAATTATTTCAAAACACCACAAATACAAATATTACACTTTGTACGTGTAATATTACTACCTGGTAACATCAAGAGGGTAGGTCAGGGTTTGCGCCATAGCTCCGGAGCTTCCTCCAGCCAGGAGTTTCCCTGGGATACTCAGATCATATCTATCCGTCCCGGTTCTACTCCGGAACAGAGGAAATCGTTCTATCAATCCGTTCTTCACAACATCAAAGAAAAAGAAACTAAACCCTAGAAAAAAATAGGTTATTTCTAAAAAATGTTTAATAAAATTCTGATTTTAAATTCCTAAAAAGGGATTAATAGTCTTTAGTAGGGTTAAAAGGTACATCTTTCCATCAGAAAACAATCCCAATCCAAATCCAATCCCAATTTTAACTTAATAATAGTTAATTCTGCAATCATTTTCTCCATTTAGACGCAACAAATAAAAGTCAAATTAGTAGCGATCGATATCAAATTCAATCAGACATTGACCTATACCACCTTTCATTTTTCGAGAACACTCCCTTTCAGTGTAAAAAATATACACAAGCTTACCAGATTGGGGACAAATAGCTACTACAGTTGGAATCAGTCCTCGATAGAATCCTTTTACTCCGTCCTAGAAACAAAATAATTAAATGATTAAAAAACAAAATTCACTACAGTGGCAGAATCAAAGCCGTCAGTATTAATTTCTAGATGTTACTAAAACCAATCCGAATTTAACAAATTTATCAAATTCAATTTTCTTAGTTACAGCACATTATATATTTTGATTAGGTAACCTGTTTTAGAATAGTAGTGAAAGTATCTCTCATTCCACTGTAACCCGCTTCAGACTAAATAAAAATAAACTTTACAGGAAACCTTCATTTTTAAATTATATTGATAAAATAAAATAAACTTTACAGGAAACCTTCATTTTTTAATTATATTGATAAAATAAAATAAACTTTACAGGAAACCTTCATTTTTAAATAATATTGATAAAATAAAATAAACTTTACAGGAAACCTTCATTCTTAAGATTATATTTATAAAATAAAATAAACTTTACAGGAAACCTTCAATATTTAACAATATTGATAAAATAAAATAAACAATATTTCAGCGAAAAGATATGTAATTGTTAGATTGACAACTTGTATGTCCAATCGACAAAATCGGTTTAAATTGAAAGGATATAAGTTTCATCTTTAAAAAATATTTGTTAAATTGTCAAAACACATGTTTAATAATAATTAGACAATTATTATGTTTAATTGACAATTATGACGTTTAATAGAAAATTCTGATGTATAATTGATAATTTTGCTGTTTAATCGACAATAATGTTGTTCAATCTTCAATTATTATTTTTAATCGACAACTATCATATTTAATAGACAATTGTGTTGTCTGATCGACAATTATTATGTTTCTTTAAAAATTATTATGTTTAATCAACAATTATGATATTTAATTGACAATTGTGTTGTTTAATAGAAAATTCTGATGTATAATCGACAATTATGTTGTTAAATTGGCAGTTATGATTTTTTTTCGACAATTATGATGTTTAATCGACAATTTTGATGTTTAATCGATAATTATGATGTTTAATCGACAATTATGAAGTTTAATCGACAATTATGTTGTTTGATCAACAATTTTGATGTATAATCGAAATAAATGTTGTTTATTCGACAATTGTGATGTTTAATGACAATTAAGATCTGAAATCGACAATTATTATGTTTAATCGACAATTATAATATTTAAGCGACAATTGTTATTTTTAAACGACAATTGTAAAGTTTAATCGACAATTATATTTTAACGACAATTATTATGTTTAATCGACAAAGTCTAACCTGCCTTGGTATGGTATGCTAGTCGAGCTCGAATAGTATCAAGAGGAAACGTTGCCGTTACTCCACATACTCCTTCACAAACAATTAATTAAATGGAGTAAATGATATTTTTTAAATCAATCCTTCATTAAGAATGATTAAATTTTGTAATATTTGTAATTAAAATTCTAACATTAAAAATTTAATTTAATTTAGTGAAAAGAAAACAATTAAGTTAATTGATTAAATTATTTAAAATAATTCCTCCGATAGATCCCGCCAGGAACACGCTAGCTCGATCTTTATCAATCTGCCGAATAAGGTTCGAGGATTTCTCTGAACCTGGAGGATTTGTCGGATTCTGGGTTCAAGATCAAATATTTAATTTTTATTCTAGTGTTAATGAATCTTATAATTAAACAGATTGAGTCGTTTAACAAATAATAATTGGTTTCGGTTGTTTTCCTACTTATAAGAGTAAATGTTTTATTTAAAAGACATATTTGGGAGGGAATTCATTGAATTTGTTAGAGTTCGCTGAACTTCCCACCTACCGCCGGTTCAAACCCTGAATCGCCCATTCATAAGAATCAGTAATCCGGGATTTGAACCGGCACGAAGGTAGGTAGTTGAGTGACCTCACTAATTCATTAAATTAAAAACTTCAGGCATTCTTTTAAAAGCCTTATTACCAATGAATGTTAAAATTAAACAAAATCTTTATTTGTATTTGTTCTATCCCTGAATAAAAAACCGTTTTAAGATTTCAAATGTTCCAAATTGAATTGCTCCGTAAGGAAAGACCCGGAGCATTTGTACTCCGTTCCCTCGGTATAATCCCACCAGTCCTTCTCTACGGAGAACCAAACCTGGATTAGGATATAGTATTTATTACTCCGTTCCCTCGGTATAATTCCACCAATCCTTCTCTCCGGAGAACCAAACCTGGAATAGGATATAGTATTTATTATATGAATATTGTGGAACATATCTGATGAATATTGTGGAACATATTGCCATTTTTCTGGCATTTAAGAACTTGTTGTGATTAATTCTATATGTTGTCCTGAAGAAGAAATGTGCTTTGTAGAGAAACCAAAATTAAAATCATCAGTTTTCCAAATTATAAACATTAATATCTAATTCATCCTAAACCAGATGGAGCTTTTAAGGGTACCGTTGTAAATCGGGCAGTGCCATATTTGCACGGTGGTTCACTTTAAATTAAACTTTCAGTCCATTTAATTTTTGTATTCGTATTTTATATAATTTTAAAAATCATTATCTTTTAAAACGAGAAATTTTAAAGATTTTGTGACTTGAACGAGGAATCAAAGAAAAAAAGCTGTTCGTAAATATATTTTATCCATTATCACTGTAAAATCGTCAAAATGATCTGTCTAAATCTGAAAATAAAGAGTATTTTACACATCTCGTTTGGATTTTGTTTAATTTTTCCTATTCCATGTCCTTTTCAAGTGGTGTATTGTATACCTAGAGCTGAAACAACTCCTTTGTTCTTATAAGCCGAGTTCTGAGTTTGAAGCAATATCTTGACCCGGTCAAGGGGAGCAACAAACGATTTACTCGCCATACCCGCCATACCGCCGCAGAACAGGGACTTGAGCAGTACCAAACCGCTCTTCTCCTGACCGCCCCTCTCCTCACCCTTCTCCATTTTACTGGCGCATTTTTCTGAAATCTTACTAGAGCTAAACTTCTACATATTAAACTTGTATTTTGTTCTCGACCAAGATGAAGAATATTAATTTATTATATTTACTACAGTTGTATACTAGGGGGTGGGGGGTAAATTTATGCATTCTTTGCCCAAGCTTCACGTTCAGCTCTCTCCTTCTCAACCTCCTCCAGGTAAGCAGTCAAGTACCTAAAATAAATATGTACAGTTGTACACATATGTAAATATATAATATATAATATATAATACAAAAAATGCAATTACAAGTACATTTATACAATGAAAGAGTGATCCCGCACTATCTTATAAATGGCGCAAAGGCAGCGACTCGTAAACATTCTTTCAAAAGCAGCACCATAAATGGACGGGAAAAGGGAGGCAAGAAAAAGAGAAACTGCGGACGCGCACATGCAGAAAGGAGAAAAAGTTGATTGATGAACATTTGAAATTATTAACTATGTCTTGTACCATTTTATTTTACAAAAATTATTAAAAATAAATTATAAAAACATTGTTAAAAAACAATTTCAAGTACAAAAAGACAGGTGAACATTTACACTGTACAGTATACAGATGAACAGAATGAACAGATGTACTGAAGTACAGCATCTATTTACATAAGTAAAAAGTAAAGAAGACAATACATAAGAGAAAAACCAAAAGTTATTACAACATTATATTATAGGGTTGAAAAAACAAGTATTATCAGACTAAAGATAAAAAAATTTACAAAAACCCTTATCTAAAATTTTGTATTTCAGAACTTGAAAAGAACAGAAAGAGAAAAAACGTGACTAAACAATCAACATGGATGGTTTTAGAAAAATATAAAAATTAGACTGAAGAAACTTGCTAACCTGCCCTTCTCTCTATCCTCCTCATAGGTCGGCCACTGGTCCTTAGGGAGAACAGTTTTCATCATGGAGCACTAAATATATCAAATTTAAAAAAGGATTTCTAACATTTAAATTTATGATACTCCCCCAAAAAAAAATAAAATCAAAATAAAATCATTTATTTTTCTTTATGGGAACAGTAAACATAATTTAAACTGATCCTCCATTTGTAAAATGGAATGTTTTATTCACCCTTTACACCTTCATCTGATGATGACAAATAAATGCTAATTTATAAGCTTAACATTAAGTGCATTCGGGAAACATGAAAAGTTTCCCCGACACTAAATTTTCAGATAGAAAAATAAGAAACCTCCGTCATCGATGAGCAGAGAAAGATTTAAACAGTACGGTTGTGAATCGGATATTTCATAGATCAAAGGTCACCAGAATACATAGTAACATTTAAAGACAATGTTAAAAGTCGTCTATTAAAAAAAGTATCATTATCTCTTAAACATTTGGAATGATTTCTCATGAAAATTGATGCCCAAAAAAATCACTGGACGCTATAAGCATTCAAAGCCGTATGATTACAAGTTTTCAACCCATCCTGTCATGTACCTGAACTGCTCTCTGGAGCCTGAAAGCTCTCTCGTCCAAAACATGTGCAGGAATACGTCTCAAAGCCTCCTGACAAATATTTTATTCATTTAACAACTTTCAAGATTATATCAAGTGATATTATCAAAATCATTATTATTCTTTGAATTCCAGCTTAACATAATTGTAAGGCCAAACTCAAACTAACCAAAACAACTTTTAATTTTCAAAGGCGAAAGTTTTTCCCAAAATGCGGGAATGGAAGGAGGATGGTGCGGTGAAATAACATTTCATCATTTGAAACTTTTTCACAATATGATCTTTTTAAATTTGAATTTAGTTTATAATACAAACACATTTTGAGTTGAACATAGTTAATTATATGAACATATTTAATAATTTAAACATAGCTAATAATGTAAATACATGTAAAAGAAATTAACATATTTACTTAGTAATTTTAACATATTCAATAATTTGAATTTATTTAATGTTGAAAAATCTAAATATTTTAAATAAATTAAATTTCTGACCTTGACATCATCGCTCTCGTAGAGACAATCGTCCCTGTAGAGTCCGTACTGGTTGAACCCTGAAGCAGCGAAGGCCCACTTCTTCACTCCCTCGCTGTTGATAAAGGTCCTGCTGGGCACAGAGGTCAGGGACCTCCCGCTCAGTTGCAGTGTCTTCAGTGTCAGGGACATCTTCAATTCTGAAAATATATTTCTGTAAAAATAGATTACACATGTAAAAATCACATTTTTTTGGACAGAATATTTTGAAGTCATAAGCAGATCATATTTTAGGGAATTAAGAGAAATCTAATACTTAAAATTATTTAACAAAGAATGTAAATGAGAAAGAACTAAACGGGTTGACTGGTAACTATGAGTAAATGAAAATGTATGTTAGTAAATAAGCAGTTCATATCATGAGCTAGTAAAATAAAATGTTAATATATGTTAGTAAATAAGCAGTTTATATCATGAGCTAGTAAAATTGAAAAAAAAAACATAAATGGACAAAAATTGCATCAATGTGGTATTTAAAAGCCAGTATTTTTTCCACCAAAACAAAGTTTATGAATTTAAACGGTCGCGTTTTTCCTTACTTTAAGGTGCAAAGGAAAATGTTTCATCTAATAATTGTTTTTATGCTTTGAATCTAATTTTTAGTTTTGATGCGGATTCGGATCCTGACTTCGTCCGGAAAAGACCCGGATCCTTAACAGCGCTTCATTTCACAACAATAAATAGGAACATCAGAGGTAATCGAAGTTTCTAAGAAGAACAATTACATAATTAGACAATCTTTTTGTCTCCCGGATCCCTTAGAATCCGAGTCAACCGGATTAGTATTAAGCGCAGGGACGGATCCTGAAATCAGACCCCGGATCGGTTTATCCAATGGATCCTTGAGATAGAGTTTCCGGAGCATAGTTGAGTACAAGAGTGGAGTTTGCTTTTTCTGATGAAGGTTCGGTCTATTTGGCACATTCGACTCCTTCTCCAGTGAGACGGATCTGGATACAAGGAGCAAGGTATCCAGGAGAGTATCCGTCTCATCGCTCAGGTTGATCTTGGAGCAGAGAGCCTGGATGAACCAGGAGCCGGTATCGCTGCTACGGAAGGAGTAATGGTTCCAGAAGGACGCCTGGAAAATTAGAAAATCCGCAAAGTTTGGGATTTTGTACGAGGAAGCGGAGTCTTGGCTTGTATGACGTCGTCGTATTCTGCTTCCGGGATCGGTTTCCTGTATAAAAAAAACTTTTAAAAGTTTAGTCACGATAAATTTAAAATTAAATTTTCATTTTCAGAAAAAAATCTTATTTGTTAATTTGACAGTTTTTAAATCATAAAATATATCACCTGTCCTTGGCAAGCCTGAACGAATATTAGTTTAGGTTTCCCCGCTAAAAACGGACATTTGTCCGCCGTCAGCTTGAGGATTATATCGTTGTCAACACGATACATCGAATCATAGGCGAACACTGTACCGTTGTCCTCGCCGTGGGAGAGTATAAAAATTGCGATAGCAGCGAGTTTTTCCGTTTCCCGGGAACTTTGAATTTTGCTGATGACGTCAGTAATCTCCGCGCTGGTCTGGTCGTCCAAAACCTGGACATCCCAGCCGAGCCTGGTGAAAGTTGAGTCGATGTAGGCCACATCCGCCTCGGTCCCCTTTCTCTCGTTCAGCTGGAACCTGGCGTCGAACTTCTTGTGGTTGAACACGATCACTTTCTTTGGTCCTAGATATTAACCATGAAATACTTCAGCTTAGGAAGATTATTCAATATCTTAAAGGGGCAGCTGTAAACGTATTCTTAAGTGACCCTCCATGCACAGTTTACAATGCCCGATCCACAACTGTATCCTTAAAGGCTTTTAAATTAGATTTCAATGTTTATATTCTTGGATAACTGATTGTTTTCAATTGTGGTTTCTCTTCATACGTGACTTGCGCTATTTTACTGCATGAAATTATATAGGTATTATCAGAATTAAATACTTTTTAACCTAGAAAAATGTGCGGCAATATCTTGCATATTATTTTTCAGATAAATGTTTCAAGGGTAACGTTGTGCATCGGGCAATGCCATCTTCACATAAAGAGGCACTTTAAAGTACCCTTCAGTCCTTCGTTGAAAAAACATAGTAGAAAAATATTTTTGTTTAAAAATTCATGGCCGCAAATTTTCTGGAAAGCAAATCAATTATTAAAAAAAAAATGTCTGGTAAATGGTAAAAATTGGCCTCATTGTTTACCAGTATTTAAAGAAAACGGCTGTAATTCATAAAGTTCAAACGTAATAAATAAATAAACAATAACAAAATAGTCTTAATGTTACCTTTAATAATATAATGATGACTATCCTTAGGAGTGCTAATGACTACTGGTTCAAGGCGTTGACTCAAGGACTCGATATACCCGGGACGAGCATCTACGGTGTCTCTTATTTTTTTCTTTTTTCCTCCTTTCCCGGATTTTGTTCTTGGATTTCTTCCTTCATCAGAAGAGTCCGAGTTCCAAAAGTCGTTCTCTATGAAATTACTAAAGAAATGGATCCTTGATTCTGTCTTAATCTTTCAGATTACGTGATATAAATTAGCTTTAGTGCTACATTAGCACACTTTTGTTAAAAATTACAAAACATTTCGAATCAAATCTATAATAATATATGTGATCACAGTCGAATCTATATCTTGAACAATTTTGAAATTAATTTTAAGTGTCATAAATATGGAAATAGAAACGTACACTTCCTTTATTTTAGGATTACTTAAACACTAGTAAAGTAAATACAAATATAGAATTCGTAGAATTATGTTTCCTTTTAATCTAAATAGGTAACTAATTGAGATTAGAAGTGATTATAGCATTTAAAAGCGAAAGAACAAAATTCCGTTCCATTTTGTAAAAATCTTTTGTAACATCTGTGCGCTTAGATGCCGCGTAGGATTAGATATCAAGCAGTTCGCCATATTTAGATTGTGAAGACGACTAATTAAGGGAAAGTTTGAGAAAGGAAGATTAGAACAAGAGGTGAATGGTAAACCATTCCTCAATATCCCAACTTCTCCTATTTATTCCTCCATACCTCTCATTTTATCCCAACTTGCCTGTTTTATTCCTCCAACCCTCTCAGAATCCCAACACCTACTGTTTTATTCCTCCATCCATCTCGATATCTTATCTTCTCCTGTTTTGTTTTCCTCAAAACCCTTGCAATCTCATTCTCCATATCCCAATTTCTCCTTTTCTCTTTCACCAATTCCCAACTTCACTTGTTTTATTCCTCTATACCTTTTTTATATCCAAACTTCTTTTGTTACATTCCTTCAACTCTCTCTTAGTCCCAAATTCTCCTATTTTATTCCTTCAACCTTATCAATATCCCAAGTTATATTTAATTCCTTAAACCTTCTCAATTACCCCAAATTATCCTGTTTTATTCCTACAAAAGCAATTCTCAATCCACCCAATTTTCATGATTTATTCTTCAAACAACTTCTCCCCCCCCCCCTTCTCCCACCCAATTCTTCATTATTTTATTACTCTTCAACATCACAAATTCTCTTATATTATTACTCCAACCATTTCAATATCCCCAATCCTCCGGTTCTATTTCTTCCACCCACTCAGTATTACCATCTTTTCCTGTTCTATTGCTCCAAACCTCTCAGTATCCCAACTTCTACTCTTTTATATTCCTCCAAACACTCCCAATATCCCAACTTCACCCTTTTCTATTCTTAAATCCTTCACTCAATATCCACATTTTCCTGCTTTAATTCTCCATCCATCTAAATATTCCAACTTCTGCTATTTCATTTCTCCAACCCTTTTCATTCCTTCACACCCTCTCAATATCCAAGTTTCTCTTGTTTTATTCCTCCAAAATCTTTTTCACTCCCCGCCCCCCCCTATCCAATTCTCATGTTCTATAATTCCATTACTCTCAATTCATCACAACTTCTCTTGGTTTATTAGTCCAGGCTTTTCAATCCCCCAATTCTCCTGTTTTATTCCTCTATACCCAGTACCCACTCAGTATTCCAACTTTTATATTCCTCCAACCATCTTGGTATCCCAACTTCTCCTGTTTTATTCCTCCAACGATCTCAATATCCCAACTTCTCCTGTTTTATTCCTCCAAACCCTCTCAATATCCCAACTTCTCCTGTTTTATTCCTCCAACCCCTCTCTATATCCCAACTTCTCCTGTTTTATTCCTCCAAACCCTCTCAATATCCCAACTTCTCCTGTTTTATTCCTCCAACCCCTCTCTATATCCCAACTTCTCCTGTTTTATTCCTCCAAACCCTCTCAATATCCCAACTCCCATAGTTTTGTTCCTCCAACCCTATAAATATACCCAATTCTCCTGTTTTATTCCTCCCAACTTTATCAATATCCCAACTTTTACTTCTCCTGCTTACTTTCTCCAACTTTCATAATATTCAAACTTCCCCCTGCATATGTTCTCACCAACCCTCCTTCTGTTATTTCCTCATTCTTCTCAAACCCTCATTACTTAAGGATTCATAAGGAAGTGAAATCTGTAAGAGGCCCCAATGTGGACCGCCGTCATCTTATTTTATCTACTTCCAATCCTCTAAATGTTTTTTTTTGATTTTTCAAAACTTTGTCATAAGAAAATATTTCATCTTTTTAGTTTTCCATTTTCATTAATAAAAAGTAGCAATAATAATATCTGCATGGTCTTTTTAAATACAATATATACGAATGTTTGAATTGTAATTATTTTATTAACTCTTGTTTCAAAATATATGTTTCTTTAGATCTATAAAGTGTAAGAAAGTTTATCTTATTTTTTTCTGTTCCATCATTTCAATAGTTGTCGTGTCCTGGCATCGGGAATTTGGAAGCAAACTCGTTTACGCGGGATTTGAGATCGGCGCATTTCTTGAGAGTCTCCCCATCGTTCAATAGATACTCGTTGTAGTCCTTCAACTTCTTGGTCTTGTTCTTGATCTCGCGAGCTATCTCTACCGCCTCATCAATTAATAAAACTACTTTCTTGAAATCCTTCTCAACAAATCCTCTGAAATAGTTCAAACATAGATTAATAACAACACAGATAGAACACTAGATGTCGTTTTTTCTATATTAAGTGGATTTTCGTTCACAATAACCCTGAGGCAGAAGCCCAATGAAGTTCCGAACAGGCAGCGCATGCTATCACTCTGTCTTGTAATTCAACCCTGCCTGCGCGGAACTCCATTGGGCTTCTGCCTCAGGGTTATTGTGAACGAAAAAACCATAAATCTTGAAAGGACAGCATTTAGTGTTCTATCTGTGTTGTTATTAATCTATGAGTTCCAACATCAAATCAAATCATATAAAAACAAATTTTAATAAAAAACAAAGATATTTTCTCAAAAAAATTTTTATAACGAATTATAATTTACGGGGGTATTAAAACTGATATTGAACTCATTGAAATTGCATTAAAAATAATGAGACAAACAAAAGTAAAAAGTGGAAATATATGAATTTTGGGTAAAAGACTGAACAAAATGTTGTACAGTCATTTCTAAAGTTTCCACCTTTGTGTGGAACTTCTGTATTCCGTGTTACCACATGTAGCCCCATGTATCCCCATGTATCCCCATGTATCCCCATGTATCCCAATGTATCCCAATGTATCCCCATGTATCCCCATGTATCCCCATGTATCCCCATGTATCCCCATGTATCCCCATGTATCCCCATGTATCCCCATGTATCCCCATGTATCCCCATGTATCCCCATGTATCCCCATGTATCCCCATGTATCCCAATGTATCCCCATGTATCCGCCTATATATCCCCTATAACACCAGTATTCCCTGTATCCCATAGTACCTGGAGGTAAGGGCTGGAGCTCCTAACCTTACTCCACCAGGAACAAGAGCTGATGTATCACTTGGTACGCTGTTCTTATTCAGAGTAATAAAAACCTTAACAAACACACAACCTACTTAATAACAAATAGACAATCTAATTGAAGACAATCAGAAAACTTAATTAAAGACAAGTAGACAATTTAATTCTAGACAAACATTCAACTTTATTTATTTTAAAAGACAAATTAATTCAAGAAAAACAGACAACTTAATTGAGGACAAAAAATAAAACTTAAAGACAACCAGACAACAGAGTGAAAGACAAACAGAAAACTCATTTAAAGACAACCAGACAATTTAATTTAAGACAAACAGAAAACCTTATTTAAGACAAGGAGACAACTTAATTTAACCATAGATAGCTTATGTACGCAAAATCACCAAGAATTGTACAGTCCGCGAACTCATACTTCTCGGGGTCAAAGTGTACTTCAATGATATGCGGGATGGTTTGGTGTTTTAATGGATTTCATAATAGAGTGTAAAACAACTCCGGGAATGGAACTATTAGAACAACAATATTTCACTGAGCAATATATCATATTGACGAGAACTGAAGAAGGACATGAGAAGGACTAAACTAACTTAAATTTCTCTCTACATAACTCATGTACACCACAAGTACTCAATGACATAAGAACAGCCAATGTTCACAACCAACCTAGTTAATCTATATAATAAGAATATCTTTTAAACATCTCTGTACATTTATATCTTTCAAGATGAAAAATGTCGTCTTATGCGCAATCTATCTTTATCTATGAATTTAACACTTTTTTGGAAAAAAGGTTTACATAAACTTTGGATCTAAATAAATAAACTACCAATAAACTCCAAATCTTAACATGGTTCAACTTACAAGCCTTTACAACACTCTCTTTTACCTGATTGCAGACAGCCTCGACCCTAGCTCCATCTATCTGTTTGCTGGACTTGAGATTGACAAGGACAAGGTGGTTGTCCGTCCCCCCCGACACCAGCTTGTAGTTCTTCTCAAGCAGGGACCCGGCCATAGCCTTCGCGTTACTCAACACCTTAAACAGATTCCAAAAGTGATCTCTCAAGTACAGTGCACATAGTGTACATAGTGTTTCCAGTAGAGGCACAGCTGAGAATTTGTACGGGGGGAGGGGGGATGGGCAATAACAATGTAACCTTGAAATGTCTACTTCCTTTATTTTCACCATGTGAAGGAATTGAGTCTTTGCCACAAATTATAATTTTCTAATCCCTTTATCTTTGCAACCTGATACTGTAAACCTTTAATATTTCAAACTTGGATTATTCTAATCTAACAGAACTCACTAGGTTGCAAAGATATAGGAATTAGAAAATCCGAGTTTGTGGATAAGACTCATTTTCTTTTCAATTTCGACCATACTTCAACTATGGTTTTCCGTATCCTGCAATCCCTGAAAACTTTTATATGATCTGTGCTATAAAATTCAAAGATATATAAGAGATGTCAGAATGTCATAAGATGTTTGTAGACGGATATGAAACAAACCTGCTTCTGATAAGTAACAAATTCAGGAGTTTGTGCTTGTTTTAGAGCAACTGCTACTCCACCTAGAAAAAGACAACTATTCAGGTTAGAAACAAAAATGTTAAGTTTCTTAAAAAATGGAGAAAAAAAATTTTCGGTTTATAGAACCACTTTTATCAGACTTGTTTTGTGAGTAACCCTGTAAAATTACCTATTGCATGATTATGTGGTCCACCCTGTAGACCAGGGAAAAGTGCACCATTTATCCGGTTTTCATAATCATAAAGAATACTTTTTCCGGTTTTATCCACACCCTTTACTCCCTTCCGGTAAAATATTAATCCTAAATTAATCCTAAATTAATGATATTAATGATAATAATGATACGAATCACAATGTGAACCTGATCTAACCCCTCTAAGACTTTTATGAGTTGTTGACGTGACAACATCTGCGTGTTCAAATGGTCCAGGTACAACTCCAGCAGCCACGAGACCACTATATTTGTCAAAGTTTTATGGATACAAATTTCATTTCTATTCTTCTTGTTTTAAATATATGATTGTTTTATATCATTTCTTTTAATTTAGATAAGATCTTATAATTCTCGGGAATCGGTAAAATTTTATTTAGAATAAACCTGATATGCGCCATATCTGCCAGTAATACTGCTTTGACTTTGTCACATATATGTCGGAATCTAAAAATAAACAACTATTATCGATTTAAATTTATACAGTTTAATATTTAATTCAATCAATCAATAATGAAAAGAACGTTGCTCTTCATTAGATTCTAAGCTTGTGCAAGATGTACTCACAATTTTTTTTTGTATTTTAAAGATTCTACCTAGCGTAGTCAAGGTTCCTTGAGTAGGCAGAGAACCCAGCAATAATGAGCTTAGGTCGGAATAATGCCGAGGTTTTCTCTAAAGTGTCATAATCCACCAATCCTGTGGACTCGTCTAACCGGTATGGCATGGACTCAAAGTAGACGCTTGTTGCAGAGATTCGTTTAGTGTCCGTCATAAAGCCGTGAGTTAGATGTCCACCGTGGGGTAAGTCAAGGCCCATAATTCGGTCATGAGGATTAAGTAGACCTAAAAAAATATATAAATGATATTTATAAAATTTCCCAAGCGACAATTTCCCAAAAAGTTATTTTCCAAAATAAACAATACTTCCATATGTTACTCTCCCAAATGTAGAGAATTTTCTTTCAAAGCCAAAATGAACCTTTGGGAAAATGTGATTTTGGAATAAGTCATTTGTGAAAAAATTTGGGAAAGTGCCTACACCATTAAACAAATACCTAATTTTTTCCAAATTAATCAGGGATTAATTAATGTAGAAACAATAAGTAATCCTGAACCTGTGTAGACAGCAAAGTTTGCTGGAGACCCTGAGTAAGGTTGAACATTAACTCCCCACTTCTCCGGGTCCAGTTTGTAAGCATCAAGTGCTCTCTGCTGGCAGAGCCGTTCTACACGATCAATCACATCTGTTCCTCCGTAATAACGCTGTCCAGGGTATCCTTCACTATACTTGTTGTTGAAACAGGATCCAAGAACCTTAAATATATGTCAATATCATCTAGTTTAGAATTTGAAACAGGATCCAAGAACCTTAAATATATGTCAATATCATCTAGTTTAGAATTTGGGATCCAAGAACCTTAAATATATGTCAATATCATCTAGTTTAGAATTTGAAACAGGATCCAAGAACCTTAAATATATGTAAATAACATCTAGTTAAGAATTTGAAACAGGATCCAAGAACCTTAAAGATATGTCAATAACATCTAGTTTAGATTTGAAACAGGATCCAAAAACATAAATATATGTCCATAAAATCTAGTTTAGAATTTGAAACAGGATCCAAGAACCTTAAATATATGTAAATAACATCTAGTTTAAAATTTGAAACAGGATCCAAGAAACTTAAATATATGTAAATAACATCTAGTTTAGAATTTGAAACAGGATCCAAGAACCTTAAATATATGTCAATAACATCTAGTTTAGAATCTGAAACAGGATCCAAGAACCGTAAATATATGTAAACAACATCTAGTTTAGATTTGAAACAGGATCCAAGAACCTTGAATATATGTAAATATCATCTAGTTTAGAATTTGAAACAATATGTCCATAACATCTGGTTTAGAATTTGAAACAGGATCCAAGAACCTTAAATATATGTAAAAAACATCTAGTTTAGATTTTGAAACAGGATCCAAGAAACTTAAATATATGTAAATATCATCTAGTTCAGAATTTGAAAACAGGATCCAAGAAACTTAAATATATGTCGACGACTCCTACCTGTAGTGCTGCTCTGCTGCAGAAGTTCTCCGATGCAATGAGTTCCAGCCCTGTCTTCTGTCTTCTCTTTTCCTCCTGGAGCAGGTTCCACATCTCAGGGTCATCCTAGATACACACAGTTAGTTATATTCTCCTCCTGGAGCAGGTTCCACATCTCAGGGTCATCCTAGATACAAACAGTTAGTTCTCTTCCTNACCAGAGATAAGAGAGTTACAGAGATTGATTGAAACCAATAATTTGCGATATTTTCCACAGCATGTTCTATTGTGTACAAGTACTGTACACGACCAATCAGGAAACATCTGTATTCAGGGATATTTAAGGATCCTTTGAATACGAAACACAAAATCTTCAAAAAAAGACTGAATTCATTTTTCCCAAGGTATTGAGTCTTTGCCACAAATTCTGATTTTCTATTCCCCATTTCTATGTAACAAAATGTAAAGATATTAGTTATTTCAAACTATGAATTCTGTTACATCAAATAATCTCAGTTTGAAATATCAAAGGTTTACTTGATCAGGTTGCAAAGATATAAAATATAGAAAATTTGAGTTTGTGGCAAAGAGTCAATTTCTATGAGAATGTCTGCCCCTAAGGAATCAGGAAAGATAACGTATACCATCACAGTACAGATAAAGGTTTGAAGAACACCGTTGTGAATCATTGCTGGCACACATTTGAACTAACCTGCTCAATGCTCTCCCGTCCTGTCCAGAGTAATCTTAACCCTGCTCCGGGTCCCCTGGTTCCTCTGGCTCCGACCAGTTCACGAACTCTAGAACTCAACATCTCTCTGGAACACGTACTTTGTGAAACTAACGTTTTTGATAAAAATGACACTTTTTATTTGGGTGATTTTCTCATTTTCTGGATTATAATGTTCGTTTTAGTTCTTTTCTTTAAGCTTTTACATTTTCTGAGCTGAAAACTTTAGAATGGATAAACTTTAATCCAGACTTCTTGATCCGAATATCCACTGTGGAAACTTTTCATTTTAGTCCTTAATCCACTCTTTTTCTCTCTCCTTGGATATCCGATAATTGTTTTCTCCAATGAGAATATTTCTGTTCTCTCATTGGTTGTCCGCTTTTCTCTGATTGGCTGCTACAGTTTCTCAGATGATTAAATATTAATTTGAATTTTATCGTTTTTCATACACTTTTAAGATAATCTTGCAAGATTATGTTAATCTGGAGATTAAGAAAAAGAGTGGATTAAGCCTTAATCCCGATATCCACCATTCAAAAGTTCCCAGCTCAGATTAATTTTCTGAGAGCAAGATAGTAACTGAACACTTGCCTCAATCTAAATATTTCCTGTTCTTAAAAGTTTGTAACCGTATGTAGTAGACCTTTGATATTTCAAACTATTAATTTTGCCAGATCAAAAAGTCTTAGTTTAAAATATCAAAGATTTAAACCATTAAGTTGCAAAGGTATAAGGATTAGAAAATTAGAACTTGTGTTCAGTTCCATTTTTCGCTGATTTGAAACAATTATCATGTTTTAGACCATCATTAACCAGACTGGATGGGAATCAAATGTTACTTGAGAAAGCAAGTTCCTTTTCAAACCAAAGTAAATCAGACGTTACTTTTTAAACCAAAGTAAATCAGACGTTACTTTTTAAACCAAAGTAAATCAGACGTTACTTTTTAAAAACCAAGTTAGCAAAATTAATTGAGACCAAAGTGAATCAGATAGCATTTCTTTAAACCAAGTTAGAAAGTCTTATTTGAGACATGTATATCAGACGCTAATAGTTTAAACCAAGATAGCAATCAGACGTTAATAGTTTAAAACATCCTAGCAAGTCTTATTTAAGACATATGTATCAGACGTTAATAGTTTAAAACATCCTAGCAAGTCTTACTTAAGACATGTGTATCACGTTAATAGTTTAAAACATCCATACAAGTCTTATTTAAGACACGTGTGTCAGACGTTAATAGTTTAAAACATCCATACAAGTCTTATTTAAGACACGTGTATCAGACGTTAATAGTTTAAAACATCCAAACAAGTCTTATTCAAGACATGTGTATCAGAAGTTAATAGTTTAAAACATCCTGCAAGTCTTAATTGAGACCCAAGACTAAGACTCTTTTTTAAAAAAGGCTAAAAGAAATTTCTGTCAAATAAGTAATTGATACCTCACAAAGAATCAGAATTTCTATTTGAACTGATTAACGTGCACTAAAAATTCTTAAAAGACCTTAAAGATCTTCTAAATGAAAACCATGTACTTTGTTGAAAAGTAAAAGATGAGAAAAAGAAACATTAAAGTACATAACAAGGATAATAATTCAGCGTGGTTTTTTTCAATAATTTTTTCATTTAGACAAACCCCTCAGATAACAATACAACAATAAAGATATTAAGATAAAAAGCTTTTATAATTTTCTTGTTGTTAAGACGTAAGTTTTTAAACCTGTTTGGAGATATGCATCTTTGTATTTTGTAACATTAGAAAACTATTACGTTGTAAAATAATGATGATTTAAAGAATAAGTCTGTGGGTAAAGGTTTGGTTCTCGGATACAGATAAGGTTAAATCACACCGGAGAAAAGATGGGTTCGGTAAACTCCGGGTATACGGAGTAACACAAAGTTTCAATTCGACTGATGATACCAGAGAAACGTCGTTTTGTTAAAGGAAGGATTCTTATTAAAGAATTTAAGATGAAAGAGGGAGTAACACCAGAAAAGGGGGTAAAGAGGACAGCCTTTAGCAAAGAAAGTAAAACAGATGATAAAAGAGAAAAATTAAAGATGAAAAGACAGAGAGTGAGAGATTAAGAAATCCGAAATTGGGAGGAATAAGGATGGAAAAATCCGAAATTGGGAGGAATAAGGATGGACAAATCCGAAATTGAGATGAATAAGGATGGAAAAATCCGAAATTGAGATAAATAAGGATGGAAAAATCCGAAATTGGGAGGAATAAGGATGGAAAAAGGGGGAAATTTCCCGGATGGCGAAAATAACAGAGAGTAGGCAGAAACAGAGAGAATTCAAAAATGACGAGAAGAATAAAACTGAAAGAATGAGGAGACGTGAAAAATAAGAGAAATTGAAAGGGAGAAGGAGAGAGCACACAAAAAAGTAGAGAAAAATAGAGGAAGAAATAGGAGAGAGAACTGAGAAGGAAGATTTGGAAAAGAAAAAGATAATGGAAAGAGGATTGAAAGAGAATGGAAAGAGGATTTAAAGAGAATGGAAAGAGGATGGAAATGTGGAATAAGAATCATATAGGAGAGAAATAATACCGGAAAAGAAAACGGAAATACTGGAAAGGGAGAGAAGAAGCATAGTGGAGAGAGAAGAAAGTAAATAGAAGAGAGAATAGGAGAGAGAAGTTATGCAAGGGTAGATGGAGGATAGGACAAGAGGAAGCAATAAAATAATGAAAATAATTAGAAGTTAAGAGAAAAATGAAGAAAACTAGAAAGGGAGAAAACAGAACAGAAAACAGAAATGAAAATAATAAGAGAAAGAAAGAAAAGTATTAGGAAACGGGCAAGAAGAAAGAGAAAAAATGAGAAAAGAGAAGGAAGAAAAAGAACGAAAAGACAGGAAAAAAGGGAGAATGAACAAGAAAACAAAAAGGAAAAAGAAGATAATGTAGAGGCAAGAAATAGAAAAGAGCTAGAAAACAAGAAAAAAGAAAGAATGAGAAAACGGGAAAGAAGAAAGAGATGGAACGAAAAGATGGTAAAGAAAATAGAGAAGGAGAAGAAAAGGGAAAGATTAAAATAGCAGGAAAGAAATAAGAGAACGACCGTAGGAGAGAAGATGGAGAAATAAGAAAAACCAGAGAAAAGGAAGATGGGAAAGAAAAGAGAAAAAGAACAGGAAAACAGGGCAGACAAGGAAAAGTTGAGAAAACAGAATTCAGAAAAGAAGGTTAACGTAGACAAGAATTAAGAAAGAGAAAAATTAAGAGAACACAGGTAGGAAGGGAGAAAGAAAAAACAGGATATATGAGAAAAAAGAAAAAAAGAACAGTAACACTTAATAGGGTTGAAGTTCAAAATTCATTGTTAAACTTACTTTTACTTAGTAAGTAGAACAAAATACTGGAATTTGATTAAATTGCCAGAGAGAGTCTTAATCTTTCGAAAATAAATAATTTATAAATTTTTGTAAGATAAGATCATAGATTAATTAAAATGACATATTTCTTTTCAGAATTTCTGTGTGTTTCGTTCACAATAACTCTGAGGCAGCAACCCAAAGGAGTAAATGTAGTCGGAGTAGAACCAGAGATAAGAGAGTTACAGAGATTGATTGAAACCAATAATTTGCGATATTTTCCACAGCATGTTCTATTGTGTACAAGTACTGTACACGACCAATCAGGAGACATCTGTATTCAGGGATATTTCAGGATCCTTTGTATACGAAACACAAAATCTTCAAAAATAGACTGAATTCCTAAGTGTTATGTTTCATGTTTAAAATTGGAGAATTTCAATAAAAGTTGTAAAACTTAACCCCTGAATGGGTATGATATGCAACAAGTGGCCGTGAGATGGCACTCTAAAAACCTATTGTAAAAACGTAGCATGTCGTGCTGGGTCAACTACAGGCCTACGTAGCCCACCCTTGTGAAAGGAGATAAGCAGTCTGTGCGTAGAACAAAGACAGAGAGCGCCTGTTCTTCACCAACTACGTGTAACTCCTTTGAACTGCTGCATCAGGGTTATTGTGAACACACAGGAATCTTGAACACGACATCTAGTGTCCTATCTGTTATTTTAACTATCTATGGATAAGATTATATGGATACCGAGCATTCAAAAGTTGTCTTCAAACTTTAAAAAGTTGACTGGATAAAAAACATCTAAGACTGGGCAAAACAGGCAGACCATATTTTAAAAATCCCAGAATCAGGGTATTGTTTAATACCAGGTTTACAAATGAAAACGAGGATTCACTTGATTCTACGCTTGATTGGAGCCCAATATTAATAGAAATATGTTTTTCATCACTTTTTGGCAACCACTGTATTCTACCCTACCTGGTTTTTTACTGTTCTAAGAGCACTGAGAGCAAAATCTTGACAATCTTGATTTTAACATAACAATAAATAACTTTATTTACTTCTCTTGAATCACAACATTTTATCTAAAGCAGAGGAGAATTAAATCTTTTAAACAAATCTTTAATAGAATGAGAAAACTTGAGAGCGGTTTGATCATATCCTGCGGTATGATCCGTCTCACTAAAATCATATTTATCACAAGGACCGTACTCGTTTACAAACACCTCCCCGGAGAGGAAGGCAGGTAAGGTTTGGCCGGCTCCAGAATGAAAGATATTGGTCTGAACCCCGTCACTCAGCTGTTTGTTGAAGTAGGTTGATTGTAGGACGGAGATGGGTTGAGCAAGGTTGGCAGATTTCTTATCATTCGGATATTCGGAGCAGAATCTTCGGACGGAGAGAGGGTTGGGCCCGGTATCTAGTTTAGACTCCAAGATAACCTGGATACAAGGGTGTGTTTGTTAATATGTTATTGTTAATTTAAATTTTTGAGCTTGAAAAATTGAGTCTTTAAACCCTGAGTAATATTATTTCCCCTACCTTAGTTATATTTTCTCCTATCCTAGGCATAAGTATCTGGTTATCCTGGAGAAGGACGTAGTTCTCCGAGTACCTAGCAAATGCAGTGGGGTTAGTTTAGGTTAAATATGATATCTTCAGGACGAAATTCGCCGAGTAATCAGGCAATACAGTAGGGTTAGATTAGGTTAAATATGATATTTCTAGTGGGACGTATAGTTCTCCGAGTACCTAGCAAATGCAGTTCGGTTAGTTTAGGTTAAATATGATATCTTCAGGACGAAATTCGCCGAGTAATCAGGCAATACTGTGGTGTTTGATTAGGTTAAATATGATATCTCTAGTGGGACGTATAGTTCTCCGAGTACCTAGCAAATGCAGTTGGGTTAGTTTAGGTTATATATGATATCTTCAGGACGAAATTCGCCGAGGTAATCAGGCAATACTGTGGTGTTTGATTAGGTTAAATATGATATCTTTGGGTAGGACGTATAGTTCTCCGAGTACTTAGGCAATACTGTAGGGTTAATTTAAATATGATATCTTTAGTGGGACGTATAGTTCTCCAAGTAATTAGGCAATACTGTAGGGTTAATTTAAATATGATATCTTTAGTGGGACGTATAGTTCTCCAAGTAATTAGGCAATACAGTAGGGTTAGATTAGATTAAATATTATATCTTTTGTGGGACTAGTTATGCAATACAATAGGGTTTGTTTAGGTTAAATATGATATCTTTAGATGAGACGTACGTACAGAACGTTCTCTGAGTACTTAGTCGTACAACAGGGTTAGGATAGATTTGTATATTTGAATATCTTAAAAGAGATTAATACAATTTTTGAGAGATGTTTAACCTAACCTAAATTAGATAATTGGAAAAAAGTCTATCTGAAATTATAGTTGATTAGAAATATAGTTTATTGAAATTTTTTTTTCTTTTTTAGAAATTTAAAATTCTTTTCTACTTTTACTTTTACTCTTAGTAGAGATTTAACGTAAAATAACTGGCTGTATATGGGGGTGGTTGTGTACGGATAGAAATATAATGATGTGAAAACTTTTCAGAGATTTACTATTTCTTTTGCTAAAAACAAGTTCTCCTTCAAGGTTCTGATTAACAATATCTAGTTAAAGAAGTTGAACCTGCTGTGCTGGAAGCAGGAGGTTGTGACGAGATGGTTCTCCAGGCTAGAGGTTAATCCTAGTGGAGGATTCCAGGGATACATTTGGATCTAATCAATCAATTAATTAATCGATCAAAGGATCATAGAATATATAGAGCAATAAACTAATGAATAAATGAACCAATGCATGGACCAATAAATCAATGAATCCACGAACATATGGCTCAATGACTCATTGGCTCAATGGTGCAATGGCTCAAAGTTTTATTTTATTGTCTAAAAGCTTACCTTAATATTAAGTTGAGCTTGAAGTTTATTAGCTAGAAGTTTACCTTAATATTAAGTTGAGCTTGAAGTTTATTAGCTAGAAGTTTACCTTAATATTAAGTTGAGCTTGAAGTTTATTAGCTAGAAGTTACCTTAATATTAAGTTGAGCTTGAAGTTTATTAGCTAGAAGTTACCTTAATATTAAGTTGAGCTTGAAGTTTATTAGCTAGAAGAATGAAAGAATGCGGAAAAGCTGGAGAGAAGAGAATGAAACTAGAAACTCCGAGTAGAGTATGAAACAGGATTGACTCCTTCAAGGCCGGAGCATGGTCCTCCGAATGTGTCGGAGGCAGAACACAGACCTGAAGGTTTATCTTCGGATCGGTGGCTGAGACCACTGGATACACTGGTATAATCTCATTTAAGTTCTCTTAAAAAAAGATATTTTTGACAAAATGTTTATTATCGTTTTACATTTTAAAAATATTTCTATTAAACATGATTAAGGAAGAAAAATAAGTAATCATCGAAAATATTTCATCAATTCATTATTGCCTTTTTTAAATTTATCTACCACTTACTCTTTAGTTTTAAAGAATATTTTGACTTTTAAAGAATAAAAGCCCCTCCCCCCCCCTTCCTCCCCCTCCTTGCAAAAACGAATAAAATATATATATTACCATGAGAATTAGCTTCAAGTATGGATACACCATAGGGAACCTTAGTTGGAAACTTGGTTTCACAAGACAGGGTTAGGACGGAGAACTCCGTATCCTCCTTCTCCGTCCTGTAGGAGAAGGTTCCAGGGATAGGGTTCATTGATCCTTCATACCTGGAGAACATAAAGTACAAATGGATGACCATTAAATTGGAGGGGTGTATATAATTCCAATTTTTTATTCTTTCTCCCCCTCAAATATTTTTTTTGATTTCCTTCCCCAAACTTGAAAACTAAAATAGCATCATTTTTTTATGCAGTGCATAATAAACCTTAAAATTATGCATTTTATAAAGCATAAATGGCGCCGCAAGTAATTTTTTAATTTTATTTTGGATAATGGTAGGGTGGCAATGGCAAAAAAAAAGTCGGGATTGATTATTTTTCAGTCCCGGAATATATCGTTTATATCGTTAATAGATATATTTCTGAAAATGTCTTTTTTTAAAAACATTTTAAAGATCCAAGGAGAAACTTTCTAACAACTTTTTGGTGTCAACTCACCAAAGTTTGCATGAGAAGCCTGAAAACTCAACCTTGCCCTTCATAACTGCAAGAACTGAGACTAGAGAGCAAAGAGCAGTTTCTCCGGGTACCCCAGAGCAGTGTGCGCTGTATCCGTACACATCCGTCCCAATACTCTTCCAGGACGGAGCAGGGAGGGTTGGGATGAGAATATCTAAAGAATCAGGATCCAAACACCTGAACAAGTTTTATTAATATTAAAACCAGTTTTATTAAATAATGCTTACAGAAAAAATTCTTACCATTAAAAGATACTATAGACGTTATTATAAATAATAAGTGGGATTTAAAATGGCACACCATAAAACTTTGTCTAACTTTTTCCTCCGACCGTTGTATCTTTTTTTTATCTGATCATAGATCTGTTTTCTGTTCTTCTCTTTTAGATCTACGCATTCTCATCTCTGGTAGACGAGGGAAAAATGCTTTTTTGACAAATATTTCAGATTCATACTATTCTTTAATTTGATATCTTGGCGCCATAAATATCAAATTAAGTAAAATAGAAAGTTACTGTTTGTGATGAGTAGATATCAGATGTATTTGCAAGCAGATTTAATAATATATACTCTTTTTACCACTAAAATTTATAAATATCTGTTTAAATAAACTTGCTGATTTATGTTACAGAAACAATTAAGGAAATTATCATTAATTAACACTTTTCAAAAAACGACGATATCTTTCTCATTATTTAGATTAGACTTGATTAGACTTACTTAGAGGGTTGAGGCGGAGACCCAAATACTTCTAGAACCTGCATCACGTTGTAGAGACGATCATAGCGCAGCTTGTAAACTAGGAAACATAGGAAGGATAGAACAGCAATCAGAACCAGGCCAAGCTGAATAAAAATAACGATGACAAGGATGACAAGGATGACAATTATGACAAGATGGCAAAATTACAGGGATGGCAAGGATGACAAGGATGACAAGGGTGACAGCTGGATGACAGGGATGACAAGGAAGACAGGGTTGACGGCTGGATGACAGCTAGATGAAGAGGATGACAGGGATGACTGGAATGACAGGGATTACAATGATGACAATGATGATTTATGATGAAAAGGATTACAGGGGTAACAAGGATAACAAGGATGACAAGGAAGACAGGGATGGCAGCTGGATGACAGCTGTATGACGAGGATGAAGAGGATGACAGGGATGACAATGATGACAATGTTGACAAGGATTACAGGGATAACAAGGATAACACGGATGACAGGTATTACAAGGATGACAAGGATGACAAGGATGACAAGGATGACAAGGTTGACATGCATGACATGGATGAAATGAATACAGATGACACTGACGACATTGATTAAAACGATGATAACAAAGAAAACAATTAATCGTTAAAGACTTCATTTTAAAAATATCCACTAAAAAAACCCCCAATGTTTTAAATCCCAATAGCAAAGTGGCCATAACGCTTATTAGTGTGATGATTAAACTACATAACATAATACCATTAAGGGCATAAACCTAACAAAATTATACATTTATATACACATAAATTAAAAATTAACGTAAAACTTTATTACAGTTCATTATAACTTTCTAATTCAATTTAGTGCTGATAGGGGATGAATTTTATAATTTGATACGTTACCTTTGTAAATTTCTTCATGGTGTTTGCAACCAAAATGTCTTCTTAACGTGCAATTTCTTTTTCCTAATCTCTTTATCATTTGAAACCGATTTTTGGCTTCTGAAACGTTATCAAATAAATCTCCTGAAGATGTGAGAAGTATTTACATAGAAGTATCAAATAACAATAAAATTTTGTAACATCCGCAGTCTAGTTAATGTAAACAGACAGAAATTGTTTGGTTTGGTTTTTGACTGAAAGTCGTCTTCGCTTAAAATAGTATTAGATGTTTGGCAGGCATCGTCAATATATTAAACTAACATAAATATATATTCTTTTCTTATCAATTGACAATTTGTTTACCCATGTATAATATGCTTTGCTTGGTCTGTTTTTTTTTATCCAATAAACGTCAAAAGGACCAAAATTTGTGTGGTAACTCACATGACCCCATGGAAGATTTGCCGACCATAAAAATCGATTTTTTTTGAAAATGCACATATTCAAACAGATAAATCCGGCAAAATTTAAGAATGATTTAAATGGCCGACTTTGAAAACAACAGTTAAAAGTTAAAATTATTTACAGGAAAGGGGGTGCGAAGCGCCCTATGTAAACCTAGTTTTATATTAATTTCTCAAGTTCGTTCAATATAGACTTATTTATTCACGGGGTTTCATTTAAAATTCATATCAGAGTATGATATGTTCCATCCAGAGTTCAGGAAAGTGCAAAGGACTGGAATCAAGGTTAGATATTTGGGGAAGCAATGGGGGATAGATAATTTACAGAGAAAGGGGAGAAGCAGGGTTAAAGAAAAGGGGTGGAGGGCTGCAGAGGAGCAGTGGGGGGTTAGGTTAATCGCAGGGGGAGCAGGGTGGGATATTTGGATTTTTCGGCGCCTCTGTTATTAGACATTTACTTTGAATAAATAACCTTTAATTGTGTGTTAAACTGTGGTATAGCTGTAAAATTGGTAAATAGTAGATACCTTCCAATTCAACCTATAGATGTGAATCGAGTTTAGGGTTGGATAAGAAATATTTGATGTTCCAAACTTAATTTTGAGATGTTTATCCTGTTCCCATGCATCGAATATCTCCTAATTCTGAACCTGGTTCGCAACTCTCCATCTAATTCTCTTAATCCCTCTCTACCAACTCCATAATCCTGAACCTGGTTCTTCTCTTTCATCTAGCTCCTAATCCTGAACCTGGTTCTTCTCTTTCATCTAACTCCTAATCCTGAACCTGGTTCTTCTCTTTCATCTAACTCCTAATCCTGAACCTGGTTCTTCTCTTTCATCTAACTCCTAATCCTGAACCTGGTTCTTCTCTCTCCTCTAACTCCTAATCCTGAACCTGGTTCTTTTCTCTCGTCTAACTCTTAATCTTTAACCTGGTTCTTCTCTTTCATCTAACTCCTAATACTGAACCTGGTTCTTCTCTTTCATCTGACTCTTAAACATCCTTTAACTCCTAATCCTGAACCTGGTTCTCCTCTCTCCTCAACCTCCTAACTCTGAACCTTGTTCTCCTCTCTCATCTAACTCCTAACCCTGAAGCTTGTTATCCTCTCTCATCTAACTCCTATTCCTGAACCTGGATCTCTTCTTTCATCTGACCACCTCTGTCACTATTAAACCAGAACCTGGTTCTCCTCTCTCCTCTTGCTCCTAACCCTGAACCTGGTTCTACTCTCTCATCTAACTGCTAACTCTGAACCTGGTTCTCCTCTCTCATCTAAGTCCTAACCCTGAACCTAGTTCTCCTCTCTCCTCTAACTCCTAACAAGTATAAAATTTGCTTGGAGTTAAAATGAACATAAGGATATTTACTCTCAAAAAGAAGAGGTCTAGAGTATGCATGGCATTTGAAAAAGCTTTAAAATCAATGCATTACATGTTCCTTGGCATGTTTTGTTTTTTTGTTAAATGAGACCAAAATAACAAAAAGAAGTTTCTATTTTTTTTTGTATAATGTCTTTATTCCTCGTTTTATAGTTCTTCCGTTGAAAACGATACAATCTTTTTAAATGAAAATTTTTTTTTTCTAAATATATTTTTTTAAGTTATGGAGTTCATTAGGAATTGCAATTACAAGTGTTTCATTGTTTCCACTTACGCCCCACCCCCCACCCCACACCCAACGCCTAGCTATCCTTACAATATGTAGAGTAAGGTAGATACTATATACGTATTACTCAGGGTACACTGTAAACCAGTGAAACCAGGTAAACCAGGTATACTAGTAACTATACAGTGGACCCGGAGCAGAGAAACCAGAAATTTAAAACTCTCATCTCAACCCTTAACAGTTAAACATAAAGCCATGAGAAAATTAAACCAGAGTCGGTAAATAAAGGATGAATATGATAAAACCATTCGTGGAATAGCAAACCAGATCGTGATACTTTTTTCAAAAATGATCGGAAGAAATATACTTTTCGTTTTTCTGACCACACCCTTGTTTGTCCTGGGTCAGGATTTCGGAGATCTAATTGGGATGCATGTTGGATGTTTCCTGGATAACAAGGAAACAAGAGACCTGGAATTCCAGGTTCCAGGACAACCCAATACAATTCAACTTTGTATTAAAGAATGCAAAAAGAATTTTTATCTCTACGCAGGTATAAGTCAACTTAATATTAGTTTTAACTATAAACTTTAGATTACAATGAAATTGAGTCTGTGTGATTTTCTAATCCTTATATCTTCGCAACTTGATGGTTTAAACCTTTTCAAACAGAATTTTTAGTTTGAAATATTTAAGGTCGCCTACATTGGGTTGCAAAGATATAGGGATTAGAAAATGAGAGTTTGTGGCAAAGGCTCAATTCCTTGATGCTGCGTATAGATAAATGTCGATTAAAAATTTCCCCTTACTTGAACTTATTGTGCCATGTATAACAACGAGTGATATAAAGCTGTCTATTAATAATTAATTGATAGTATTTTAAATTTTAGTTTTCATAGGAATTCAGTATATGCAACAAAATCGAATGTTCGAATCTCTATATCTTTGCAAACTGATTGTGTAAACTTTGATATTTCAAATTTAGATTATTTGATTTATAACAAAATTTATAGTTTGAAATATTTAAGGTCTCCATGACATTGGGTTTCAAAGATATAGAGATTAGAATATCTGAGTTTGTGGCAAAGACTCAATTCCATTATTTCGCGGAGATAAATGGCGATTAAAATAGTCTTAATTTTTCCCTTACATCAAGAGAATGATAAAAATCTGTCCATTAAGAACTCATTCATAAAGTAGATTAATATCCAACTATGGATACATAGCTTGTAATCCCAATTTGGCATAACTTTTTAAACACTGACACCCGATCCTCATAAATATATCCAGCTAATTTTAGGGCTGAAGTCTTTTAAAAGTCCATTTTAAAAAGCTCTTGTCTCTTATTGTGGAACTAGGAAGATCTATAAACATGTTTTGATTTGTCATTCGGATAGAAAATCATTATTAGTGTATACTGTATACTCCATATTTTTCATTTTAAAGTCAATAATTTTTAATGTGTAACAATAATTAAAAGTGAAAACTCACAATAATCAAATACAAAATACAAAATTGCAGAAACCAAATCACATATCAGATAAGATGCGTAAACTCCCTTTTAAACTAATTTTATAATCCCTATATGTAGGCAACCTGACATTTCAAACTCTGACTATTCTATTTACCAGAATTTATATTTTAAATGCACAAATGTCTACGATATCAGGTTGCAAAGATATCGGGATGAGAAAATTATAGTTAAAGGCGACAGCTAATAATTTTTCACCAAGTAAAAATTGCTGAATGGGACTTTCTTTATATTTCTCAGTGACTTTATTTTTATAGAGGGAAAGGCCCGATTCACTAAACGGTACCCTTTAAACCATCTGATCATCAATGTTGAAGATATCCCTGACGAAAGTGTTTAATTCTTACAATTTTTCCCATATTTTTGAAGCAGAAATGAGCTAGCCACTTTATAGATCTAAGAAACATAAATTTAAAAAAGTAAATTTTGAAGTAGTATTTGATTTTATTTTTGGTATTTTAGGATCTCAGAACGGACGGTACTGCTACTGTGGTAATGAGTACGGGAAGTACGGAGAAGGAGTTTGCTATGCCCGGTGTGTTGGGGATACCAGCACTATATGTGGAGGAGCAGACTCAAATACAATCTATAAAACAGGACTGGATGGTAATTTATATTTATATCTTGAATACACTATATATAAAACAGGACTAGATGGTAATTTATATTTATATCTTGAATACAATATATATAAATCAGTACTAGATGGTAATTTATATTTATATCTTGAATACACTATATATAAAACAGGACTAGCTGGTAATTTATATTTATATCTTGAATACAATATATATAAAACAAGACTAGATGGTAATTTATATTTATATCTTGAATACAATATATATAAAACAGAGCTAGCTGGTAATTTATATTTATATCTTGGATACAATATATATATAAAACAGGACTAGATGGTAATTTATATTTACATCTTGAATACAATATATATAAAACAGGACTAGATGGTAATATATATTTATATCTTGAATACAATATATATAAAACAGTACTAGATGGTAATTTATATTTATATCTTGAATACAATATATATAAAACAGGACTAGATGGTAATTTATATTTATATCTTGAATACAATATATATAAAACAGAACTAACAGGTAATTTATATTTATATCTTGAATACAATATATATAAAACAGTACTAGATGGTGATTTATATTTATATCATGAATACAATATATATAAAACAGGACTAGATGGTAATTTATATTTATATCTTGAATACAATATATATAAAACAGAACTAACAGGTAATTTATATTTATATCTTGAATACAATATATATAAAACAGTACTAGATGGTAATTTATATTTATATCATGAATACAATATATATAAATCAGTACTAGATGGTAATTTATATTTATATCTTGAATACAATATATATATAACAGTACTAGATGGTGATTTATATTTATATCTTGAATACAATTTATATAAAACAGGACTAGATGGTAATTTATATTTATATCATGAATACAATATATAAAACAGGACTAGATGGTAATTTATATTTATATCTTGCATACAATGAATATAAAAAACAGGACTAGATGGTAACTGTTATTTACATCTTGAATAAAATCTTTTAGGTTGAATATAAATTTTATTTATTAAAGGAATTTAATCTTTTCCACAAACTCTCATTTTCTAATCCCTGTATCTTTGCAATGATATGAAATAGATTATTATTATTATTATTTGCAATTTCAAACTTAGATTTCAAAATTTGAAATATCGAAGGTATCCGAAATTAGGTGGCAAAGAGGAAGGGATTAGGAAATATCAGAGTTTGTGGCAAAGACCAATTCCGACATTTGCTAGGATGACGTGGGGTTTAATCGATAAAATAGACATTTGGTGCATTAATAAAAAAATACTTTTAGGAAAAATCTGGAGTCTTCAGAAACAAATAGCCACAATTAAGTCTATTTTTCAGTTTTCTCTCTCTTTAATATAGAACTATTAAACTATTAAACTGTTGGTTCCATGGGAATTTTTACATTTTTAACGTAACTTGTCCAATTTTAGGTTTTCTGTAAAAAAAATCGATCATTTTTTGAAAAAATAAAAAGATATCATGTTTTTAGTTCTTGCTCCGCCCTCGAACCTGAGAACGAAAGGGGAACCAAAGAACTCAACCATCTCTATTGAATGGGATACTCCGCGGGTCAGTAACCTTCTTATCCTGGAGTTCAAGGTTCTGGTTCATCTCAACTTCTCTTATAGTCCCGATAGATCCAGGTTTCAGAACAAATCTCTCAAGGTCTCCAATACAACACTAGCAGCAAATATTATAGGTAATTATTAAGGTCCTGAAAATTACATTCTTAAAATTGAAAATGATTTATTTTTAAAAAAATTGTTAATAAATTTTGAGTTCTGAATTTCAGGACTAATTAAGGCCATTAACGATCACACCAGGTTTCTTTTATCTACATAGGGGATTTTATCTTGATAATCTTCGCCAAAGGATTAAAACATCAAAGACGAGTGAGAATTTTGCAAAGATTTTTTACAATTAATTTTATTACATAGAAGAATTGTAAATTGTTGATTAACACATCATGTACAGCGATCCCCATAAAACTGTGAAATAGGAAAATGACTTTTTATTAGTCTTTAAGTGTATTTTATGTTAATAGAAATAAAGTTTTCTTGTTAATAGTTTGAGGAGTTAAATGGGTCCGTACTCCGTGCCCACTGCAAAATTTCTGTTTCTCATGTTCATTAGACAATTAAAATCATATCTTTAGTCTACAAGTCGTGGTTGTTTTACTACAGTTTATGGGGACCACAAACTCCAATTTGTTCATCCCTATATTTTTACAACCTGATCGTGTACAGCTTTAATATTTTTAACGTTTGTTATTGTACCTAGAAGAATTCATAATTAAAAATATAAAAGGTCTACTACTACACCAGGTTGCAAGGTCTACTACTACACCAGGTTGCAAGGTCTACTACTACACCAGGTTGCAAGGTCTACTACTACACCAGGTTGCAAGGTCTACTACTACACCAGGTTGCAAGGTCTACTACTACACCAGGTTGCAAGGTCTACTACTACACCAGGTTGCAAGGTCTACTACTACACCAGGTTGCAAGGTCTACTACTACACCAGGTTGCCAAGATCACCAACCAAGAGATACTTTTTCTAGGAATAAAGTAATATCTCTCTAAAAAGTGTCAACAATCCCTTTAAATTTATATTTAGGTTTGCTCCCTGGCTCCCAGTATGAAGTGAGTGTGTATGCTCTGACTGAAGAAGGTTCTAGTTCTCCGGTATCAGGTCTGTTCTGGACAGAGGTCGGGATACCTAAACAACCCTCTCCTCCCACCATAGTTAAACACGACCTGGATCATATTAAAGGAACTATACATGCCAAACTACATCCCGTGGAGGAGTTCTACGGACCTATCACGTCCTATCTCGTCCTTGTCCTGGACGAGACTACTCCGAGTCCGTTTGATCCTGAAACCTTGTTGGATTATGATACAGCAAAGGCCGAGGGATTAAACTACTGGGTTACAGCGGAGCTAGATACAGACTATCTTCATACTCATGAGGAGTTTACTATTGGAGATAATCAAGAATATCGTGGATATAAAAACCATGGTCCGCTCCGGGATAGAGATTACCATGTATCCCTGGCTGCTGTATCTCAGTTGAATGGGGTTACCAAGAGATCATTCGCCATGGTTAGTCATGATCAACACGATGTTGGTAACATGGTAGTTTTTAAATTCGAAAGTCTTGAAGATCAATCCAAAGATGATGACCATGATCATGATCATGATCATGATCATGATCATGGTCATGATGAAAATGATAAACATGAGGAAGAGAAGGTTGTGATTGAGGAAACCTTCTTGAAAACCATGACTGATGAAACAGAGAAACTATTAGATTCAACGGCAACGACCGTTTTAACCGTTTCAATCGTCGTTGCCGCGGTTCTTCTCATTCTAGCGGTCGGATTCTTTATGTTTATCCGATATTCTCTCGGTAAACGGTTTCGTAGACGGCGAACCAACAATCAGGAGCTGTTAACAACCGTCCCAACGATGGATCCACAGGAAAGTGGATACCTGGATAACGATGCATTCGAGACGGAGCAGCAGCGAACCCAAGAGGAATATTTCCAATCCCTGGACGGAAAAGTTTGGCAGATTCCACGGAATTTTGTCGAGGTTCAAAACGAGGTTCTTGGTCGGGGTAAATTTGGCACTGCCATGAAAGGTACCGTGAGTATGAACAACGAGATAGTCGCATGCAACGTGTACATCATCCCCAACAAGATGATGGATAAGACGGACAGGTTGAATATGCTTAAGGAGTTGGATCTGAACATCAAGGCCAAGTTTCATGAGAACATCACGAACCTAATAGGTATATGTGAGGAGCAGGAGACAACTTTACTCGTCCTGGATCCAGCAGAGATAGAGCTTAAACAACTTCTCCTAGATAGTCGGTCCTTGGAAACCCATCCTAGCTATGCGGAGAAATCAAACCGGTTTTCATCAATCCGTGAGGAGGACGCAATTAGTATCATGGTTGGTATAGCTGAAGGGTTGGATCATCTCACGCATAGCGGTGTTCAAATTCGTCAACTCTGCTCCCGGATGGTTTATATGGGACCTGGATACAGGCCAAAGATATTTGGGTTCGGAGTAGCGGAGTACAACAAGAGACCCCGGAGTTTAGATTACACAAGATGGAGTTCTCCGGAGACGCTGCTGAAAAACCAGTTCAGCTGTAAGAGTGCAGCTTGGTCCTTTGGTTGTATTATGTGGGAAATTGTTACTTTAGGTTAGTAAAAACCATTAGAAACCCATTTTTTACCTACTTTTTAATTATAAGTGTTATAATGAAAAGAAGCTAGTTATACTACAATATTTAGCGTATTTCTGTAACCATGATTGTGTCTATAAATTTAGTTTCCTAAAATTTTTTTTTATCTGAGCTGTAAACTTATAAATAAGTTGAGTTTTCAAAAGACAATCAGAAACTTTTGTTTTATGATTAATTTGTTCTGGCTAACTACCAACTGTTCTCCAGGTGCGACCCCTTACTGTGGTTTAAAAACCCGGGAGGTGAAGAGTCGAATTCTACAAGGTCTACGGTTGCCGCAAACCCGATACACTAGCGACATCTTGTATCAGCTGATGTTAACCTGCTGGATGACGGATCCAAGTGAACGGCCGGACTTCTCAACAGTCCTGGACTCATTCTCAGATATGGTCACTTCACAGCAGGTTAATAAAACATTGTAAACATAATTTTAAGCGAACCTCCATTAAAAGGTGGCATATCCGATTTACAATTAGTCGCTTAAATAAATAAAATAATCGACTTTTCCAAAGAAATAGAGGGATAACTCATCCTTGATCAGACAAAGGTTTAAAATTTAAAGTTGTAGAATGCCAGCTCTAAAAATTAAATTACGTTTTCGATCCCTTTAAATAAAAAACTTTTACGGAAAAGGCTTTTAGACGGGTGACATTTTAGTACTTTAAAATCTTGCAAGTTTGGATGAAAAGTTATTTTTTAGCTTATTTACGCTCATAAATTGGTTAAACAGCAATTCAAAGGAACTAATCACTGACCACACCATTTTCCATTCCTTTTATCTTTGAAACCTTAGATATTTAAAAAAGATATAGTTTGAAATATATTCATTGTTGTTGCTAGTATTATAACAGAGTATTGCGAAAGCCTGTTTTTATTACATTTTCGTAATTCAGCGTTATGCTGAAGCATTTTGTGATTTAATTTCCTTATGTTGCAGGGTCTGCTCTGGTATTCTCTTTACCCGGAGTTTCAGTATGAAGAATACAACCCGGAGCTAGAATTCGTCTCGTCCTCGTAGTTCGAGGGAGTACCCGGGATAAACCGGATACTAATCCAAACCCTAGTTTATATCCCAGTTCTTAAACTGGGAACTGACAATGTCAAAATTACTTTCAAAGCTTCCTTTTCAAAGTACAAAAATAAAACATTGATATTAAAGAAGTGAGATTTGTGTGAATCTACCCTAACATAACAGGGGAATTAAAAAAAAAATAAGACAAATATCAATTGTAGAAAGGAATTGAGTTTTTACAACAAACTCAAACCTTCTGATCCCAATATCTTTGCAACCTGATGGTCCAAACCTTTGATATTTCAAACTTAGATTATTTTATCTTTAAGTATTATTAGTTTGAAATATCTAAGGTCTACGACATTGGGTTACAAAGATATAGAGATTAGAAAATCAGAGTTTGTGGCAAAAACTCAACTCCTTTACACGCATACGCTTCAGCAACAAAGATTGGTGGAATCAGACCTGCTCCGTGAACTAGTTATGTGACGCAAATTAATTCTATTTCAATAGAGTTTTAAAAACATGGAAAATTGAAGTTGTCTTAGTTGAGCCTTGATAAAATTGTTATTGCAGCAAGAGCTGTAATGTTCAGCAATAATTCCCTTTAACAAGCCATGAAAAAGAAAATCTTTAAAAAAACTTTGTCTCTATCACTCAAAAAGAATATTTCGAAATTTGTCTGTCCTACTCGAACTCCTATTACAGTGTTGTAAACCTAGATTTATTAGCATATGTGTTTCAAAGCTAATTATTCGGCCATTTAAAAAGTTCTTGCCATTTTCTAAGTTTTATTTTTACATCAGACATTGTCCAAAATATACCGATTTAAGCTTAACCAAAACTGTAACCTCCAATTACTCATTAGTAAAGTAAACTTGAATAATGTAATGTGAATATGTAAAATATGGAAACTGTGATTATATAAAGTGATTTTTAATTATTAAAAACAGATTTTTGTTACTGAACCAACTGCATTTAAACGCAGATAGGCAGATAGGCAGTCTTGATTTTAGTTTAAAACAAGTAAAATGTAATGCTGTGAGAGGTTATTATTAAAAAATATACCATACAGTGAGAATCAGAAAACTGTGGAATTGGAAGACGATATTAAAGCAATACTTGAAGTGTATTTTATGTTTTTAAATTAGGCAAATAGTAATTGTAAATCACTGCACAATCGATGTGTCTCATGTTCACAAAACTTTGAGTAAAAGTTTTTTCCTATTCCAAGGTTATTTGGTTCTCATTGTACATAATATCACAAAGACTAACGCTCTTCTCCGATCCGTGTATATAAACCAGATTCTTGTACCAGAAAACAGAAAATAAAACATTCAAACTTTATGTGATTCTAGGACTTCAGATCTTTTTTTTTCTACAATAAAAGTCAAAATTGTAAAATTTAAATTTATTGAAATAACCTAAATCTATAACAGAAAAGCAGTATTAAACAGGTTTTCTAATTAAAATGAAAAAAAGACTATGAAATAATTTCAGTTGATGAGGTTATACTTAAATACTTAAAAATGAAAATTTTCAAAATTATATATTGATCCTGCTTTGCCAATAGATAAAATATAAATCAAATACCACATACTAACGTATAAATAACACAAATACAAAAACAATAACATACATCTAATTAAGTTTTACTGGGTATTTGACTCCCAAGAAGAAATGCGCGAAATCTGGTCTGTAAAATACGCAAGTTTATAGTCCTATACTGCCGAGCCCGTACTCAGCTCTCTCTAAAGGATCTGCGAAGGCGAGCCAGTCCGAGGCGTGTGTGGGTAGTAAACCCATGCCGTGGCATTTGTACATCGCCAGTGCCAGGTTGGCCAAGTTACCAAGTACAAATACAAATTTCTGCCCTAAATATAAAGTTATATTACTTTAGATTTGTCTTTCAAAGGGACGGTAACAGGAAGTAGAAGTGACCGTCCCTTGAAATAGTGTTATATCCGATTCACAACGGTACCCTTAAAAACTTTGTTTGATCAAATAGGATTTAGATATCCATGTTTTCGTTTTTGAAAACTGATAATTTTCGTCTGTTCCCTACAAAAATTACTTGTGAATTTCTTAATTGGAAACAATGGAGAAATTAACAGAATCAGACATTTTTCAAGCTAGAAAAAATACGCTTTTATGTTCCACATTTTTATAAAAGCGTCAAGGATTCCGTTGTGAATCAGGCACACTCCTATTTTATCCCCCTTGTTTTATTTTAGTGTAGGATTTTTCATCCTTATGTTAATAACATCGATTTTTCTGTTATGAATGAGGAACAAAGTTTGTATGAATTCTTAAAAAAAGGGTTAAAGAAAAACCTGTACCTATAGTATTTGTGACAATACCGCCGGATCCAGATTCAAAAGATTTAAACGTCTGTTTAACTGTAAACATCGTCTTCACAGGTCTAAATAAATAATATCTATATATAATTTTTTTTCAAATTTTTCAAAACATTTTTTTTCACGGGCAACGCCGGGCCCTTCAGCTAATAATAATATTTCATTCATCTAACAAATTCAAAGAACTGACATTTAACATAGAATTAAAGATTTGCAAATTAAACCTTAAATTATTAAAATAGATACGTTTTATAAATTAGTTTAATTCTCAATAATCTCAACTAAAACTAAAAGTGCAACAAGATTTAGTACAGTGATCGGCGCTTATATCAATACAATGATAAAGATGTTTGAAATCAAGTTTTGATTTCTGACAGCTTATTACAAATTATAAGTAAACAAATAGTAGAGTTGTTAAATGACAGCTTCTCTTAGTTTTTATGTTTTAGTTTTTGTAGAAAGCGAAATTGAAGTCGAAGTTATCTTTCTTGAATTGGTTTTTACGCCGACGACATTAGTTTAGTTCAGTTAGGTAGAAAAATAGATTTTTCAAAGCTTTTTATTTAATATATTTAAGAAATTTTCATTTGAAGATCTGTTTCCATAATTCATATTTATCGATATTTTGATTTCTTGCATAGATTTTCTTAATCTTATCAAACCAATTATCTTAAAAAAATTCTTTTAGGCAAAAAAATTTAAGCATCTTTATACAGTAGTAATCTCTGTTTATTTGTATGTCCAATCATAATTCAGGGACCCCTAAACCGATTTGCCTCACAATTGAATAGTAGAACTCTGTAGAACATTGAGAGTGTTTATTAAAATTTACTGGGAACTTCCCGACCAAACTGGGTTCCCAAACTAGCTTCTCAAACAACTAACCTGACCATCATCATGATAACCATCATGATTGGGAAGATGGATATGCTGTTCCCTGACATGTACATGATGAACAGGTTCATGGGAACCTGCTTCATCGGACCTAGAGCTACATCCCAGCTCCGCTTTATTCTCAGGTTGGGATCGGACTCTCTAAATACATAAAAAAATTAAGAGAAGTTAGATATTTAGTAGAAAAAGAAGGATCGAGAGTAAATGAAGAATTGCTAAAGAGAAAAAAAAAAATTTAAAAAATGATTTTCTCTCCTCAAACTCTAGTTTTCTATCGCCTATATCTTTTTTGGTTTGAATATACATTTAAATTTTTTTTTAGAAACCTGTTATTGTTGACCATTGATATTTTCAACCATGAATTCTGATTTTACTAATAAATAAGAAGGTTTAGACCATCGCTTACGAGGTTGAGAACATAAAAAGGTGAGAAAATTATTGAGGCGGGTAATTAGTTCCTTTGTAATGTATAATAGAACAAAATTGAATTAACCAACAAGAGAGAAATGGGTGAAAAATCCAAAATAAATCTTGGACATTCAACACAAGAACCCATTAAATCTTTTAGTTCAACATCAATACCAAATTCATCTTCTCTGCTCTCAATTTTACCTGGATGCTTCGTGATGGGTTGATGCAGCTCCAGGAGCGTAACCTGGAGGAGAAGAAAGTTCTGAACCTCCGGAGGATTTACTAAAATCTAGTTGCCATCTCGGTTTGGCACTTCGAGGCCGGCTCATAGACTTATCCTGACCTACCGACATATTTCTTCTGAAAAAAACCTACAAATTTATCTAATAAATTTAATATATATATATAGAGGTAGCACCGGTTTAACTAACATACGAGGTCATGGCCTTCTTCGAGGTTTCGTAAGCCAGGAACAAAGCTCCAGTAGCAGGGAAGGTACGAATAAGACTTGGACCAAGTCCACTATACAGAGCCATTAATCCTTCGGTTCGGTAGATTTGTGACATCAGTTTCAACATCGGGGTCTTACCCCCAGACACCTGTAATCTACTCTTCACAACATCGGCCGGAAATATAATCGTCCAAAGAGTTACTCCGGCCGTTCCACCAGCCACTACAGTTTTAAGAGCTCCAATCTCATCTTTAGTCTGACCAGGAGCTCGCAAAAGATCCCGCATAAGCTCGTATGCGAAAAAGAAGAAAAAGTATCCCGGCATTTCTCTTGTGAACGTAGCAGTCAATCCGCGAAATAATCCAGGAACTCCATCGGTTCTGAGAATATCCCGCGTAAGCTGGTATGGACCAATCTTCAGTGGCTCTTTTCCTTGAGACGTGGAGGACTCCCGCATAGCCTGCAGCCGGCACTTAACCAGCTCAGTAGGGCAGAGGGCGAGAGAAGACCAGAAGGCGGCCAGGAACCCGCTCATTCCATTGGCTGTCACACTCAGATCCTCAACCCTTGGAATTCCCATGGATTTGGCGATTAGTTTCTGACAAGCTCCGTAGGCGGCGAATAGAATACTATTCTCAGCTATATTTGCCGCCAGAGAAGGAACAGTTCCAGCATAAAACCCGCGAACAATCCCTTCATTCTCCAGGGTTCGCGTGAAGCAGACCTTGAGGTTTGGATAGAGCTGAGGAAAGGTTTGCATCTTGACCTTGAGTGTATCCAGGGGTTGACCCACATACACCGAGGTTGCTGCTCCCAGTGATCCAGCAATGAAATCAATCACCATATCTGTCCTAGCGTCCGGCATGTTTCCAGGTGTACTTTGAGCAACTGTATTGTCTGATCTGTTGTTAGAGTAAGGTTGGCTCGAGTCCAACATATTGTCATTAGAAAACGAGATTGCTTTCTCTCCAGACTTTAGTACAAACTCGGTGTACTATACTGTGTCTGAAAAAAAAACCAATAAATACATGTCTAAAATCTTAAATTTAAAACTTACCCCCCCCCCCCTCCCCCATAACTAAGTTTTCTGTTGGATGAAATTATCTAAGTTTGATTTATCAAGATGCAAATATATAGTGATTTGAATATTAGAATTTGCGGCAAGGAGGAGGGAGGGGATGTAAGCAAAATTTTAAATAAGTTATTGACATAAAATTTTCTTCAAAATCACACTTTGGAATACCTAGCAGCTAATATCTCTATATTCCTGTCGTATCCTCCTCCAATGACTGTGGATACAGGAATACCTCGTCTAATACAATTCCTAACTACAAGTTCATCTCTCCGCCATAATCCCTCGTCCGTCAGATCCAACTTCCCTAAAACAATAAATGTATTTGTTCTTCAAATATTGATAAATATTGAGTAAAAAAGAAAAAATATTTCGTTCAATGGATTTTATTTTGTATATTCATCCCTGAAACGTCCCTTCCGGTACGCAAGAGGGGTGGCCCCTTCGCATCCTCATTCTACCCATTTCAAAACATCTGGTCGCCCCAAACTCTTTGCTACACCCCTCTCTGTACTTTCCTTGTTTTCACATTTATACAACCTGGACTGCTATACAATTATACACAAGACATACATGTATGTAACAAGCTAATGTTAATGTTTACTTATATCATTAAAGTTGTTTTATCTTCATTTACTAAAAACAATTAATAATTTCAGTTAAGTTGGTTTATCCTATTTATTGTTAAGAGTTTCACGTTTTCATGTTTAATCTGGTGATTGCGCACTTTTTATAAAATATTGGCAGATTTTCTATTTTAACAATAAGATTGAAAACATGTCAATGTCAAAAACATTAAATACGCCTACTCCTCCTACTATAACTATACCTAAATCATCTTTAACGTGAGGATCTACTCCGGCATCGTATAAAACTAAATCAGGTCTGAGTGTATCTAGGAGATGAGGAAGGGTTTCGTCTAGGACTGCTAAATATTCACTAGAACCCCCAGGGGTGTAAGAATAGTAATACAAATGAAAAAAAAAAATATTAGAGTAAATCTCAAACTCTAATTTTCTAATTCACGTATCCTTGCAACCTGATAAACGTAAACCTTTGATTTTATAACTTCATAGTTTTCTTAGTACAAAATATCAAAGGCCTACATCAATTCGCATGTAAAGTAAGAGTTTGAGGCGAGTAAGCAGAATAAATATAGAAGAGGTTTCTTACTTGATCTTTCTTTAAAGTTTAAATATATTTTTTACACCCCTATCTCCCACGTGGTCCTCTAGTCCTATATCTAAATCACTTGCATTCTTCCTGAAAGGGAAGTTTGACTGACAGTGCATTGAGAAGGTGAACACCTCCGGGTTTTTGGAGAAGATAAGAGCGGTTCCATCTCCTTGGTGTACGTCTAGATCTACTATGAGAACTTTCTGCACTAATCCCAGGCGGAGAAGGGTTTCCGCGGTCACAGCAAGATCGTTGAGTAAACAGAACCCTAGATAAAGTATTATATTGATCCAAGTCCAGTAGATAGAGATAATTGGAATAAAGAGAGCCCTGAATATANTATATGGATGAAATGAACAGAACCCTAAATATAGTCTTATATTGATCCAGGTTTAGTAAATATATATGGATGAAATGAACAGAACCCTAAATATAGTCTTATATTGATCCAGGTTCAGTAGATACAGATAGGTGGAATGAACAGAACCCTTGATACTGTACTACATTGCTCAAGGTTCAGTAGATACAGATAAACGGAGTAAACAGAACCAGGATAAAGTACAATTTTATCTAGATTTAGAAGATACAGATAGATCTAGTAAAATACCTAAAATGGCAGAAATAAGATTATATCCGGAGTAATTACGAACCTAAATCTTGGTACTTTAGGTAATACCCGGAGTACAACTAACCTGAACCATAGTCAGGACCAGCATGATGAGTACCACCTCCAGTACTACAAGAAAGCCCACGAGTCAAGCTGACCATAGCAGACATCAAGGTTCCTCCAGTCTCGTATCTAACACAAGATAAACTTATCTCCAGAACCATTATAACACTTCCGCCTAGATAAGGGTTCCCTTCAGAGAAAGTTTGCCAGGTAGGAATAGGTAGGAGTAAGGGAAGTCTAAAAATTTTCAACAAAAGTCTGTCAATTTTGATGAGAAAATACCAACAAAGATAAAATCAGGGAATAGGAATAAAGGGAAAGGAAATGGCGCTGGTCTGGCATGAGATTGCCAGTCGCACTGCTTTGCAGACAAGTTCGGTAAACCTTACACACACTCTTTTGGTACAGACACACAACATTACTACAGTCAAGGAAATTGCAGAACAATGTCGTCAATTATAATCAAGCTTGAATAACGAGTGGTTTATTGTAAACTTTAATCAAATTATATTCTTTGCATGAAAATCTGGCTTTTTAGTGTTGACTTAAATATGTAAATAATATATTACATGCATATTAAACTTATTTTTAAGTAAATAATTAACAATAAACAAATGTACTCTCCTAGGCTGTACAAATACCGAGATTCTTACTGTATAAACCTTTAGTTCGGTAAACTTTACACACACTCTATGTCCACATTTATAAAGTTTTCACGGCTCAATATATATAGTGTAACTCGACCCCGCCCCCCCCCCTCTTACAATCCAAATTAGACCCGTTTGGTAACGTGGGCAGTGCGGAGGCTAGTTAAGTTTCTTCGTTAAATACAAATAAAAATTCTAAATACACAAACTTCAGATCTACGAAAATCGAAATCCAAACTACTCTACCTACCTAACTCTGCTGCAGAGACCGTGGGTCCAGATAAATCCAGTTCTTCTCTGTTCCTCGCTAGACGTCTCTCCGTGGAAGAACTTGTTCACATACTCCTGCCGTAGGTTCACGTTTAATCTTTGCACAGGGAAGAAAAAAGAAGAAAAAATAACGATTTGACATAACCCACAGCATTTTAGGTCCAGCAGCAACATAAAGGGACAGCAAACTTTATTTCAAGAGATCCTCCAATGATCGAGGAGCATGTCCGATTCACAACAGTAACCCTTTTTATTATTTATTTATTTTGTTTCTGTTCTAGAAAACTGTTCATTTTCATTTGTGGTTTTTCTACTAAAGTGACGTTCGTATATTTATTGCTTCAGAAACAATGAAGAAAATATCAGAATTAAACTCTTTTTAAACCATAAAAACAAAGTCATCTTTGAGATTATTGGTTAGATTAAGGTTTCAAGGGTACCATTGTGAAGCTGGCTGCCCCAATTTAAATATATAATCACTTTAAATTAAGACAACTGTCCATTTAAATGTAAGATCACTTTAAATTACGACAGCTGTCCCTTTAAATGTAAGATCACTTTAAATTAAGACAACTGTCCCTTTAAATGTAAGATCACTAAAAATTATGACAACTATCCGTTTAAGTGTAAGATCACTTAAAATTACAACAACTGTCCCTTAAAATGTAAGATCACTTTAAATTAAGACAACTGTCCCTTTAAATGTAAGATCACTTAAAATTACGACAACTATCCCTTTAAATGTAAGATCACTTTAAATTACGACAACTGTCCCATTAAATGTAAGATCACTTTAAATTACGACAGCTGTCCCTTTAAATGTAAGATCACTTTAAATTAAGACAACTATCCCTTTAAATGTAAGATCACTTGAAATTACGACAACTGTCCCTTAAAATGTAATATCACTTTAAATTAAGACAACTGTCCCTTTAAATGTAAGATCACTTAAAATTACGACAACTGTCCCTTTAAATGTAAGATCACTTAAAATTATGACAACTATCCCTTTAACTGTAAGATCACTTAAAATTACAACAACTGTCCCTTTAAATTTAAGATCATTTAAAATTATGACAACTATCCCTTTGAATGTAAGATCACTTTAAATTACGATAACTGTCCCTTTAAATGTAAGATCACTTAAAATTATGACAACTATTCCTTTAAATATAATATCTTAAAATTAAGACAACTGTTCCTTTAAATGTAAGATCACTTAAAATTAAGACAACTGTCCCTTTAAATGTAAGATCACTTAAAATTATGACAACTATCCCTTTAAATGTAAGATCACTTAAAATTATGACAACTATCCCTTTAAAGGTAAGATCACTTAAAATTATGACAACTATCCCTTTAAAGGTAAGATCACTTAAAATTATGACAACTGTCCCTTAAAATGAAAAGAAAATCTAAAAGCTAAACAAAGATAAAAACCTGGAACAGACGAATGATATTAGTTTATATCTAAATCTTTAGAAGAAAAAGAGGAATAGGTTTTAAGGTATTTATGAGGGTCAAGAAAGATAATTATATCAAACTTTAATGCACAATTTTTCTTTGTAATTTGAATTCGTTGCTTGATTAAATACGAATCTACCTCGTTCCTCAGAGTGAGCTAAACAAGCTAGTTCCTGAGATACATGGGTTGGAGAGATAACTTGAACCTTTGGATTTATTACTCCATCCCTAAATAAATATAAATCTACTCGCTGAAGTGCCCGGCGTTGTTCGTGGAATTTTAAATTACTTAAAATATTTTTTTCAAAATTTCGAATTTTGAAAAAATCGAAATTTTTAAAACTTTGTCATTCCAATGGGTTTCCTTAAATAATTCAGACAATTTGGTCCATCCGTTTGGCCAGATATGCTAACATATATCTATATAATAAATATACATATATGTGAGCGAAGAGCTTTATTATATAGATTAATAGAATTCAAGTTATGATCATCAGCTGTAATGGGTTCAGTCAGACTGAGTTCAATAAGTTAACAACAAATGAAGCTAGTTTCTGAGCTTCACAGGATTGGTAAGTAAGGTCAAATATATTCCAGCTGAGAACATTATTAATAAGTATATATATTTGAATTGTCTGCTTGTATCCAATAAATGTCCTAACAAACCCAACATTTATGATCAAATAACAAGGAATAATAATAAATGCTTGGTCTCCAAAATTTATAATCTTATTTTCTTATTTTATGAAAACAGAAAATCTGCGAAATCCTTGATTTTATAAGAGAAAATTAATGAATTAATATAGAATAGTTAAAAAGCACCAATGAATTTACTTGACGAGAACATTGAAAAGTTCTCTAAACTTTGTCATCTGGAATCTATGGTTTATCGGCAATCCACAGACATATCCTTCACTGTGGATTATTGGAAGCTTGTTTACTCCTCTCAACCTTGTCTCCAGGTTCTCATACTGATCCCTGGCTAGTTCTAATTGTTCCCGGAGACGGAAATTGCTGAACCCTCTTCTGATGGTAGACCACCTGGAGTAATTCATTCTTTCTGAAACAAAGTTCAAGATTGGATTTCTGACTTAACATTTAATCAGAAGGTTCAACGTAAGATTTAATGCGAAAACTTTTAATGACAGGATTAAGCTGAATTCATTTATAGGATTCAGTTTTACTCGTATTAGTATAGGATTCAGTTTTACTCGCATTAGTATAGGATTCAGTTTTACTCGCATTAGTATAGGATTCAGTTTTACTCGCATTAGTATAGGATTCAGTTTTACTCGCATTAGTATAGGATTCAGTTTTACTCGCATTAGTATAGGATTCAGTTTTACTCGTATTAGTATAGGATTCAGTTTTACTCGTATTAGTATAGGATTTGAATGCATTGTGAAACACTCAGATAAAAGATCTGCACAAGGGTTAAAATTTCTGTCTCAGAATGAATTTTGAAAAGTTACAAGATTTAGGATTAGGAATTGATCATAAGGTTGAATTTCAAGTTTCAATGAGATCGTAAGGTTGCAGATTAAATTTAGGAATTGATCGCAGGGTTGAGGAATAAAGTTTAGGAATCGATCATAAGGTTAAAGATTCACGTTCAGAATTTGATCGTAAGGTTGAAGATTAGAGTTCAGGAACTGATCACAAGGTTTAAGATTAATAAACAGGTTTAACCATTCTTAACTAGGTTTCAGATTTCAAGATTGAATAACAGAATTGTAATGTTCTCCGAGTCCGTGAAGATGGCGGTGGTATGTCAGGGTTAGAGTTTGATCTCTATACTCTTCTCCGACTAGGATATCAGGACCTTCTCCTTGAATAACCTAAAGTACACCAGTATAAAAATGTACTTCTAAAATGTCATCTGTCTTTTACGATCCCTTTACGATCCTTTTACGATCAAATAATTAGTTAAATATTTCGGAAAATCATTCTTAAGATTACCTGGATTGGTTTCTTAAGAACCCTAGATAAAGCTCTAAGCTCTAATTGTCCTCCCCAGGCGTGTGTACTTCGCATTGTATCACAGTACTCGGTATATTCTGTACTAGTCAACATATCTCCAGTTCTATACATATAACATGATATTTTTAATGATCAGGAAACGCTATACTAGTAAAGATCTCTGGCCCTTCAAAATAGCTTACATTTTTTTGCGATTATCAAGTTTTTACAACATCAAGTACATTAACAGTGTCACTGTCAAGTGTAATGTCAGATGTAAAAAATAGTGTATGAAATAATATCTCACTTATATAAAAAAATAATCTTACTCTGGGTTTGAAAGGAAAGGAATATACTCCTCCTGGTTCTCCAGGAGCTGGTTTGCTGTCTCCGCCCTAAGATCCTGGACGGAGGATTGAATATCCAGGAGCTGGAGTTGGTGAAGTATACTGGCAAACATACAGTCTCCGTCGGAGGAGATCTAGGGATGGTACGCGATGTAAATTTAAAAGAATAAAAGATGAAATACGTGCCTTATGATGTGCAATCCCCCCCCCCTGATATACAAAACTCATTAAATTAAAAAACCATTTACCTCTTTAAGTTTTAGTTTCTTATTATTTAATTTTTCTTTGATTGCTTCTTGTTCTTTAACTCGAGGTCCCAGTTTATTTATCTCTTCTTGTTTATCTATTTCTTTTTGTCTTTCTTTCTCTTTTGTGTTTTTGGCGTCTCTTCTTTTTTGAGCCTAGACAGCAGATTTTAGATTAAAGAAGGAAACACGATTGATTATAAATTATAACAAACACCTACATTGACCAATAAATGAATATTAAGGAAAATGTATTCAAAGAAGTATGAAAAGCGTTAAAGTTAAAGATAATATTAAGTATAAAACAATAACACTAAACTGATAACCAGCAAAATAAAAACTCTCCACTACACGCTACATATATCTCCGGTCTGTGTACTGTAAAATACTGCAGAACGCACTAAAAGCTTAGTTGAGGGTGTCAGATTCATGAATAATTTAATTTTGTTTATGTCGGTTTCAGACACTTTACAGAGATTTTGAATAGAAAATTCATAATTCAATCATTAAATCACGTAAAAATCTTTTTAAATACATACTTTTGAAATCTTTGATGTTTTCTCCTGCCTGTTTCCTAGAGGACCCAGAGCAGCCTCCTCCTCCTCCTCGCCGTCTTTAACCTCCGGTGCATCAATACTGGGAACCCTAGCAGAAACAATGATATTTTATTATTAAGTTTTCAAAGAAATAAACTTTTTCTCCCAATACCTTAATCGTTGGTCTAACAAAATTATTAATAATTACTTGTTATATCTATTCATATGAAGTAGTAATCGGTTTGTCTGTTTATATGTTCGATCATAACTCATAATTCCCTTGACCGATTTGCCTCAAATTATGATATGAAAACTTGTTCGAACCACGGAAATGTTCTGAGTTTGGTTTAAACTCTAAAATGAATTGAGAATTAAAGAAAATATTGGTTTCCATATAAAGCTGGGTTTCCAGGCTGGTCAGGATTAATTTAAAATTTTCTTAAATCTTTATTTAAGTTTGAAAGTTTAAGGATTCCAGATTCTGCACAATTGACAAAGATCTTTTATTAAGTAGATTCAGACACGTGACATTTTTCTCAAAGAATTGAGTCTTTGCCACAAACTTGTATATTCTAATCCCTATATCTTTGTAACCTAGTGGTGTAAACCTTAGAAATTCCTCACTTATAATATTTGATCTATTAGAATTCATAGTTTAAATATCAAAAGTCTACACCATTGGGTTGCAAAGATGTTGGGATCAAAAAATCAGAGTTCGTGGCAAAGAACCATTTCCTTTAAATCAAAGAGTTTCCGTTGTAAAATACAATCAGAGGTTCAGACCTTAGAACCTTGAAATGGACGGAACTGATTTAAATCGGTTGATATAAGTTAACAAGGAGTTAAACCTATCTCTCATTGGTCCAAATAAGAGATAGAAATCTCAAATGATAATTACCTTGAACTGTCCTGAGTAGTCGCAGAGTCGCCCTTTTCTAAAGCTTCTAACTCCTGTTTATGTTTCTGGTGTAGCTCTGATTCTAGTTTAATCACTGTATCTGCTACCTCCTTCTTCTTCTTCTTATCTCCTTTTGTCGCAGTTTTCTTTAGAGCCTGGTTTAGGGGTGTCATCAGTTTAGTAGATTTAAAAAGAGGCCCGTTGAAGTAAGAGCTAGCAGGCAATTTTTGCTTAAATTCTATTGTTTTATTTATGTATCCCCACCCCCCTCCGAGGATTTTAACTAAGCGAGATTCTTACTGTATAAACCTTTAGTTCGGTAAACTTTACACACACTCTATGTCCACATTTTGGAGATTTTAACCTTCCTACACCCCTGCCTGTATCTCGGCTTGAAGGTCCTTCTTCTCCTTCCTCTGCTGCTTTAGCAAAACCTCCTTCGGATCGTTTTCATCGTCAGACATTGCAAATTCTGAAATATTTATAATTCTGAAAAATAAAATAAAAACAAAAATTTTTTCTCTCAATACTTTAAACATCACAGTCTTTTCTATCACAATTATGAAATAAAACGTTCAGTTGAACGAGTAATACGAGATTTAAATGCCTTGTTTATGTTTGACCGCCAGGAATGCTTAGAATCTTTTGTTATAACTAAAGTCCACTTCCTATTCCTGAGTTTTCTGGTTATCACTGTACATCAAAACCGATCCATAGGAACTGCTGAATCGTAGAAGGTTCCCTCATCGTCTTTCCAGTGTAAACTCCAATGGGCTCTGGTACCGTAAACAACTCCCATCCTGAACCTACTCAGCAGATAGTCAGGGTTTAAACTCTCCGCAGATATATTCCACGTGATCAGGTTTTCAAGTCTCCGCAAACCAGGACAGTTCTCTAGGAGAGAGAATACTGATTTCTCGGAGAGAGAACTAGTTCTGGAGAAATCCAGGTTGAGTTTTGTCAGGTTAGTCAGGTGCGGAAGGTCATGGAGTAGCTGGAGAATATCAGGGTCCGTAATCTTATCTTCAACTCCGTTCCGACGGACAAACAACGAAATTTTGTCCAGATGTAGTTCTCTGAGCTGAACACAAGCCTGGAGAAGGTCTTTTAAATCTTGATAATCCATCCTGTCCCTGTAATTATCCCGGCATATTCGTAATTTTACCAGATTCTCAAATCTAGGATTTTTACATTTAGACAGTGGAACGTAATTTATACAGAGTTCTCTGATGTTTGGCATGAGCTCGGAGAGATCTAGGATCCTGGAACATTTTCGTATCCGGAGAAGGTTAACCAAACCATACACAGGACCTGGGATATCTGGTCCGTCCAGGTAAAGCAAATCATTGTGAATACCATCAAACTCAACCGTTCTCAGGGCAGGGAACAGAATTGGGATGGTTTTAAGAACATCTGTAACAAAATCCACTTCAGGAACTCCGTTAAAGAACTCCAGAAATCTGTCTGAGTGCTCGGTTTGGCTGGAAAAGAAGTTCATGGACATGTTGATGAGGGAAGTGTTGGGATGAAACCTACGACAAAAAAATATTATCTGTTGAGAAATAATGTCGTCGAAATAATTACTGAACAAAATTCTTCGATCAATACCCATTAAAAAAGATATTCCAGGGAAAGTATCAAAATATAAAGATATAACAAACCCTTGCTGCCTGGCAGAGTGAAGACGTAGAGTTAGTTTGATCCAAGAGAAATGAGAAGAACGAAGATGAAGAGAAGTTAAAGTTTTTATTCCAGACAGGGATATCAGAGTCTTGGAGGTTACACTTTCGGAGAAACAATCCTGAAGGACAGTTAAAGCGTACACTTTGAAGGTAATTCATATTAACAGTCCTCAACAATAAAGAGATTACGTTTTTATGAAAATAGCTTAAAAATATTCCTTTGAAAGTGTAATATCTACAGTGATCAGAACAGTTCAGAGGTTAATCTTAAAGAGAATCCTGAACAGTTTAGAGGTAGCCCTAATTAAATCAAATCAAATGGGTTGGCGTTCGCTTGAGGCTTCCTCGAGGAAGAACAGAAGAAGGTATCAATTTCAGAGAAACAGTTCTTAAAAGTTGAGAAGTTACACTTTCAGAGAAACCGCACTGAACAGTTAGCACCTTCAGAGTTAAACATTTCTTATCAGTTTAGATTTACACTTTCTGAGAATTAGTTAATAACAGTTTAAAGGTCCTCCAATTTCAGAGAAACAGTTCTGAAAAGTTCAGAGGTAACACTTTCAGAGAAAAAAGTTTTAATAGTTAAGATATTACACTTTCAGAGAAAAAGTTCTGGATAGTTTAGAGGTTACACTTTCAAAGAAACAGCTCTGCACAGTTCAACAGTTCTTTCAGAGAAAATTTCTGAACAGTTTAGAGGTTACACTTTCAGAAAAAAAGTTTTGGATAGTTTAAGATCAATCAATCAATCAATCAATCAATCAATCAATCAACTAACCAATCAATCATCCAACCAACTAACCAGCCGACCAACCCACCAACCCAACCAACCTGTTGCTCCTCTGCGTGTTCAGGGATGATTTGAATTTTCAAATATTCCAGTTTCCTGCAGTGGCGTCCAACTATACTTAACGTGTCGTCGTCACAGAAATATCTAGAAAAAAAATCCATTTTCTTTATATCATTCCATTTTCTTAGTAACATTAGTTTCGCGTCACCGTCTTTAAATATTAGTTTGTGCGTAATAAATTAATAAAGTCCTTTTTTAAAACCCCCCCTTGCACCTTTGAAAATCAACTCACAGTGGCAAAGACAAGGGCAATTCTGAAAAGCTCTGTCGTAATTATATTTCACCACGACCTGAGCATGACTAATTCCGCCTTTAAACCTTAATCTGATCTTATCCTTTTTCTAGCTTAAAGAACTTTTGATGATGCCAAAGCTTTAAGAAGAAAATAATATATTTGTAATATATTTATATATACCCGGCCCTGTAATATATTCATATATACCCGAACCTGTAATTTGTATAAATGTAAAACTCGATCAAAGATTATGAATCAAACCTGAGGATGAGATGAGAAATATTCTCTAGCTTAATCAAGAATATCTTTAGTTCCGGTTTCCAGGTAGAATCTGATACTTCGTACAGGAAGGATAGTTTCTCTTTACTAATCTCCGAAGATCCCAGAGATACCTTGCTAATCAACAGATTTAACAAATTATTTAATGAAGGTTTTGTGAAAAAAATATACTTGATAAAATACATAGTTGGTTTTGTGACTTCTGTATTAATACTTTCCTTTTCTTTCTGTCCGTTTGTATCCAATAAAAGTCAAAACGGCTAAACCAATCGGCCCCAAATTTTGTGTAGGACCTCACATGACCCAGGTCCCCCAGGGAAGGTGTATGGCACATTAAAATTGAAAAAATGCCTGGAAGTAGTTGGGATTTTTTTTTTTTTAAATGCGCCAATTCGTTAAGAAAAATCTGTAAAAATTTGAAAATAATTGAAAATGGCCGACTTATTATTTACTGGAAAGGGGCGCGAAGCGCCCTTAAAGTCTGGTATCTTGAAAACATTTAAATAAAGAGTAAATTGCAGAAACCAATTTCTCACATATATCTTTTTTTCTTACAAAAATTTATGCATTAATTGTATCTTATTAAGTTTGAAAAAAAAACTTTTCTCCATCTAATGTTTCTGCAAGAGAATTTAATAACTATACCAATTATAAAATTGTTTATTTAACAAAAAAAATAATTTGGTATATTTCCTAAAGCAACGAAATGATCTCACGAAAAAAAAAGAAGTTTGACAGAAGATTAAAGATGCCAAGAGTTTTCTCAGTATGCACTATGCATAAATTCATAAAAATTTCGGAAGAATTTAAATTAGTTGAACCGCATATATTGTTGTTTAGGATTTGATGATAAATATGTATATATAAATAATTTTCGAAAATCTAAGTGTACAATGAACTTTTGAATAGACTGATTTTTTAATTAAATCTTTCCTGATCTGTGGAAACAATTTTCTGGATTCTTGGATATATTTAAATATTTGACGGGATCCACTTTCTGCAACAATTTCACTAAAAATATACAAAAATGTGTTCTGTGTGGCATAAAAATACACTAATAATATGACAAATCAGTTTCATTTTTCTCCAATAATTTTGCTTGAATTGTTGAAAGTTTTAAGTTCTTTTTTCACTTTTCTGGAACTTTTCGAATTTCTTTTTTATATTTCAAAACGTACATTAACTTTTGCCATTATTTCATTTTAAGCCATGTTCCTCTGAAACCAAGAATGTACCTTAACTCTAGACTAGAGCTGTGGCTGTTGAATAGATTCCACCCGGAGAAACTTGACCCTAAGCTCTGAATACTCCGGACCATGGAGTAGTTCTTCTCCAGCTTGGAGTTGAGGGTTGAGTGGATGAGGTTGAATACAATATCTCTGGTGGAGAGGGGTAGAACGGAGAAGTAGGATTCCAATTCTTCTAGTTCGGGGGAACACTCAGGAGCTACCTTTTCCAAACCTTTGGAATAATAAAACAGTGATATATATTACAGTGATATATATTAAAGTGATATATATTAAAGAGTGATATATATTAAAGTGATATATATTAAAGTGATATATATTAAAGTGATATATATTAAAGTGATATATATTAAAGTGATATATATTAAACAGTGATATATATTAAAGTGATATATATTAAAGTGATATATATTAAACAGTGATATATATTAAACAGTGATATATATTAAAGGCATAACGAGAAAGACCCGGAATTAATTGACAGTTAATCAGGCGACTGGCAATTTTATATGCTCAAAAAAAAGGCAGACCAAATTTTGGAAATGACAGGACTAGAGCTATGTGATTATCGTTTCATAAATCATATTTGTAAAATTAGACAGTAAAATAGTCTGATTAATTGTAAATTAATTCTGGGTCTTTCTGATTAGGACAGTATAGTGTATAATGTTAAAAAATATTTATACCAGGACATTTTTTGTTTCCAAATGTAAAATTTTCTCCAAGGTTTATGCAACAGAAATTCGCAAGTCACTTTTCCAGTGAAACCAGTTTAAAATAATCCATTTTTAACAAGAAACAAATGGATATCTCATTCATTCCTCGTCCGCCAAAGCTTTCATTGTACAGTTGTGAATCGGACATGCACCTTTATAAATAACGTCACATGACGTTTACAATCTCATATAGCGGGATTTAAAATTTTCAAATCCAACCTGCCAGGAAGAATGTTTGTGAGAGAACGGAAGCACTGAGACGGAGAAGAGACTTAACCCTGCTCCGCAAACAACCATCAACTCCGACATCAACTAATCCAGTCAAATTGTATTCTACCAAATTTTTGGATCCTGGCTTTGGTTCATTGTTGAGATAATGCTAGATTTTAAGAAACATTTGAAATACAATTAAAGTTTTAAGGGGGGGGGGGGGCCTTTTCGAAAATGTGTATCCAAATTTGACCTTAAAAAAACATATTCTTTTAAACTTTGACAAATTCCTAAAGCTATAGGTTTCACCTCGAAATCTTTGTGTGCAAACATTTTTCTGAAAATACAATCAATCTATCAATCAATCAATCAATCAATCAATCAATCACCCTGATGGCAAATTTCAGATCTTTAATTCCCAACCAAAACATTATATAAATATAAATTTGCAAGAATAAACTATTTGACTATAATTGTTTCCATGTTTATGTGTATCCAATCCTTGCTGTTTGAAACCTTGGTAGATGTCAAAAATTGTAATCGAAAGTAGTCGTCATTGTATTGATATAAACGACGACGACTGTAGTTATATTTATATTACTATTAGAACGACCCTTAGTTTTATACATTATAAATAAATAAAATTCTTTAAACAAGACGATTATAAAAATGTCGAACTTCTAAAGTTGTACTTTTTCTGGTCTTTTATATTATTAGGCAGTAAAATACAAACCAACCGAAGTATTTTTTTATGTAAACCGGAGATGAAATTTAAAGAATTTGACCCGCGGTTTAAATCCGCTAAAACCCGGTTTAAATTAAGCGCCGGCTTAAATCTTGAAACATTTGATAAAAATTTAAGTGGAACCAGCCATAATTAAGCCGCGGCTTAAATTTAAACCGCCGCTCAAATTCTTTAAATTCGGCCACTGAATGAATATTTAAAGGCAATAAATATTACTCAATAAATCACACCAATATATAACCCAAAGGAATCGAGTCCTGACACAAACTCTGATTTTCTTATTCCAATATCTTTGCAACCCAACATTGTAGACCTTAGATATTTCAAACTATAAATTCTGTTAGAACAAATAATCTAAGTTTGACATTTTAAATGTTCAAACTTCCAGTATGCAAAGATATAGGGATTAGAAAATTTGAGTTAGTGGTAAAGACTCATTTCCTTTTCTTATAATTACGTAAATAGCTGTTGAAAGTTATAAATTGTAAATTCAACAAAGAAGAAAAGCCCCGAACCAAAACAATAATACAAAATATAAATAACAAATCACAATATTTTTCTAATAAGCTCAACATTTTTAGATTGTTATATTACTGATGATTTTGTTGCAAAGATAACGCCTTTCCAAGCAATTAATTGAACTATTTCTTTCTATTATTTGATTTATTTGATATTTCTTTAACTTATGTATTTAAGAGTTTTTTTTGTGGATTTGCAATGACTTGAGAATGCGTATTTCTGTTTGCTTTCCTAGTCTGGTAGTGGTCAGGCAGGGGTCTATTTTTCATAAAAAATCATTCCCCACCATAAATAATTTCTTAATTTTTTTATATATATACCCCTGCATTCAAGTGACTCAATGGGAAATATCTAATTTGCGCATTCTGCTCAAAAACAAATATGGAATAATATTTAATTGCGTATTTGTGTACCAATATACACTTAGGACAGACTTAATTGCGTATTTGCGTCAAGAGATCCACATTTGCAAACACAGCCAGTAACAGGACAAACAGCATGCGCTTTAAACCAGTCCAGGAGATGCTCAGCATGCCCACCATGCCGGCATGTTTGACACCAAGTAAACCATTCTCCAAATCTACACAACAAAATGTCGCCATTCAGGATATGGGGAGGGAGAGGNAAATAACTCCTAAAGGTTTACGGCAGCTGGGACACGCCTAGAAAACATTTTGTACAGGGGTCATAAATAACTCCTAAAGGTTTACGGCAGCTGGGACACGCCTAGAAAACATTTTGTACAGGGGTCATAAATAACTCCTAAAGGTTTACGGCAGCTGGGACACGCCTAGAAAACATTTTGTACAGGGGTCATAAATAACTCCTAAAGGTTTACGGCAGCTGGGACACGCCTAGAAAACATTTTGTACAGGGGTCATAAATAACTCCTAAAGGTTTACGGCAGCTGGGACACGCCTAGAAAACATTTTGTACAGGGGTCATAAATAACTCCTAAAGGTTTACGGCAGCTGGGATACGCCTAGAAAACATATTGTACAGGGGTCACAAATAACTCCTAAAGGTTTACGGCAGCTGGGACACGCCTAGAAACATATTGTACAGGGGTCATAAATAACTCCTAAAGGTTTACGGCAGCTGGGACAGGCATAGAAAAAACTATTGTACAGGGGTCATAAATAACTCCTAAAGGTTTACGGCAGCTGGGACACGCATAGAAAAAAAACTTTTGTACAGGGGTCATAAATAACTTCTAAATAATGTTTTCAGTACAGTGCTGTTCTTAATAAACAGGAATAACTTGTCCAATTCTGAACGAAATCATTCATATCTCCGGTTAATATGAAAGCACAAAAAAGGCAGACCACATTTTGGAAATGCCAAGAATATGGCTACTTTTCTTAATAGCACAAGAATTTTCATTTTTCCCTTATCTTTTATCAAAACTTCGTTTAATCTTACACAAAATCATTACTAAATTTAACAAGGCTGATGTTCCGTATTAACTCCAGTGTAGCAGTACACTGTTAATATTACCTGAGATTTAGATTTGTTCTGTACACTACCCTGCCTTGAAAGTACACTGTTAATATTACCCGAGATTTAGATTTGTTCTGAACACTACCCTGCCTTGAAAGTACACTGTTAATATTACCTGAGATTTAGATTTGTTCTGAACACTACTCTGCCTTGAAAGTACACTGTTAATATTACCTGAGATTTAGATTTGTTCTGAACACTACCCTGCCTTGAAAGTGCACTGTTAATATTACCCGTGTGCGAAAATAATTTTCGAAACTTTCTTTTGTGGGGTTTGATGAGCAACTGAAAATAAATAAATAAAAAGTTGCTTTTTGTTTTCCCAACTAAGTGAGAAAGTATCCTAAAGAAAAAAAAAGTGTTTTTAAAGAAAGATTTTAATAATATTCTTCAACACAGTCTACAAAATAGCACGAGAATTGTCATCTTTCCTTCAGTTTTATCAGAACTTATTTTTTTTTAAACTTTTCTCTTTTTAAAAACTATATCCATCCCTGGAGTTGTGTCTCCCAGCTCGGATCAGACCTGGATAAAGAGATATCCAACTCCGACCTTACTCCGAACATGTTCCACTGATCCAACATTTGTCTAAATATCAAAGGTTAAATAAATTCGGATTAGGATTGAAGAGCGTAGTTGGAAAAATTTCAAACAGCTGCCCAATTACTAATGAACAACATAATTATGCATTTACAGACTGCAGAATATCGTTTATATAATGTGATAATTGAAAGCTTTTAAAAGGCTCCTAAAAATCTGAGAAGCTTAACAGTTAAAATATCTAAATAAATAAGAGATGAGTATTGAGTTCTCTGACACAAGATTAAAGTGGTTCAGATTTCTCTGTTTGCTAAGTATAATAAAAGCAAACTTGTGTGGAATAATAATCTTAAAATATTTAACTTCACAGATTTTTGTGCAGCCAAATGAACTCCAAAAAAATGAAATATCAGAGAAACTACAGTACCTGTAGTTATCAATCCAACTGACGACTCCGGCAGATCGGAGAATTTCCGGAGGCAATATCTTTAATGAAATTAAACTAAAGTACCTGTAGTTATCAATCCAACTGACGACTCCGGCAGATCGGAGAATTTCCGGAGGCAAAATCTTTAATGAAATTAAACTGGCAGTTTGTATATCTCCGCTCCTACATATATAAAATCTTTAATGAAAGTACAATTGAGTGGGATCCGCAAGATTTTGGCTTCCTGGATCCGGATCCACAAAAATATGCGGATCCACGGATCCGGATCCAAGGAGGTAAATATCAACCAAAAAGCTGCCAAAAAAATTTTTTTTTTTACTCCTAAACACCAACTCTGAACTTTTGAAAAACGAGATTATAAAAATTTCCTCATTTCTGAATGGTTTATCAAGTTTTAGGAAAAAAACAAGCGAAAAAAAATAAAACAAAAAATTTGAAAAGTATTTTTTGTTAAGAAAATCAGTAAATCTTAAAGTAATGACCTGGATCCGGATCCGGATCCGGATCCGGATTTTGATCCATTTTTTTCCAGTGCAGATCCAGGATCCGGATCCGGGTCCGCATCAAAATTAAATGGATCCTAAGCACTGATAAATACTGATACAGGAACAAATCATTATTGTTTATTTTCTAAAAACCCGTCATAAAATCTACCATGCCGTTTTTGTCTTTCTATAAATTTGGAGTCATTTTGCTTGTTTATCCGCGACATTATTAGTGTCATGATTTGCGGCTTGATAAACAACATCTTTAAGCTAAAATTGTCACCAGAAAGAAGCACCAGAAAAGTGGACGCGAAGCACCCGAAAAGCCCAGTAAACATACTTTTAAGGAAAATAAAAATCTATTTTATTCTCCACCTGTCAACATACGCCTGGAGTACTTCAATTGACTCTTGATGGGTCCGGGATAGGATCAATCCTTCCAGGCTTCCAGACAACAACAGCTTACTCCGCTCCTGATCAATCAATCAATTAATCAATCATTGAATCAATCATTGAATCAATCATTGAATCAATCATTGAATCAATCATTGAATCAATCATTGAATCAATCATTGAGTCATTGAGTCATTGAGTCATTGAGTCATTGAATCATTGAATCACTTAATTATTGAATCACTGAATTAATCAACGAATCAATCAATAAATCAATCAAATCCATGAATCAATCAATGAAAAAGAATCAATCAATGAAAAAGAATCAATCAATGAAAAAGAATCAATCAATGAAAAAGAATCAATCAATGAATCAACCAATCCTGGAAAGTTTAAAGACTTCTCTCAGAGGCATTAGAGAGATCATATGATTGAACTGAGCAGTCTTACCTTTTCTAGGTACTCTAGGAGTAGCTTGTCGGAGAGAAACCGAGAGGCAAATGCAACCCGGTCAAGGAAGGATAGATTGTTCCCGGAGAGGACATCGGAGTAGGATTCATCCTCCGAGGTTAAGAAGGAGAATAGAGATTTGAGCGCAGGATCTGAAATATATTCCGGGGTTTTATGAAAATATATTCGGACAGGTGGGAATAAATTCACTGTTTAATGATTTAGAAGACACAAAGCCGGAGGAAAAAATGAATTAACAGAAACGCTAAAATAAGGAAAATTTATCGAAAAATAAAGGAATCAAAGAAAAAAATAGGGTAAAAAACTTTTAACGGGAAATAAAAACATATTATTTACCCGGAAGTAGAGGAAGAGAGTTTGCAACAACCTCTTTCCAAAGTTTAGAGCCCTCTGAGCTATACCCAGAGACAGCCACACAAACCATACTAAGATTACTTGACAAACCGCTATCAACCTGCAATGCAAGCAAGAGTTAAAAACTAACAAAATTGTTAAAGTGTGAGTAGCATAGAACAAAATAAAAACCTCACCCCCTTGCTTCCTGTGCATCCAGACTTGAGAATTTCAATGGCCGCCTTCATGTCTAGATTGAAAACCGCAATTGCCGCGTTACGCGAAATCTCGTTTAAATTCTTCTTCCCCATTTTCTTCTTGTCCCAGCCGCAGAGTTTGAGTATAAGTTCCCTCTCAGTAGAATGGTAGGTTCGGATAGGTTTAGCGGAGTCTAATCCCGTCCAGTTTGATAATTTAGCCTGGGAGGTTTCAGCGGAGGAGTAGAGGAGGGTTCTAACTCCCAAAAATTTTGCATTTCTAGTATTTGGAGAGATTAGATCTGCAAATGCATTTCCACTGAAAAAATTATTTTGTTGGAAAATAAATTTGGATTCGGGGGGCACATTTTTTTTTTGACTCACCCTGACTGTAGAACCCAAGTCCAGACTGTGTCGAGTTCTGAACCAAGTTTGAAATTGCTCAAATCCGTCAATTTTGTATCTCCTAACAACAAAATATCAACACTGAATCGTTCAAAACAATACAGTTTCCATCAAATTAAGAATTTCTCTTTAATCTGTTATTTCTTTTATTGATTTCTTGATAAGATAAATATCCCTGTATTTACAATGAGAACCAGAAAACAATCTTCTTAATTCTTATAATTATGACATGTTCACTAACGATTTTGTAATTTGCAACTGAACTTTTTACAAAAAAGTTTATCAGTCACAAAACTTGCAAATCCAAAACCCTTTGCGACATTTCGGGAATATAAGTAGGAAGAGAGACGACATTTATTACGCAGTTAACTGGTGCTTAATGTATATAAAATAAAATTGAATGAAAAGTTTGCTTATTAATACCTGAGTATCCTGCTTTGGCCCTAGATTGCATCACTAATCCAATATCACAGATTTCAAGATAGTTTCGAGGTTCATCGGAGCTTCTACTCTCGGAGTTGCTGAACTCCGTCGGCTCAAAACGGAGTAGGTTGGAGGCACCAGAGGACCAAATCAAGGAGTGTCTGAAAATGGGTTGATTAATTGTTTGACATACACTATGAGATATTTTCACTCATTAATAATCGATAAATTAAATCCTGAATCTTCTAAATCAATCAAATAACCAATTATCAAAGGATTCAACCATTTAATTAAATCAAATAAATCAATCTATTAATCAATAAATAAATTAATTAATCAACCTACCTGGCGGAGAAGTTTAATGTAAGTCTATCTGCAACTGTCCACTCCGTGAACCTACTCAGGGTACCCATGGCAAGCAAGGTGTTCTCTCTACTCGGATGCCAGGCGAAGTCTGCAATATTCCCGATCTGGGATCCCGGAGGTTGGATGGTTCGCTCCGTGACGGAGGCTTCTCCGTCCTCCTGGCTTACCGCCCAGCTCATTATATCGCGGAGAAGAATACTTCCTAGAGATCGGAAAAAAATTAGAAGTCAAAATTGAAAAAATAATGAAAACAATACTTAAGAAAGTCAATAAACCTGAATAACAATAAGAATACATAACAGGCTATATTGCTAATAATACTCAAAATAACAATTATAATTGTAAATGTACAATGCATTGCAATGGTAACAAGATATTCTTTAAATAATACGAAGAATTCTTGTTGTTTTTGTCTACACTAGTGTGCACAAGAAGTCGTGATAGAATGACGAGCATAATATATATTCAGGTTTGTTTTGAAATAGTTTAAAGAAGTTAAGTTCTTTCTATTAACTTAAATTTACTAATCCCTATATCCTTGCAATCTGATGGTGTAACTCTATTTGATCTAAGAGAATTAATAGTTTCAAATGTCTATTATCGGGTTTCAAAAATATTGGGATTAAAAGATCAGAGTTTGTGGCAAGAACTCAGTTTCTTTGTTAAGAGATAAGTGAGGATGACCACTAACCTGAATCCTTGACACTGCTTGCTAGTAACCCCGGTCTTGAAGGACACCAAGATACTTTAGTCACCTTAATAATAAAAATATTAATAATAATTTATCAAGATCTGAAAAGAAAACCCGACAAGGAACCCCCCAAACCGCCCTCAGGGTCCTTAATAAAAGTAGTACTAGGAAACGTAGCCCCCCCCCCCCCCCAAGATTTCAGAATAGCTTCTCAATAGCACTTCAGGGAAAGAAAACCTAATGCAAAACAGACAAAAAAATATCTATCTTAAAAAAAATGTTCGCATGCGGTGCGTCTTTCGGTTACTAAATCTGGATTTTTTGGTTCCCAAATAATTCTAGCACCCCCCCCCCCCACACTTAACTCCTGTATCCGCCCCTGACTTTGTGGTAGATTTTAGGGTCTAAGATACTATTTCTATATATCGGAATATACAATACAACAGGAGATACGTAAAATAGTTAACTTTAACAAGCACAGTAATTTCAACGAAATACTGTGAATTTTTATTCTTTTACACAACAAAGACAAAATTCCAACTCCAATGATTTATTAGAATGTACTATGTAATGGAATATATAAACATGTTATATAATGTAAACTCATTTAATATTTGCAAACCATAATCGAACGGAAAATATGAATATATATAGATTTAAAAAAAAATGTATCAGGTCGTACTCAAAAATCTAAGCTTTCTAAACCCAGTTTAAGTGATTCAACCTGTCATAAGTTTCCATTTCTGAGCATGTTTATCACCTGATGAGGGGAGTTTAAGGTTATAATTGGTTTCTCAAAGTTCCTTGTATCCCAGATAACTACTGAGGACTCAGAGTATCCGGATATTCTGTAATCTGAACCCGGGTCCACGGATAGACCGTAGGTAGCTCGGGTCTGGGTCTGGTTAACCGTCTTCATCCCGTTTCTGCAGGTCATCACACAAAATTACACATGAAAGAGACAAGCACTTTTATTTTTGATATCATAAAGAAAAACGCCTAAGAAGTCCATAAGAAAAAAGGAACCCCCATAAAATAAAATAAATGTCTCCGTAGAGGAAAAAAACTTATGGAAGAAAAACTAAATCTACAATGGAATATACAATAATTTTTAAGCTTTAAACGGAACATGAGAAGAATCATATCTAATTAAATCATGTATTTTTTAATAATATTATATTAAATCATATATTTTTTAAACATATACTTGTTGAATGATGTTTTCCTAGAGTCGAATATTTTGACAGTTTTTGTATTAAGTCCTGCCACGAGGAGGGGTTGAGTATGGGCCCAAGAGAGGGACGTGCAGTGATCTCCGTGTCCGGTCTCATGCAGAGGTTTTTCGGTGAGCTGGCTCTGGGATAGATCCCACACTACAATACCGTCCTCAGTTCTAAACAAATAGTTAGTCAACAACTGGGTGAATACATGGGGGGGGGCTGAGTCCCCCTAAAAAGTAGTTTTAAAGACGTTTGAGCCCCGGTCCACTCCCCGTTTAAAAATTTAAGATAGGTTAAAACCCCTCCCCCCTTCAGCAACTCTAGCATAGGCACGTTGTGTACAATAAGGAGGGAAAGGGGAGTGGGTGTGAGGAGGGGGGGAGGGTCAACGAATCGTATTCTAAGGAGAAAAGTGCTTTTTGTAATTTCAAGAATAATGGAAAATTAATAATAGGGTTTAAACATTGTTCTGATACTCGGTTGTATATTTAGTCTCAATTATCTATAAGAAAGAGACCCCTTGTCATTATTCTTCAAATATATATTTGAATTTAATAAATAATTTACCTAACTTTCTCATACCCGGCGGCTAGGAGGGTATACTGGGTTGGATGCCAAGCTAGCGCACTGCAGGGTCTGGACTAAATAGATATAAATATTTTATCATGTCACGTTTATAGTAAAATACATCTTTTCCATCTTTACTCAATAAGTCATTTTTCAGTGTTTATTTTTCGCTGAATTAGGAAAAATAAATGATTTTTAGCGGGAAATAATTTTATGTTTGGGGGGAAAGTATTAACAAAGATGAAAAACATGTAAGCCTTAGGATGTTTACCTTATCCTTTTCCTTTCCCTCATTCATCAATTTCAGCCNTTTTGATGCGGATCTGGATCCGGATCCTGGATCCGCACTGGAAAAAATGGATCCGGATCCAGGTCAATTCTTAAAGATTTACTGTATTTTTTTTAACAAAAATACTAAGTACTGCCCCCCAGCAAAAAAATTCTTATAATTATACAATACACCCCTGTGAACTTCATGACAAAAGGTAGCAGTGCTTAGGATCCATTTCATTTTGATGCGGATCCGGATCCTGGATCCAAATTGGAAAAATGGATCCACTCCAAACCCGTATACAGGTTATTTCCATAAAATTTACTGATTTTTTTGACAAAACAGAATTTTTTAATTTTTTCTCTTATTTTATTCGCTTATTTTTATGCTAAAATCCGAATCCAGTAAGCCCAACGGATGCGGATCCGGATCCTGGAAGCCAAAATCTTGCGGATCCAAAGGATCCGGATCTTATCTTTGTAAACAATACAAACCTGTTTAGGATTAAACTCTTTCTCTGATGCAAATTCAAGATTCAGATCATCACTATAATTTAAACAATTCATCTTAGGATTTAACGTGATAAATTGAGATAAGTTGAAATAAATAGAGATAAGTTGAAATAAATAGAGATAAAATAAGATCAGCTGAGATATATTGAGATAAATTGAGATAAAATGAGATAAGTTTAAATAAATTGAGATTAGTTGAAATAAATTGAGATAAATAAAGATAAGTTGAGATAAATTATAATGAGATAAGATAAAATGGTATAAAATTATATAAATTGAGATAAAATTAGATAAATGAGTTTAAATAAGATAAATTGAGATAAATTGAGATAAATTGAGATAAAATGAGATAAATTGAAATAAATTGAGATAAATTAAGATAAAATAAGATAAAACTAGATAAAAATTGATTGCCAGAGAATAGGCGATTAAATTATTTAGAATGAGATAAAATGTCTAAATGAGTATGATCGATTGTGAATATGGGATTAAGATTAAGATAAATTTTCAACTTTGAATTATTAAAACATTTTTAGTTCCAACATTTTCTTTATTTATTTTTATTAATTATTTTCATTATTTTATGAATAAAAATTGTTTCCTGAGAGAGATTAAAGATACACGTCCTGTCGCCTGGCCAACAGCCAGACGAACACCCTCTCCTCTCCAAATGGATACACTCTTGATATAGTGGGGTTCAGTTACACAGTTCACTAGCTCAGCATATCTAGTGTATAATACGGTGGTAGGCGATTTTATCAATATAATGAAGACGATTTTTTTCTTTAAATTTTTATTGTTTTACAGTTTTTTTCCGAATACAAGTTTACAAGTAATTAAAGAAAAGAGCTTTTTTAATTGACAACTTCTCCTTCTTACTATGTTTTTTTTGTATCCATGCCGTTTAACACCTTGATATAAAAAATTGAAATCGAAATTCGTCTTCATTTTAATGGTGTAATCGCCTACCACCATACATAGAGTACATCCACATGGGGTACACATTAGATGAAATAGGGTTTGACAAAAAACGATCGAAATGCGTTTTTCACAATGTTGAATCTTATTCATTCAAAGAAAATACTTTCAGATTTTTCATTCGGAAAAAAAATCAAATAGGTTGTTAAGTCTTTTACAGCTCATACATAATTCACATATTCTATTGGCTTTTATGACAGAGCTGAGCTTTGAGCACAATAATCAAAGCATTTGTAAAATATGTTTGAATACCTGGAAGTTAAGGGACTGTAAATGTGTTTTACTTTGACCTTCCATACAAAGATGGAAAAGCTCGATTTACAATGGTACCCTTGAAACCTTAATCTGATTAAAAATGCGGAAGTTAGCATCGTTTTCCTGACTTTAACGTGTTTGATTGGATAGTTAAGCCATTGCTTCTTAAAAACAAGAATTGCCCGAGCAAATATTGCAGAGAAGCCGGAAATGAAAAGAAACAGTTTAAAGAAACAAAAACATGGATATCTAATTAATCCTTGATCTGATGAAGCTTTTATAAGTACCATTTGTAAATCGGGCATTGCCATCTTAAAATGGAGGGTCACTTGAAACTACGGTTACAGTTCCTTTAATAAATTACCGATCTACTCCAATCTGTTCCTTCTCCAGTCCCCTGGAGGAGTGCTCCCCGTCTACCACCTGGTAGAGCCGGAGATCTGAACCCCAGGTTACAAACTGATCCGGGATACTTGGAACCCAGGCAACCTCAAACCTTCTCTCATTCATTCTATTATCAGACCTTAAACCATCTGAAACCAGAAGATTGAAAAACGAAGTAAAAAAGAGACAAATATGACAAAAATCACATCTTATCCAAAATATTACAATTTAATTGTTTAAGGGTTATTTATTTATTTGAAAATTATTTGGTCAATGGTCATATCTTGATGACGGAACTAGCAATGCTCTAAGATTGAATCCGAATACTTAAATATTTGTACAAATTCGTGCTGGACTATTTATCCAAACTTCTGATGAACTGTTTACAGGTTGCTCCAGCGGACATCTTCAACACCTTAACCTTGGAGTTAGGCATCTCTCTGCATATCCTCCTGTAGAGGCCGGGCAGGGAGATGTATTCAATCTTACTCCCCTTCTCAATAGGGAAACATTCACGTTCTCCAGGAGCTTTCTTCATCTGAGGAAAAATTAATTTTAATTTTTTAAGGATTTTTTTCAAAAAGAATGTCAACGTAATATCGAGTGACTATGAAAAGCTGTTAATTGACATCTTCTCTTTGTTTACATGTTTATGTGTATCTCCTGTAGAAAATTTAAATAGAAAGCTGTTTTCAGTGTATTGATATAAACGACGACGACTGTAGCATAAATGATACCTGATTTTCTCCCATCGCCATAACCATTGCTTCCAACCACTCGTTGGTAACACCAAGATAGAACGCCTCCAAATGTTTCAACTCCTTTGTAACTCCATCAATTATCTCCGTGTTACTCCGCGCGACTTCATCTTTGTAGGTCGGGATAATGAGAAACTTACGGATATTGTCCAAACCCTTAAGTCCTGTCTTGAACCCAGGACAGATATGAAAATCAATAAGCTCCAACTGTCGGAGATTATCACCTTTCTGAAGTTTGGAAATATTATCGCCGACGGAACCTTTCTCTAGACGAATTCGCTGGAGTTTCAGAAGATCCGAAAGAGTTTTGAATATTGTAACAGGTGCTTCAGAACAATCTCCTAGTTCAATCTGTTCCAGGTTCGTCAAGGTTCCGATCGTATCGTAATCACAGTCGACTAGTCCACTTAGCGTGAGTAAAGAGAGGTGTGTAAGGTTCTGTGAGAGATTACCCAGAGCGCTCAAACCATTCTCAAGTTTTAAACTCCCTGTTCCCGTCTTGACACGGAGTTCTTTCAAATTGGGAACCTTCTCCATAACCTGAAGTTCTACGGGGGAAACTGTAAGAGGAGAATTGAGTTCCTCAAGTTGAGGACAGTTTGAGATGAGCTCAACAAGAACGGAGCCGGGAATCCTTGGCAGCTGAAGATGACGGAGTGTATAGAATTTTGTTGAAACTGTAACTATCTCCGCCCAGGTTGAGTCACGATCCTTGACGAACACCATCTTCCGCATGTCCAAGGATCTGCAGCTGATCTTAGTGATGAAGTTCCCGAGCTGAGCCCAGTTAAACACCTTGATATTCTTGAGGGAGATAGTGGACCACAAGGATTTATGGAACACCAACTCATTCCAAAGTTTACAAACCCTAGCAGCAGTTAGTCTCTCTTCAACCTTGAGATATTTAAAAACATGGAGTAGAGCAAAGTATCCGTTAGAGAGAGTATTATGAAAGTCCAGAGGTTTAAATCGTTTAGCTGAACCTGATCCTATAGAATCTCCGGATCTTTTCAGACTTTTCACTCCGAATATTTTCTGAGTATCCACAATTCCGACAGGTTTTAGAATCAACCGACCGTCAGTGCTCTGTTCCAGTTCAAATCTTGGCGCATTTCCTCCTTCATGATCCACAGGTTCAAGAAGAACGGGGAGTTTATCAGACTTGCGAGAACTTTCTGTTTTATCTGAGGGTTGATGAGGAGGGGAGGGAGGAGGAGAATCCAATTCAAGATTAGTTCGAGGAATAACAAGGAATTTTTTCCCTCCGATATTCACCATTGTCTGACACTCAATAGGACGAGGATGAGATATTTTAGCTTTTTTCTTTATAGTAATGTTTTCAGATTGGGAGGGTCGAGTTTTGAAAGGCGGAGACGTAGGTTTAAGTTGATTAACAGGTCTGGCCTGAAGGCTCCGAACTGGTGTTGAAGTAGGGGTTGGGTGGGAAACAGGAGGGGATGATATATTCGGAGCTTCAGGTTGACAATCATTACAAAAGAAATCAAATTGTGCCTGATTGTTGCAGAAGGTCGGGGGTAGACCAACACATTTAGGATGGAACAGGCAGTGACAGGATGTACAGGAGAGGGAAGGAAATTCAGAAACTCCAGGACAGTGAATTGAACAAGGCAGCATCGTTTTCTTGGTGGGACGGAAGACTTTAGGAACTGTAGGACGGGTAGGAGTAACATTAAAACTAGGATCGGAAGGGACTGCTTGAAGGTTCGGGTAGAGGTTGCTCATACTGATGGGGGTGATGGAGAGGGTTGGGGTTGGGGCAGGCATTATGGGGACGTGAGAGTAAGGTCGGGGCTGATTTCGAACTGGTGCAGTCGGCATTACTAAAAATTAAAATATTTTTAAGTTTTAGGTAAATATTTACCAAAATTAGTGTTCCCCTAAAAAAAACAGTTTAAAGAAACAAAAACATGGATTCCCCATAGAATTATTAAAGTTGTCTTAAGCTTGTCAAATTATACCTTTAGGTAACTTTGTGAGTGTTATCGTACTAGGAGTAGGTGTTTCTTCAACGATAGAGAGTGGATCCGTCCCAATATCATCATCTTCAGCACACGCTATATTATCATCTGTATTCACTTCGTTCTTCGCGTTAAGCATACTAAACATTTTAACCTTGAGAAGTCCTCCAACCTTCCCGGCAGATACGGTCTTCTTAGGACTCTGGACAATGTTTTCAGGATCCTTCCACAACCCAGAGTTGTCAACTTTACTCGGTTTTAACAAGGACTCCAGTTTCTTGGTCGGTTTGGAGCCGGAGGGAGATTCAGTTTCGGACTTCTTAGGTTTTGAAATAGGTTCAGGATCAAGTTTTTCCGGAGGTTTACTCACTCGTTTACTGGTTCTGGTTGTATCGGAAGGTTCCGGAGTTTCCATGAGTTTATCCGGAGGTTTGCTCACTCTCTTACCCAGAGACTGAATGGAGTCGTGATGCGAGGGGGAGGATACGGTTTCATTCTTAGAGTTGGCATAACGGACAATCTCCAACCCTTCAGGTGCTCCCAAAGGTTCCTTTTTAAAAGTGAAAAATGTTAAAGGATACATTGATCCTGTGGTAATAAGATGACCCTCAAGCTCGTTAGCTGACCTAAACTTGAACTTTTGCTGTCCAGGAATTGTCGGAGAGTGGTAGAAGACGTCGGCCCGACTTTTACTATTTGTTTCAAGATGGTTAGTTCTGTAAACTACCTCTCTTACCCAACCATCAAACAGAGGATCAAAATATTTAGCAACTCCGGACTTCTTCTTGGCAGAGGTCTGAGGAGTACTCAAGGAGGTATTTACACTTGAGATAGGGGTGGAAACATTAGAGGAACTGATTTCATCCTCAAACCGAACTTTAGAAGTTTTTGGGGTGGATACACTCCCCGGCTGAATTGCTTGTAGTCCTGGCAATGGTTTCTTAGCGGCAGGTCCTTGTTTTTTACTGCTGATGGAGACAAATATAGTTGGTTTGAATCGGAATGCAGATTTTAAATCAACATCTTCGTAATTGTTGTATACAAAATCAGGGATTTCTGAATCTGGAAAACCATGGAAACCCTGTTCATCCTCTATGGGAAGATCGGGTTCAATAACCTCACCGGTTCTATCCTTCCCAATCTTTATTCGTAGTTTGACAGGTCCAGGTGAGTTTAAACCAGAGATTCGGAGTTTTTCAACCTTTTTCACATCCTTTCTTTCCTCTTCAAGACTTACATCTTCTTCGTGTTCTTCCTCAGCTTCAGGATCTTTTTCTTTCTCCTTTTTATCTCGCTTCTTCATAAACAAATTAGGGGATAAGATGAACTCTTCCTTCTTTTTCGAAGATTTCTTAGGTTTGATTGGCTCCGGTTTCTCTCGTTTCGTTGATTTGGAGGATTTTTTCTCGACTTTTCCAAGATTTTTTTCTTTAGCATAACTTTCACGCTCTTTTGTTATAGGTTCATCTATTTCCATTAATTCATCGGTTTCCGAGGTAGGTTCATTAAATTTTACTTGATTTCCTTTCAGAGCAGGTTCTTCATTCTTTTCTAATTCCAAATCTGCTGAGGTATTTAAAACGGAAACATTCTCCGACGGGTTCTTACTAGAAACATCTTTCTCTTGAAGAACAGGGGCAGGGAGATTTTCTGAACTATGTGTTTCTTCAAGGCCAGAATTTTCTGGACTCGAGGGTTTTTCCGGAGATTTTTTATGACTGCCTTGAGTCTCCGCCAAGTCACTAGAAGCCAATTTATCATCGGAAAATGAAGATGAGATGTCTTCTTCCGACTCTTGTGAGTTTAGACGTTCTGGAGACTCAGAATTTGGGTTCGACTCGGATTGATTAGAAATAATAGCTTCCATCTCTGGTTCATCGTGATTTTTTTCTAATTCTGACTCATCCTGGCTTCTTACCATCTCCGAATCGTCCGCACTTTTTTCCTTCTCAGATTCTTTAGTAGGAGACTCTTTCACAGAATCATCTATATTAAACAATTGTTAAATAAAAACATGAAAAGGAAAAAAGATCAGATTATTGAAGGAAAGTGTGATTTCAAGTGACAATTCGAAGAAAGAGGGACATCAAGGATTCACAACGGTACCCTCGAGACCTTAATCTAGTCTTAAATGTGTTAGATATTGAATTGGATATGATCAGTTATCAAAATTATAAACGAAGCTTTTAAGGGTACCGTTGTGAATCGGGCATTACCAACTTTGAAAAAATGCCCCCCATACGCTGATGCTCTCTTACAATTTAAATATTGATTAAAGTTTTACTTTGTAAACTCAAACATTTGAGCTAAACGCATTTATAGGTCTTTCAGAAAACTTTAATTAGAGTGTTTTTTTTTTTGTAAACCAACCGTATTGGAGGATTAACTGTCCTCTAAACCTCAAGACGTAAATAACGGTGATTTTTCGGGTATGTCCTTCTCGTCCTTTTAACTCTTTCAGGCCCACCCTTTCCTCTCCAATCAATTATCACACAACTAATATTTTTCAAAAAGAATTAACAATATTTAAATTGTATTTTTTCAGGGTTAGGTTATGTGAAGATAATTTTCTGGCCGAGCGCTGCGGCCAGGGACAGGCTATGGGACCAAGCGCCGTGGCCAGGATAGGCTAGGGGTCCGGGTGCTACAGCCATATGTCCAAATTTGAACATGTGTTACAAATGAGCTCCATTTACAAATATGACAGGACGAGGGGGGGTTCCAAAAAGGTACAAATAATCGATTTTTTTATTTAACGATTGTTTTCCTTCTGATTCTGATATCTCTGACGAGTCCTCCGAAACCAGAGCAAAATCCTTCATCATTTTCTCCTTAATACTAATTTTAGGATCGGAAAACTCTACTCCTTTCGCCTCGAGATCAGGAGTTTTAAAATTATCATCGTTCTCACCCATCTTGGTTGGTTCAGTATCCGGGTTGTTAAGTTCACTGTCTCTATTTTGGTCCAAGATTAAATCCTGGTTTTCCGACTCCCCCCTCCCACTATCAGTCTCCATGATAATTGTTAATAATCTGAAACAAAAATGTTTAAAAATATTTCTTTTTTCAATTCTCTATTATCAACTTAGTTTTGCTTAAAACAAGGGTTCTGGAAAAAACATTAGTGCATGTTCTCCTATTTAAAACTAGGTCATGTTCTAGTAGTTACATAATTATCCAGGGGTAAACATTGGTCTAAAAACTTCCAAACTTTTATAATTTGATTTGCCGTCGCTTGCCTTAAAATAAGCGGTGTGGACGAATCAATGGAAGATTGGCCGCCGGCGGGAAGGTTTAACTTCACATATCAACTCTACTCAATACTCATTAATTATTTGGTTTGGTATGGACAAGGTTCCGTGATCGATACTACTACTCCACTAGCAATAGTAGTACGAGAAGGGGGAATAACCCTAGACTTCTTATCCGTCCATTTGCTTTTCTCCTTCGTCCTATTTAACTTTCTGCCGTTGCCTTTCAGACTACTTCCTTCTCCGTTCTTCCTAATCACCTAATCCGTCCTAATTTTTCTTCATTTTAATCCTATACTCAGCAATTATATCCTCCCCCTCTCCCTACGTTATAGCCGATCTACCCTTTCACAGCTTATTCTTTCTTCTCACTTATACTCTACATTACCAAGTTCCTTCTTACACAATTCTACCTTCTCCCCTACTTCCCTTACTCAGATTCATCTTAAATCCCACTCAACTTATCCTACACAATTCTACCTTCTCCCCTACTACCCTTACTCAGATTCCTCTACAATTCCACTTATCTTATCCTTCGCAATTCTACCTTCTCCCCTATCCTTACTCAGATTCATCAGCTACTCCAATCAACTTAAACTACACAATTCTACCTTCTCCCATACTACCCTTACTCAGATTCATCTCCAATTCCACTTAACTTATCCTACACAATTCCACCTTCTCCCTGCTACCCCCTACTCAGATTCATCTCCAATTCCACTCGACTTATCCTACACAATTCTACCTTCTCCCCTTCACAGATTCATCTCCTATTCCACTAAACTTATCCTACACAATTCTACCTTCTCCCTTCTCAGATTCATCTTCTGTTCCACTCAACTTATCCTACACAATTCTACCTCCTCCCATTCACAGATTTCCTCTCCTATTCCACTCAACTTATCCTACACAATTCTACCTTCTCCCCTACTCAGATTCATCTCTCATTCCACTCAACTTATCCTACACAATTCTACCTTCTCCCCTACTCAGATTCAATTACAATTCCACTCAAATTATCCTACACAATTCTACCTTCTCCCTTACTCAGTTTCATCTCCAATTTCACTCAACTTATCCTACACAATTCTTTCTTCTCCCTTACTCAATTTCATCTCCAATTTCACTCAACCTATCCATCTCTGAATTTAAACTTCTCATATAATTCCTCCTACCTTCTCTTCAATAAGCTATCCTACTCCATCCTTTACCTCTAGCCTTCTAAACATCCAACCTCTTCCTTTACCGCTCATTCTATCCAACCTATCGTCCTTTCAAGCCTACCATGCCATAACTTCCCTTTAATTCAACAGAACCTATTGCATCAATAGGAAGTAGGGCAAAAAATTCAAAAGTAGCGGTTTGGATCTTAACAGCTTGGCTAAATGTTTTGTTTTGAATCATGATTAAAATATTTAAAAATGTATTATTTTTTAATAAGAAAAAATTGTGAAAAAATTTCTAACGAGCTTATAAATTTTTATTTAATTCTGATTTATGCCTAGCAGTCTCGACAGTCTCTTTTCAATCTCATTTTAAGTAAACGTTTGATATTTCAAGACTATTTGATCCAATAGAATTCTCAGTTTGGATTATCAAAAATCAACGACATCGGGTTGTACAGATATAGGGATAAAAAAAACAAGCGTTTGTGTTCTATGTGTTCCGATCCCACTTAAATCCTGCTTTCTTCTTTTCCTTATATTCTTGTTTCAGTAATCTATTTCTTGGGTCATTGTTCTTTCTGACCTCCCACACTCAGTTTAATTTTATTTCTAATATATATCACGATTTATATGGCTAACTCGATGGTGTATCTTTCGACCTACGCAAATCCGCTTTACTCCACCTCTGACCTACGCTAGTAGCACGTGGTTTCACTGCTTCTAGGACTTGTGGCCGCTGCGCCCAGCCCCCTAACCGCGGCGCTTGGCCCCCTAGCCTGTCCTACCCGCAGCACTGCCCAGAAATTTATTTACCTATAACCTAACCCTCAAATAAAACAAAAACAAACAGCTGGCGTAGGGCTAACTCATATGGTTAACAATGTTTTTTTTTCAAACACAAAAACCTCACAGATATTGTATTACTACAAATTTTAGCTAAAAAAAAACTCAGCTTAAAATAATCAAATACACTATTTTCAATTTCACTTAACCTTAAATATCAACTACTTCTATTAGAATATTTGCAAACGTAATTTATTCATTTTGCACAACGATTTAATAGATTTTTAACTGATGCCCTGCGTTTAACAGTATAATATCATGATTAAACCGAATTTCACTAAATTATATCAAACGTAATGTATTATATATCCGTAACATTAAACGATATAGTATGAATATAAGAAAACATGTTGAGAAGTAAAAACAATGCTTAGGATCAATTACAGTTTGATCCGTCAAGTGAAACAATCCAGATCCTTTATGTTAAGGAATTGATCCGGATCCGTCAAGTGAAACAATCCAGATCCTTTATGTTAAGGAATTGATCCGGATCCGTCAAGTGAAACAATCCAGATCCTTTATGTTAAGGAACTGATCCGGATCCGTCTTTAAAAAACAATCCATCCTGTGAACGGAAGATTCCGAATACGTCCTCTGAAACAATCAGTCCTAGGAAAGGAAGGATGGATCCTTTTTGACCTTTGGAACAATTGATCCATAAAACGATGGATCTGGATCAGTCCTGTGAAGGAAAGGATCCATATACGTCCTCTTAAAACAATGGATCCGGATTCGTCCGGTAAAGGAATGGATATGGATTCATACTATGAAACAATGGTTATGGATCAGTCCTGAGAAGGAAAGGACCCTTTCTGTCCTCTGAAACAATTGATTCATCAAACAATTGATCCATCAAACAATGATCTGTCCTCTGAAACAATTGATCCATCAAACAATGATCTGTCCTCTGAAATTGATCCATCAAACAATGATCTGTCCTCTGAATCAATTGATCCATTAAACAATTGATCCATCAAACAATGATCTGTCCTCTGAAACAATTGATCCATCAAACAATGAATCTGGATCGGTCTTGCAAACTACTGATCCAGATCAGTCCTGTAAAAAGATCAATCCTGATCTATTTTTGGCAAAAATGTGTGGCGCATTGACTGATAAATTAAATCTTCATGAAATTGTTCCAAAAATCTTGTTTTAAACGTACTTTCTGGGAAAGGATTTTGTATAATTTTGGTTGAATTTGTGCCATCCAAGGCCTAAGCACTGGTTAAAACTTAGTCTATTTCTTTAACAGATTGTATTTTACATGTAGAAATGTTAAAAAAGTGAACCTACATCGATCTTATATTTAGGAGGAAACTTGATTAAAATGTTTAAAATGAAATTATTTTTTCTAGTGGCATTTAATTCATATGAGCTGTAACCGAAATAAAAAATATCACTTTTAGGAGCAACAATTTTACCTATGAAAGTTTATGCTTTAAAAATAGAAAATCTATATGATTAAAACCTAAAAAAAACTATTTTCCTTGAAAAAATTACATTAATCATAGTTCTAGATTCATCATTATAATTTCTTGACACTTTTAATACATTTAGAGGGGAAATATTTATGAAAAGTTTGAATATAATTGTTAAGATGTTGCATCTTTAATGTTTAGAAGACTGCGGATCTCTTGTCCCTGTTCTTGCTGCGCACCTGCGTTCTCATCTTGAAAGCTTGTTGGTTGGCGGCATTCTGAAAATACACGTTAAATTGCTCTTAAAGTAGTAGTGTATGTTTTAAAACAATTACCCCCCCCGGTGCAGCTGGTGGGGAAATGATTTTTGAAGATCTAGTTTGTAATTAGTTCAATAAAAATACATGAATTCTTACCCGTTGTGTCTTAGTGAGTTTATTTGAGCCGTCTGCATCTAGTATATTGAGCGGAGCTCCGAGCTCAAATATTTCTCTAAGCATACTGTTAACGCTCAGATGATAATTCATTCCTGCTCCCATCATCTTAACAATTAGATAAATATTAGGGAAGGATTAAGGAACAAGAGATTAGGATTGGGGTGTCCATTTGAACACTTATCATAGATTCTAATAAAAAAGAAAAACTTATGATTTTATATTTACATGACATAATCAGTATACACATTCTTCTCAGATCTTAACTTGGATATCTGTGCATGACTCATTTGATTGTTCAAAATGTTAAAACTAAATTGTCTGAACCACGCTAAGATAGTTGGGTATGAGTAAAAATTGTGCTTTTTTCACAACTTTTCTGCGTTTATGAAGGTAAAAATGGAGGTAAACGACCTCCGATTCCAAATTTTCTTTGGGATCCGTTATCTCAACATGCATATCCCATTTTTTAGGACTAAACAAAGCCTTTCCAAAAATTGGAGTTGTCGAATAAGCCCTTTTTCCTACCCATTTAAATATAAAAAATGATTTTAACTTAAATCTTGTTAAAAAAGACACAAAAATGGATATCTTCCTTTTCTTCTGAAAAGTGGCAACCGGCGGCCGATGGCTTCTAAAAACGACTAGTGTATTTCTACCGCCCACAATAGCAAGAAAAAATCAGAATTTTTTCATTTCAAAATATTTTCTTATTTGTCCTTTTAAGGTTTGGTCTTCTGAAGCAACATTAATTTCGATGATAAACCTTTCTCTTATATGAATTTATTTTTCTAGTATCCAAATTTTAAATAAAAAACGTATTCACCTTACAAAACCAATCGTACTGTATTTTAGTGAACCATGAATCTATTTTTAGAGTTTCCTTTCCAAACTTGATATTCTCATTTGGGCCTTCTCCCTCCTCTACACCTCGTAGCACATCACGGAAACTTGATCTATACAAATACAAATATAAAATTGAATAAAAAACTTTACATTTAACATTTTGGTAAACATTCTAGGCACTTGGCAATCGTAACTGAAGGCTTTCGCCGAGTACTGAGGATCCCTTTGATTTTGAAAAGCTAAATCCGTATCCAGGTCATGAACATTTCTTTAAGATTTCCTGCGTTTTATAGTTTTTATAATTTTATAACAGAATAATTAGTTTTCTTCTTATAGTTCATTATTGTTCAAGAGATAAGAATATTTGTAAAATTCTCTAGTTTTTTTTAGTTAGTTCAGATTTAGATTTTGAGAGCAAAAAAATTGGTTTGCAGTTTTTAGTTCATATTTTTCCCCTTTGATCCGGATCCGGATCCAGAAAGCCACAATGTTGCGGATCCAGTTACGGATCCTAAGCACTGCTTTAACCAAAAAAGATTGTTTTGTTTTCAAAAATCAAATATTGGGTAGAAAGATCTATCTTTAAAATATTTTTATTTACATAATTAAAATAAATCTGTTAAAAACAAAATTGATTTCTTACAACCCGAACTAAGTTTGAAACTTTTGAATGAAATTTAATTCAACAGCAAAACTTCAAATAAACATATGAACTGACAGAATTTGAAAATATTTTGATGTAGAATCATTATTGATAACTTATATAAACAATGAGACAACTTTCAATATAAGAAATTTTTCAAGAGAAAAAAGGGCCATTCCGAAGAATGGGGCTGGTGGGGAGAATGCGAGTATCTTTGTATGTAAAGTTATTATCTCTGTTTGTCTGTTTGTTGGTTTGTCCGATCATAATCAGGAACCCCTGGACCGATTTACCTTGACTTATGGGGAACTCGGGAGAGCCACGGGACTTTTCTTAGTTATGAGATTTTAGTTATAATGGGAGAAATAGCTAAAAGCATAACTTACGTCAACGCGCGGGTAAACGGTGGGACTAACTATGACTACCCTAGGCAACGCTGGGTTCCCAAGCTAGGTTTTTATATAAACCAATCTAACCCTACAAATAAGTTCAACTCTTTAACCAAATTACCTCTGCTGGGTTCCCAAGCTAGGTTTTTATATAAACCAATCTAACCCTACAAATTAGTTCAACTCTTCAACCAAATTACCTCTGCTCCTTCCTATCCTTCTTGCTCCTGGACTTGCTGCTGTCTGTGGCCAACTGTTTCAAGCTGGAGATCAGTTCATCAAAGTTCTCAGGCTCAAAATCCTGAAGAATGCGGAATTTTCTTATCAAATTTTTTTTGAGGTTAAAAACAAATATTTTATAAGCGAACGACTGTTGAAAGAAAAATTCATGAAAAGATATTTTATTTAGGTTTGTTAAACCAGAAAGGGATTTTCTAAAATCAACGATTTTTTAAATGTTCTTAAATAGGTAACCTCGCTAAGTCCGAATACCAACTTTAAAAACTTCGGATTTATCAAATTAAAAAATTGGATTTGTGAGCATAAAAATAAAGGATTTATAATTTCAACTTTAAAAAAAGGAGTTGTTAGTTTAAAAATTGAGGATTTATCAAATTTAAGACTAGGTTTACAAGGTGTAACGCAAAAATCGAAAACATTGAGAAAAAAAAATTAAGACTTTTATCTGTCATATTAGAATGAACAAAAATTAATTGCCCGATCGGCTCCGTCGTTTTTATGTAATCAAAACAAAGCAATTAAGAAAGAGAGAAATATATTTTATTTTTTACCTCATCATGATCATAAACACTCTCTAGAAGCAGTACCATAGTCTCACCAGCTGTTATTCTCAAATCTACATCCACAGATGTAAACATACTCTGCAGTACACTTACACGACTGAACATTAAACAAATAAAGATAACAAGCATCATTATCTTCTTCGGAAACTGTAATACGAAGATGTAAATGATTAAAAAGCCAGTAATGAGTCTATGATTTCAAAAAACTATCGGAGTTTGCAAATGACATTCTTAACAACTTACAGTGGGCAGATAATTTTTACCTGTTTATTTTCTCATATATCTGTCCTGGGGTTAGTAGAGTAGAGAGTAGAGCCCAACCAGATAAACAGGAAGTATGGAGAACTACTGTTTCCGGACTTACAGTAGATGCACTTCCGTCCCTGAATAAATTTAAAGATCCACTTCCTATAATTTTCCAACATTTTCAATAAATGCTTCTAAATGTGAGTGTGTGTTATTTAATTATTTTGTACTTCTTTCATATGATCAACTGAAAAAATGATCATCCGTTCATAAAAGATCTACTTTAAAAGACAAAAAAATCTTAAAACTAACTTATTTCCAGTGGTATACGAAAAATAGCGAGACATAAGATAGCGATTCGAATTTACTAAATTTCATTCATTAACATTACAAACAAAAATTATAAAATCCAAAAATTACATTTAGTAAAAAGAACTTACTTCTTAGCTGCCGACAAAGTATAGATTCCTTCCAAGACCTTCATTACACTCACAACCTCCGCCAACTCTCCGCCTCCCAGGAAACAGAGTCCGGCCAGGGCGGAGGCAACTACAAGTAGTTCAATAATAAAATTCAAGAACTTTTCTTATAAAACAAATTGTTAACTTCTTTAGAAACTTCTAAATTAACAGAGCTGAAAACTTTAGAATGAAATATTCAGATATCCCGTCGAATAATTAATATCCAGTTTAAATATTGCTTGTTCTCCACATGAATTTAAACTCCAGATTAGTTAACCGATCGGAATTTAAGATATCCCATTCTAAAGTTTTCAGCTCAGTTTACACAATTTTTTAATGCATCAGTATCTCATAATAAATGTACGAACTCATTTTCTATAAGGAGATAAATTCCAATTCTGATGAGATCTCACAGGTTCGGAGTTAAATCTCTACTTTCTTGTAGTGAGTGATGCCCAATAATTTGGTAATCTATGTAAATTAAGTTTTAACCTTGCTTCTCAAAACTGTAAAATTTATGAAACAAAAAGACGAAACTTTTAAACTTCAACAAATGAGTGACCTTATGGTCCATTATTGCTTTTAATATAAAATCATTTTTGAAACCTGTTGCTCTTGAGTTGGGAGACTCAGTTTTATCTGAAACAATCTGCAGCAGGGTAGGTCTTAGCTCCTTGTAGACCTATATACATGGACAATTAAATCTCAGCACACTGCGATTTAATGGTCTCACGCTCTCAAGCAAAAATCGTTGAGAATTTTGCCAATAACTTCTAAAAAACCACATCTAACAACAAGTGCTTTACAGTGCTAAAATGTACATGTAAAGGGCTACAGAAAAGCATAAGTGAGTTAGAGCGGTAAAATTTAAGCTTAGGGCGTTGCGACACTTGATTTAGCTGTGAAGTCGAAGCTAAATCCAACCTCAGGTGTGATTTCCATCAGCTGATATTTAGCTATGATTTGGCTCCGACTTCAGATCTAACCTAAGCTTCGATCTTGCTCTGATTTTGGACTAACGAATACAAAAGCATAGCTAAGCTAGGAAGTCGCAGCTAAATCATAGCTAGAACCGGACAAAGAAACCGGGCACTAGATACATGGACAATTAAATCTCAGCAGGGTAGGTCTTAGCTCCTTGTAAGCCTAGATACATGGACAATTAAATATCAGCAGGGTAGGTCTTAGCTCCTTGTAAACCTAGATACATTGACAATTAAATCTTACTTATGCTCAAAGGAAAAATAAAACTATCGAGAAATTACATTTTATTATGACGTAAAAGCACAGCTTCTTCCAATCCATTTGCGACCCCCCCCCGCACCCAACCCTTCTGTCGCGAAGACACACTACAAAATGTGAAAATCTTTAAATACAGTGGTTTAATCCAAAGAACGAAAAAAGGAGACAGTTCAAGATTTTTTTAAATTCTAACTAGTGCTTAGGATCTGGATCTGCTGGATACGCATGCAAAGTATCATCCAACCTCAAAAAAATGTTTCCTCTCAAAACTAGATCTTAGCTTCTGAAAACTTCTGAGAAATGTCCTTATCTGTGAATGGTTTAAAAGTTATTGCAAAAGGGTAAGAGAAAGAAAAATTCAACAAATTCTTCGTTAAAAAACCAGCAAATCTTAACTAAATCTTATGACCTGAATCCGGATACATATTTATCAAGTGCGGATCCGCATCAAAAAAGTAAATGAATCCTGAGCACTGATTTAAACAATGATTAGAATGCCACCACCACACACCCCCATTCTATAATCAATATTGACAGAAGTATGTTTTATAAGTTTAAGGCGGGAGAAGATTTATCTTTAAAAATACCTCTTCACAATCAAAGAGTTGAACTCCAAGGAGAATTGCTAGTTTAGCGGCAGCTTGAACCTCTGATCCCTTCCCCTTCTTCATGCTTCTCTCAACAAGGTCGCAGATTGTCGCCTTCCTTCCCTCGATAAAGTCGGGAGCATATCTAAATTAAATAGATCGGAGATCTAACTTCATGAATACGATAAGTAGTTCACCGATGTAAAAACGGATTAGATAACAAGCATGTACTTGAGAAGTGGTTCAACTAGGAAAACGTACCACAACTATTCATAACTTTTCATTAGTTCAGACCACGGCCCGCTTATATGTATGCTTCTATCTACCGATCTATACTATTCTGGGCTAGTGTACATGTAACTTTGTCGATGCGCTACGCAGCTGTTATATCTGAGTGGACTCTAAATATTTTTAGGAATTTTCTAAAACCTCTGCATAGCAAATTTTAGGTTTTATTAAAACAAATTTTTATTCTGGCTATTGTTCATTCAATGAAAATAATTTGTAGTTTAAAAAAGTTTGAAGTGAAGTTCAGGGTCTAAATTAGAGAAGAACTTAGGTAGATAGTGGGCCCTGGAGTAAGCAGAAATGAGATACTGTAGCTAAAATCTTGTTATCATAGCATTTTCTTCAGAAGCAGCGCTTTGTTTTCAGAATTTTAAAATGTGGTCTGCCGTTTTTGTACCTTAAGAATTGACCAAGATATTAAGAAATTTGTTTAAAATTCAAAATATTAAATATCAACAAGGTTGTATCTCCAACAATTTTTATACTACAAAGGAGGCAAAATCTTATCAAGTTTTAAAGACTTACAATGTTTTTCTATACTCCTTTACATTTACGAAAACCAGACAAATTGTGAGTTCCAGGGTCCAATGCATAACGTACTGCATAACACCCCAGCGAAAAAATTACATCAAACCTTGACTATGATATACCCATGGTTCAGACTTACTTAAACATAGCTAAACTCAAAGACCTACCTCTTTATCAGACCCTGACAGAGAGCTTCAAGGCCCTTGGTTCGCGTGGTCGCTGATTTCTCTGACGCGAGCTCAATTGCATCCTTCAACTTATTCTCGAAAGTCTCCTCTGAACTGCTCTCGTCGACTTGGTTGTCGTCCTGGATGGTCGAGGTCTCAGACCCAACCATCGAGACGACGGAGGCATTATCGTTGAAGACTGAGTCATCGTCAGAACCGCTGCCGCCCTCAATCCTACCCTTTCCTCCTTTGGCTCTCGTGTTTTTAGATTTCTTCGGCATTATACAAGATTCGCAAATAACAAATATAAAACTTATTTAAAAAGTAAATGGCAACTAGAAAACACTAGATTAACAACAAACAATATCCTGAAATAGTTCACTGGTGATTTAGCTGAAAGGTCACAGAAGAACAAAGATCAGATACCGTCCATATGATGATGTTTGTATAGCTGCTTCAAATCGGTCCAATTATTAAATAATTTGTTTAAAATCACTCTTTGACTTGTAGTATCACAATTACAATTAATCGCCTTTCTATCATTCATCATAATCCAGAGAAAACTTGGCAACAGAATCGACTGCTAGCTATGCACGCAGTTAACAATCTGACGACACTAATCATGCTGCATGAACGTGCTGTTGTCCCAGGCTTTATATTTTGGAGGAATTCGAGGTTTCGCGATTTTTATTCAGACAAAAATAAAAATACATTATTGTGGGAGAAAAGTAAAAAATATTTTTATTGATAAAAATTCTAAATTTCTTAATTGACAAAAACATTTCTTTTGTTTCTTTTGATATTATGTTGGTACTGTAAGATGCTTGATTAAAAATTCCGACCGTCTTAAAATAAAGCCAGGCAACATACCTGCGCAATATTTTCAAAATACAAGACAACATTTTTTTCTATTTACTCATTCAGCTTTTTTATGGCCTGATGCAATGCAGTAATTTTCTATTTGTATTGTTTAACCTGGACATTCATCGGATGATATTAAATTTATCAAAGTACGATTCAAAATAAATAACTTATCGTATTTTAGTGTAAGTTGTTCAGTATAATTGAAACTAACTGTTAAATTCTTTTAAATCACTAGACTACAATTGATATCCCATTGTATGATATTAAGAATAATATTGTAAGGTTTTTTTTAAATTTTTTAAATATCTTTAAGAATATTTGCTTTTTATTGCTAAGGATTTTTTGTAAGTTTGAATGTTGGGGTCTGTCCTAGAAATAGATTTTTGGACCCCCCCCCCCCGGCCCTCCCTCCTATCAGTTTTGTACATGACTGCATGTATTTCAGCAAAATTATTATTATTCTTTTTTTTATTATTTTAAGGTTAGGAAATGGGTTAAGACCATTTCTGGGCCAAGCGCTGAGGCTAGTACAGGCTAGGGGGCCGAGCGCTGCGGCTAAGACATGCTAAGGGGCCGAGCACCGTGGCTAGGACAGGCTAGGCGGCCGGGCGCTGTGGTCACAGGACCAATGATATCCATGTTATACACATGCTAACCATCTACAATATTGATAGGAGGAGGGGGGGGGGGGGTTCAAAAATCGTTCTCTAAGAAATTACTTAACACTTTTTAGTCTGGGTTCCTAATAAATGCTTTTTTCATACCCCCACTCCCCAGGTCATTGAGGGGGGGACGCGCCCGGTCCCCCCCCCCATTCAATCAATTTTGTACTTGAATGTCAAGTGTAAAACAATTATATTTATTTACTACTAAGGTAAGGTTAGGGACAATTTCTGGTAAAAACATTTTGTTGTAAAAATTGTCAAGATCTTACCCCTGCCAGGAATTCCGTGATTTACAACTTGAATCTGTTATTTACATTGTTTTCAACTCTGGTATCATATAAATACTTTATTACAATATTTTGTAGATTCTAGCTTGTCTCTAGGCTAGTCTAGATTAGTCTAGAGCAGGCTAGAACATGGATACAGCGCTGCATGCCGTTGATACGGCGATCGACCGCATCAAGCGGGAAGTGGAAATCCAGAAACAGAAATCTGACAACATGTGCAAATTTAAAACAGCGCACAATTGGCAGGTAATCTGAGAACTCGTCATTGTATGTACTCAATCACTTGTTTTCGACAAAGTAGATTTTTAAAAATATGAATTTCTTTTTTTTTTGCAATGCCAACCTGGAATAGGAGGCTAGGTTAAAATGTCTTTATAATTTTATTAGCTGGGAAACCTTCTTTGCCTGAAAACTAAATTTTCTCTATATAAATCGACCAACTGAACTTAAGTCAAAACTTGATGATTACCTTCCCGTGGTTCTACCGAGTTCCAAAATCGAAATTCGAGGCAAAACGGTCAAGGGGGTTCATAAAATTATGATCGGTCATACAAATAAACAGCCCAACAGAAATTACTACCTTAAATATTTCAATAAATCATGTCTAGGAGGAAAAGGAAGGATCTGTTGAGGATACAACCCAACCTTCTTATTTCTGGCGCGCACACACCGGTACCGTGCTCATCGTGTTCATCTGCTGCCTCGTGTATACGGCCTTCATAGAAACCCCGGTCGATGATCCCGTGTACAACGGTAAACGGGGATTCACCGTGGCAGTATTTTTCTGGGTAACCCTGGGAATGACGATGATGCCGGACGGACCATTTATGCGTCCTCATCCTGCGCTCTGGAGGTTCGCCTTCGCCTGTAGTATCTTCTACGAACTTCTCCTGATCTATATCCTTCATCAGACCCCGCATGATGCTCGAACTTTGCTTAAGTTTATCGATTCCGATCTGGGAGAACCCATCCCGGAGAAGGATTACGGAGGAAACTGTCAGATCTACGACTCTGAGACACCCCAGGATCCCTGGCATAATATCAAGGACAAGGTGGATATATTCATCGTTGCTCATCTGTTCGGATATTGGTGCAAAACCTTAATCTTCAGGGATTGGTGGCTCACAACAGGTATACTTTGTTTTAAACATCAAATACAACGAAACGATTAAACTGAAAGATCAAACGGTCGCACCGTGCCCTTAAGTTTGCAAGTATCTTTTCGATTTGTGTAACTTTAGTTTCTTAACTCTTAAACCATTGTAGCTATATTCATTCTATACTCTACAGATTTTTGGATTAATCTTTGTAAAATTAGAAATTCAGTAAGATTGTTATGACCTCTGTAGTCTAAAAATGCTACAGTTTACAAATACTTAATATTTTCAGTGATCTCTGTAATGTTTGAGTTTCTTGAATACTCCCTGGAACATCAGTTGGCTAATTTCTCTGAATGTTGGTGGGATCACTGGATCCTAGATGTTATCGTCTGTAATGGCGGGGGAACTATTCTAGGAATATATACTCTACGCTGGCTTAGTCTCAAGGTGACTGATAAATCTTGTTTCGGAAAAGAAAAATATTTCGAAATAATGTTGGGAAACTGAAATAGGACTTTTCTTTTTTAATTCATTATTTAAAGAATTCATTTGTTTTACTACAAGTAAATAATCAGCAAACTATTTTTTGAATCTTTCCCATTGGGAAAATCAGGATGTTGGAAAATATGTTAGATTGATCGGTAAAGTTTATTTTCTGAACAATGGTCAGCGTTTATATCAATACACTGAAGACGACTTTTCTAGCAAGCTTTTTTTTAAAATACAAGTTTACAAGCTAATGAAAGAGAAGCTGTTAATTGACAGCTTCTTATGGTTTTCAAGGTTATATGTATCCAGCTGTTTGAAAGTCTGGTAGAGATCATAAGTCATTTTAATTGAATTGATATATACGAGTACGACTGCATGAGATTTTTTTTCAAGAAATTTTTGATTATTTTCCACACCTTTAAAAGTGTAATAGTCTATTCTGTAATGGACGGTTTATCTGTACTGTGTATACAGAAACATTGTAAAGAAGAAAATTATGACCTGTTGAGTGTCGATCCTTGAACTTGATTTGGATTCATCCTATACAATATACAATATACAATATACAATATACAATATACAATATACAATATACAATATACAATATACAATATACAATATACAATATACAATGTACAATATACAATATACAATATACAATATACAATATACAATATACAATATACAATATACAATATACAATATACAATATACAATATACAATATACAATATACAATATACAATATACAATATACAATATACAATATACAATATACAATATACAATATACAATATACAATATACAATATACAATATACAATATGCGATATGCGATATGCGATATGCGATATGCGATATGCGATATGCGATAAGCGATACACGATATACGATATACGATACACGATATGCGATATACGGTACTCAATACAAGATACGCGATACAAGATACGCAATACACAATATATAATATACATGCTTTCATGACAGTTTATAAAAAGTTGTAGTAAACTCAATGCATCACCATTTTCTAGAATTTCTGTGAGTATTATGAAAATTTCCAATAAAAAAATGATATTTTTAGTCTATGCTAACCCCATGGTTCCCTCAAAAAATTGCAGCCAATTTCGTCCAGCCGTCAGGCCAGCTACAGCTAACATATATTTACAAATTTACAAATATATAAACGTATCAGAAATCAGAATAAAAACAGGAGCTAAGTCTAAAAATGATAATTATTATGTAGATATAAATATTATAACTTTAAATTATTTCAGGAATACCATTGGCGTGGTTTGTATGAGATCCCAACCTATCGAGGCAAAATAAAAAGAATAATCGCGCAATTCTCTCCCCATGGTTGGATCGAGTTCCAATGGTCTCCACTGTCTAGTTTCGAGAGATGGATTGCTATCCTTTGCATAACAAGCGGATTTTTATTCACAGGTTCAAATCAAAGTTGTATCTTTTTGAAGAATTTTGTTGGTTTAAAGGACATCTTATTTAAAAAATTTATGTTCCTTGAACCAAAATACGTTTTTCGTTTTAATTATTAATGAAACTGTGAAAATAGAACAGATCGTTAGCACTGCTAAAACTATTTGAGACTTGTTTAGGGAAACTTTCCAACTGTTGGATGACCCTGAGTGTGATAAACTGGGTCGGCAGAGCTGGGTTCTCCTCGCTATCGTCATCACGGAGCTACTCATCTGCTTTAAGTTCGGTTGGCAGACCATCACCAAACCTCTTCCCAAACATATTGCACTCTGGTACAATATATATATATAAAGTAGTAATCTATTTTTGCATTTTTGTATGGCCGACTAAAAGTCGTGAACCTGTTGACCAATTTGCCTCAAATTTTTTTAGGAACTCGGTAGAATCGCGGAAATGTCTTATTCTTGGTAAAAAAGTGCTAAAAGTTTAGTGGGTTGAATTTGATAGGAAAAATGTATTTCCAGACAAAGCTGGGTTCCCAAGCTATGTAAAAATAAAATAGGGCAGTACCATCCTTGTTTACCCACGGCGAGGGGAAATTGGTTGGGGTAGGAATTGAACAGATATGGGCGTTGGACACTTGACCCCCTACCTGGTGGCGGTCTAGGGGGAGGGGAGGGGGAGGATTATGGGGGCATTTGAAAATTACATTACCTATTAGAATCTTAACTTAAAGATTTCGGAGACATGTTTTATTTTGTTACAGTCATTAATTTATCAATCAATCAATCAATCAATATATACGTTTTAGATTTATTTTACTTTTCTTATTTAACATCCATCTATCCATCTATTTAATTTTTTATGGAAATGATATATATTATCCTATCTTATCTTATCCAGGTGGGTACTGGGTGGTGTACTGCTTGTTGTTTACACCTTCGTCAAGTTCTATCTACTGAAACCCAACCATATCCCTAGGAAAATATACTTGCAAATAATTCATAGATACTCCGAAACCTACTGGATTTTTTTTTAAAAGAAAAACTTTTTCGTTATTTTAAGTTATCCGCCATTTACAGGGTGGCATGTCACATTCCCAACGGCACCCTTTACACCTTGTTTTTGAAGGATGCATGAACTATCCTAGATTTTCTAGCTAAAAATTGATCATTTTTAATTGGGTTTCTCTTCTAAATTGGCATGCGGATTTATGCTGTAGAGACAATGAAGGTTATTAAGTTTCAACAAGGTTACGGAAAGAAAAACGAAATTATCTTCCTCATTGTAACTTGTTTATTTTCCAACTGATCCAGTAGAAATAATGCAAGAATTATAAAGACTCGAAAACAAAACCTCTAAGGATACAAATGGCACTTTTCTAAGCTTTTAAATATCAATCTTATTTCGAATTTAAACAGAATTAAGTGAAGATTTTTATCAGCACAACAAATGTATAAATTCTAACACATGCTATGTTTGCAAAAGAATCGAAGAAAGCAAAGACGATTTTACAAAGAAAAGAATAAAAAGATTAAAAAGGGTAAAAGATATTATCAAACATAAAGGATGTCAAAAATCGGTGTGAATTAAAAAGATCCTTAAAATGCTTGTTTTGCGTAGAACCTATAACTTTTGCACAACCCATAAAGTCTATTTAAAATTTTTTTTTAACAATATAAATAAACAAATTAAATTTTTTTTTAACATTACAAATAAATCTATCATTTTTATTTTTAAAAATACTAACAATCAACCACCAGTAAATGTAATTTTCCTTTTCCTTTGATTTCTATTCTTTTATATTTTTCTAGAATTGGGGGGAAATATTTCCACAACCTCTAATTTTCTCCTGAAACACATAATTTTGTTTTTGTTATATTTCATGAATAAATAATTACTTATTAAATAAAATAAATAAATACTAGACGGAGGTTGAACGCGTACTGTTGTGAATATGGCATTATACATACAGTCCCTTAAATAAACATACAGTCCCTTAAATAAACAACTTTTCTACTTTTCTAGACCCCCCTACCCCCTCCCTAAACCAAGTGTACTGTACAGACCGGAGAAGGAACGTGTACGTCTGATGACACCTGGCAGTACACCTGTTCATGTACCCAGGTCAAGGAATAGTGAGAAAGAAGACTAGTTCATCAGCTAATGTTAAAGAAAAGATTGATCTTAATAATAAGGGAACACGAGATCAAGAAATATTCCAACCAAGGAACAAAACCAAATCAAGGAAGAGTTCTCAAGGATGTATTATCAACTGTGAGAAGCAGGGAACAGTTTAAAAGAAACTAGTCAAGGACTTTAAAAAAGGAGCATTCATTTGAGTTTTGGAAGAAAAAAAAATATTTTTATTTGGAAAAAAGCATATTCTTCCTACAAAACTATGGTATTTAGGATTATCTCCAAGTAAAAATTAAAATAATCGTTGCTATTTTCTAAATAATCATATAATGTTAAATGTAAATCCTTCTTACAAAATCATTGCACAAGTTTTGTATATGATTGTTGTAACTTTAAGTAGCACGTTAATTTCGGGAAATTTGTGTAACTTTTATGGGTCGCGCTTTTCCTTTAACTTGATTTTTTTCAGTTTCTTGAATCGTCTACCTATAGCAAAATGTGGTTTGAGGAATCAACTGGTACATTTTGTAAAATTGATTTAAAATTACGTAAATTAGAAAATAACAATAAGCCAATCCAGAATACAGATCTCTAGTCTTTTGATTGTTTTTTCTCGGCTGTGTACTAAATATGCTATTTCAATATTTGCAAAAGCGTAAATTTCTCTGTATCCCCCCTTCCATAAGACATTTATTCGATTAACATATTAGGCACACAATCGTTCTTTTTTTAAAAAGAATGTTTAGCATTTAGATATATTGAAACTATATATTATGGCGTTTAGATATATTGAAACTATATATTATGGCGTTTAGATATATTGAAACTATATATTATGGCGTTTAGATATATTGAAACTATATATTATATTCACCATGCCAAACGTATAGTACAATAGATTTTAAATTGAATTATCAACTCATAAAAAGTATTGAGTTAATATTGCATTTTTTCTCATCTTTGAACTGAATTTAACTGGTTATACACTTTATAAATACAATACTGTGTGTGCTAATGACTGGGAATAATATATCGTCGTTATAAATGTCTCCCCAAATATGATTTTATTGTGTCACAATGGTGATGATTTAATTCATACGAATTTTTTTAAATATTATATTCAATTTTAGATGGAAAAAATGGTTTGTTTTTATTCTAAAATTTTTGCAGGGGGTTTATTTTAAGCACTCTGCTACTTTAATTCCTAGATATTTTAGCGCACTTAATTGTAATTGATTTGTAAATTAGCACTCGTGATTTTATTTTTATGTGATTTAGGCCCTCTGTGATTTATTGTTAAATTAATTGTAGATCTGTAGTCAGAAATTATAGTTAAAAATGCTGAATTTTAATTAAAAAAATTGATTCTAGTTGTTCTTTCTTGATAACGGGGACGTATTAAACAGCTGTTGGGATTTTTCTTTATAAATATTGTAGTTTTGATATTTCAGATGAAATGGACGAAATATCTAGACTCGTCCTAGAAGGATGCTCGGACGAACAGCTCCTAGCTCGTCTGGAGCAAGGGACGGAAGAGGAGCAGAGAGACAAAGACCACGAGTTCGTCTCTTGTATCAAGATCAATGGAATCCCTATTCTTCCGACCGTCATGACTCCGGAACTCCGGGTCCAGTGTTTAGCTTGGAAAGAGAAAGCCGTCCTGAAAGAGAAAGAACTGAAATCCCGAAGAGACGTCGACCATGAATCCAGGATCAAGTATGCAATTAATAATTTCAAATATAAACTATCTAAACAAGGAGCAATCTCAAGTTCATGTCCGGAATTACTCGACCTGGATTTAGGAGAATCGGAGGATGAATCATCCGACCTCAGTGTCTCCGACCTCGAGCCCAAATCCTTCGCTGAGATCCAGCAAATCTTGAAGAAGCAAAGAACCTCCGACCTCCATTCAGCTAGATCCTCTTCTCTTAGCAGTGACTCCGTCCAAACTCATCCAACTAAACCATACGAGTCACAACTCTACTCGGATACGGAGCTTGAGATTGAAACTAATCTGGGATTGTATGATAGCCTACAAAGTTTGAACACCGTGATAGAAAATCCATCCTCACGTCTCACTCATCCGTCCTCAATTTCTCCTAGTTCAAGTTATCAGCTGGACGATTCTGATAAAGAAAACACCGATATTTCAACCGATATCTCTGATAGTTTCCGTCCACGCCGAGGCTCCTACACCCTGGACAAACCTAGTCCACTACTCCGGGCACACCTGGAGAAGTTTGGTACAACACAGAACCATGATTACCATGATATGTCAAACCATCAAAGAACGCCCAGTCCAAAAAAATCTCAAATAGTTTGGGAATCAAAGAAGTCTCCAAAAAGCCAGGAAGAGCGCCAAATAATCCTGGATAAATACCTGGAGAGTTTAACCGAGAAATCTACGCCAATGTCTCGTATACCTGTGAAGATAAATACACCCAAGAGCCAGAAGAAATCCACGAATCATTTTCAAGTTCGGAGTACACTTGTCGAAACAAAGCAAAGTAGCCTAGTTCGCTCATCAACATTTACCCACAGATCAGAAAAAAAAGGTACATTAAAATATTTATTCAATTATTGTCCGTATTATTTTCCTTTAACACATAATTAATAATTAAGGTATTATGCTGGATAGAAAAAGATTCCAAGACTCACCAAAAACTTCTCCATCTAAACCCTCCTCTTGCCCTGTTCCTCGAGTGGATCAAATATTTCCTGTTTTTTCTCAGTCAGTTCTCAGATCCCCTCGCCCTTCAGTCCCGACTTCTCCATCCCGTTCGTTCTCAGCATCAGTTGCCCCCACTCCTACTCCTTCTCGATCCTTGACAACATCAGAAGCTCCTACTCCTTCGATACCATTTTCACCTTGTCCTACTCTTTCTTTTTCTACGTCATATGCTCCCACTCCGTCCACTCTAATTTCTCCGGACCCCATTACAACTACTACATCCTCTAGAACCCGGAGATTTGAATCTCCGACTCCGGAACCACCAGATACCTCGAGAACAGAGGTACTTGATACTCCAACTCAGGAATACACAGTTACTCAATCGGTGGAGAATATTACTCAGACATCGGAGTATACTCCGATGGCGGAACCACCTCTCTTATCCGGGTCGGTTGGACCAACGGATATAGAGAAGGCGGTTTCGAACCTTACTCAGTTACACTACGAGCGCATGTCCTCGCTTCTTGCCAGACAAGAAGAGGAGCGACAAAGGTTAAAGGTTGAGTTTGAGATGAAACAACAAGAATTGATTGATCAGATTGTAAAAAAGTTTCCAAATCTAAAACTTCAGCTTTCAGCCCCAAGTACTGAACCAAAACCGGAGACGAATCAAACCTCTTCCATGCCCCCTCACACAGAAACAGGACTGAAGACAACTGAAAAGTCTAAATCTCCGGATACTGAACCTGAACCAGTCCAAAAACCTGCAGGGTTGATTTCTCCGAATATTGAATCTCCAAGTTTAACATCTCAAATCAGAAAACCTCAGGTTTTATCTGATGTGACACCTCTGCCAGTTGAAGCCCAGAGCGAAGTTGTTCGAGAACTCCATCCGTTCCATACCAAGAAAGAATTGCACATTCCTCCCGCGGTGTTCTCGGAGAAGTATGCAAAAGGTTGGACACAACTAAGTGCGCTTGCACGCGGGTTTCTGGTGAGAAGATTACTGAGAACGGAGAAGGTTCAGGTTCTAAAGCAAACTATCAGAGAAACATTGGAGTTTGCAATTCAACTTCACTTGGAAGGTTTGTTTAGATTTCTCCATCTTCAAACTGAACATGAACATGAACGTGAACCCAAACGAGGACATAATCGTGATTATTTAAACACAGACATGCATTTAAACACAGAAATGTATTAGAACACAGACATAGATTTAAGCACAGACAGATTTAAACACAGACATAGATTTAAACACAGACATAGATTTAAACACAGACATAGATTTAAACACAGACATAGATTTAAACAAAGACATAGATTTAAACACAGACATAGATTTAAACACAGATATAGATTTAAACACAGACATAAATATGAACATCAATAATTAACTTGACACGGACACGGAATGGAGGTTGACTCGGACACGGAATGGAGGTATAAAAATGAATATTATAATCTCTAGGCGGTGAACCGAGCAGACAGGATGTTGATCTTCACTCGCGTCTGCTCGCGCAGTTAGAATCTGCTTGTGATATGATCCATCATTTGTTCTTTGAACTCGGGACTCAGGAGAAGTTAGAGATTATTCGTCAAGATAGGGAAACAGCAAGGGTCAAGGTAGAGGGGTAATCAATTAAAGAAAGAAACGTTATATTCTTATTTGTAGCTTTTCAGGGGGAACATTTTTGGTTTTATTATTTTCAATCCGGGAGACATGGCATATCAATTCTTCCTTGTTTTACAAACTTAATAATTGCATTAAATTCAGTTAAGTTTTTGTGTTTTAGGCTAATAAGCAGGAAAGTAAAAAAGAAAAAAGGCTATCAGCTGCTACTAGGAGCAGGTAATAAAAAAAAAATATTACGGAAAAGGTGAACGTCAATTATTTTTTATTTTAGATTGGAAAGCAAGACAAAAGAAAGTTTTGTAACGCCTAAACCTAAAGATAGGTGGCAACCCTCTCGTCGAAAATTAGCAAGAGCAAGAAGTGTGTCCAGAGAAAGAAGACGACCTACAAACTCAGTGCCTTCGCCTTATGCCAGAAGTTTATCTAAATCTGTTTCCTCTAAAACTGGATTCAAATTAGGCGGGAAGAAATCCTTCGACAAACCGGTTTGGAAATAACCGTAAATACCTGAATGTTACAGTACAAATTTCTTATGGTCAAGTTATATTTTTCAGTATTTTCATTTTTTTAATTAATTTTTATATGGTTCTATATATTTATATATTTATTATCGCAAAGAAAATTATATGTGTACAGCACAAGCACAACCACTCTCTGTACATAGAGCACTGTACTGTACTGCAATGTTTTCTAGAAAAATGGGAACCGGTGAAATTCAAGCTGTTGTGATGGCGGCGGGCAAAGGATCCAGGTAGACAAAAATAGATAAAATTTCCCAAGAATTTTATTCTCTTTATTATTTTCATTGTTACCTTCCCTAGGATGTTGGATATAACCGGAGGTGGGGTAAAATGTTTAATTCCTCTTGGAGGATATCCTTTGCTTTACTACCCTCTGAAGATGCTAGAACGAAGTGGGTTCAGAAACGTAATAGTCACCGTACCGGATAGGTTTGTAATTTAAGTATTTTTAAGTAATTTAAGGAATCTGAGATCAGGAAACCCCTCTTATTCGCGTTTACTTAATTTACTATCGTATCAGGATTTTTAAAATTTTCATCTAATTTTTGTCCATTGAGAAAACCTTGTATTTAAAAAATTTGATTGTAGTTATGTTTCTGTGGTCGGCGTTTATATCAACACAATGAGGACGACTTTCTGCTTAGGTTTTGATTTATAATAAGCTTTTTTATTACAAGTTAAGAATCAAACATAAAAGAATCTGTTAATTGACAGCTTCTCTTTTTTTCATATTTTTGTTTATTCAAGTTTTTTTAAGGCTTGGTAGAAATAAAAATTGAAATATAAAGTCGTCTTCATTTTATTGAAATATAGGAAGACGACTGTAATCACCTTCTATGTGTCACATATTAATAGCTCATTGTTTGTAGTGCAAGATCTGAGGTGTGTAAATTTGCAGAGAAATATAAACTCTCCTTGAAACTAGATGTTGTCGGAGTTCCGATGGCGGAGGAGTGGGGAACAATGGATACTTTAAGGTATAAGATCCGTTGGGGTGGAGTGGGGAACACTAGAATAAGTACTTAAAGGTAAAAGAGGAGTAGGGAAATGGACACTTCATGGTAAAAGATCAGATGTAAGAGGAGTAGGGAAAAAACACTTTAAGGTATATGTAGCGGATTAGGGGGAGTGGGAAGCAATGGACACTTGAGGTAAAATAGCCGATGGGGAAGAGTGGGGAATTATTTTAAAGTATAAGTTCCAATGGCGGAGGAGTGGTGAACAATATAAATATTTAGGTAAAAGATCCGATGTAGGAGGAGTGGAAGAAATAGACACGCAAAGATAAAAATTTTGATGACAGAGAATTGGGGAACAATGAACATTTCAAGATTAAGTTCTTAAACTTAAAGGTTTAAGTTCCTACGGCGGTGGGATGCAACCGCTGCATTGGCGCAACAGGCATTTTGTGGTTTTCAATTTTATTAGAAAAAATATGTTGGAAGACCTTCTCGTATTTAGACAACTCCAATCTGGGAGATAACTCATGAATTACTATTTGCAGGCATATTAGTGATAAACTGGTTGGAAGTGATATTCTCATTGTATCCGGGGATCTTGTGTCCAGGGAGAACTGTAGGATACTCAGCGATCTTCATAGGTTAGATATATTGATTGACCGATTGATTGATTGATTGATTTTATGATCTCAACAACTTGTAATACTTTTTAAAAAATGACACTAGAAAAGTTGTTAACCTAATTTTAAGTTCTCTTTTTTATGTGCAATCAATGACTCAACGCATAACGATACTGCTTGAGCATATAGATAATAATTTGCGACTTTTCAGTGACGTTTAAATGTTTGAAACTTATCCTAACCATTTTCTTGTATTTTAGATCCAAGAAGCCTGATTTGACTCTACTCTTGAATAAGCCTGCTTTTGACTTAAAGTCTTTGACTGTGCCCGGCTCAAAATCAACTAAATATAAGAATGGTAAGTCTACTGAAAATGCTACTATTAGTCTTTTTTATTTGATCTTTGTTTTCTCTTAATATGAATTTTAAGAATTTTTTTATCCTATGGATACAATCAAGAATTCCATTCTCAATTTCTTATTTTTTTGATCTAAATATTATTTCAGAGCGTGATCTGATCGGTCTTTCTGGAAACAATCTTTGTCTGTTTAAATCCGAGGCAGACGTAGAAGAGGAGATTAATATATCTAACAGAGTTCTGAGACAGTGTCCAAGGTATACAAGGAGATAAATATATTTAACAAAGTTCTTAGACAGTGTCCAAGGTATACAAGGAGATAAATATATTTAACAAAGTTCTTAGACAGTGTCCATGGTATACAAGGAGATAAATATATTTAACAAAGTTCTTAGACAGTGTCCAAGGTATACAAGGAGATTAATATATCTAACAGAATTCTGAGACAGTGTCCAAGGTATACAAGGAGATACATATATTTAACAAAGTTCTTAGACAGTGTCCAAGGTATACAAGGAGATTAATATATCTAACAGAGTTCTTAGACAGTGTCCAAGGTATACATGGAGATTAATATATCTAACAGAGTTCTTAGACAGTGTCCAAGGTATACAAGGAGATTAATATATCTAACAGAGTTCTTAGACAGTGTCCAAGGTATACAATATACATGGAGATAAATATAAATATAATTAACACAGTTCTTAGACAGTGTCCAAGGTATACATGGAGATTGATATATCTAACAGAGTTCTTAGACAGTGTCCAAGGTATACATGGAGATTAATATATCTAACAGAGTTCTGAGAGTGTCCAAGGTATACATGGAGATTAATATATTTAACATAGTTCTTAGACAGTGTCCAAGGTATACAAGGAGATTAATATATATATGACAGAGTTCTGAGACAGTGTCCAAGGTATACACGGAGATTAATATAATTAACACAGTTCTTAGACAGTGTCCATGGTAAGGAGATTAATATAAATAACAGAGTTCTTAGACAGTGTCCAAGGTATACATGGAGATTAATATATTTTACATAGTTCTGAGACAGTGTCCAAGGTATACATGGAGATTAATATATTTAACATAGTTCTTAGACAGTGTCCAAGGTTTACAAGGAAATATATTAACATAATTAATATATAAGGTTTAAATCTTTTTAAAAGTTCGTCGCTTTTTCCATGGCTTGAACAGTAGTGTTGTTGTAATTTCAAATTTTAGAGGACATGACTGGTTTACAACTGTACCTTGTAAACCTTTATCTGATAAATAATATGGAAGATATCGTCGTTTTTATAGCTTGAAAAGTGTTATTAATTAATTCTGTTAATTTCCTACCTAATTTCTGTAGTAAAAATCTTCATATCAATTTTACAGAGGAGCTCAATTTAAAAGAATCAATTTTCAAACCCAATAACATGGATATCTCATTCATTCTGGATCATACAGAGAGTTTTAATAATATCGTTGTGAATTGGACATATATTCCACTCTAAGGGTCACTTGAAAATATGTCGACATTCCCTTTAATATAGTTAACGAGTATCATGCTTAACCTCACTACATCGTGTGTTAATATTTACAGGTTCACCGTACACACTAATCTGCAGGACTCTCATCTCTACATCGTGAATAAGGAGACTCTGGATCAGGTTCTCCAGGATAAAAGTGTGACAGCAGTGAAGGGAGAGATGATTCCAAAACTAGTTTCTCTTCAGTTCAACACTATAAAAGGTTCCAAGGAGGAGAAAATGGAGATGGATAATGATTTTCATGGAGAGAAACAGAAACAGAGGTTTGGATTTTATTTAGAATAACTAAAGATCAAGTTTGATTTTTGTTGAAAGAGAATTATTGTCTTAACTTGTGAATTTTGTAATTTCATGTCCGCCATCTTTAATGTTTGAATTCTAGGAGTTTAAAATGCTACGCGGCAATTACGGAAGAGACGACGGTACGCGTGAATAATGTTCCGAGTTACTGGGACGGATTCAGGATTGTTCGGAGCGGGTTCCATGAGAACTCTGAACTTCCAGTGGTTCATGAGCAAGCAAAGGTTCATGAAAAATCACAGGTAGGAAGGACTTTAAAAACCAGCACAACAGTGAGGTTTGTTTTCTTAAATAAGTTCCAGGCGTTGTCAATTTTTGTACTTTCATGTAATAGATATGCTCATAACTTGCATTTTATTTGTTTTTTATTCGACATTCAGCTTTGTTATTAAAACATTTTCTCTAAAATGTATATTTAGATGAAGGATTGTAGTGTCGGGGCCGGAAGCGTGGTAAGTGAGAAGACAACACTGACCGGCGTATCTGTCGGAGCTAACTGTACGATCCATGAGAAGGTTAGGATATCCAACTGTATCATCATGGATGGGGTCACCATTGCATCCGGCTCAAATATAAAGGTAATTTAAATTTTTATTTTATTTTTCGATATTTTTATTTTATTTTATAAAATATTCAAATATTTGGTTTAATCAATATTTTACTAAAATATATAATTCTTTGTCAAGATAAGACTATAAACAACAAACAAAACTTTTTTGAAAACGTATTTGATAAAAAAGAAGAAAGTTAACAAGAAGAACGATATTTTCAATTTAATGGGGGGAAAAGATTCTTTGATAATTATTGTTCAATTCATATGTGGAACAGAGAAAATAATCGGCCAATTTCTTGTATTTCCATGCTGTATAAATTCATCATTGAAAGTTTCTTCCCTTATTAGTAACTACCAATTTTTAGATAACAGATGAAGAAACTTTTCATCTTCATGGAATCTTTTAAGTTTTAAGTTATAATGTTGATTATCTAATTATTAATTATTAATTGTTATTATTAAGTTGTTTGAATTTGGGTTGAGGGGTAAAAAATCAGATGTAAAATGTATTTTTTAATTTATTTTAATTGGGATTATTTTGCAGGATTGTATTGTATGCGAAGGAGCAAGTTTAGAAGCTGGTTGTGATCTAAGTAATTGTATAGTTGGACGACAGCATACTGTATCCGCTCAATCAAACCTAGAGAACCAAATCCTGCTTGATTCAGATCGAATGATGCATGTCTAGAAAAAAGTCTTTTTGATGGACAAATGCGTTTTATTGTTCTGGTGTGGTGATATAAGACTAAATCCAAAAAATAACAATATTTTTTTTCGGAGAAAGATTTACTCAATAGAAACAACTTTTGTTAATTAATATATTTTTTACTACCGAGTTTTAGCATTCATGTGATTAAGGTTATGATAAAACTTGATTTATGTAAATAATGCTCTTGGTCATATTGTTAGGTGCCTTATTTTTTACTCGAAACAAATAAATATTTAATTCTTGCCTTGAGAAAAAAAATTCTAAACGCAAAAAAAATTACATCTGAGAAATAAAATGACTAGACAGTGGACATCGTCAATGGAAAACAAATATGTCCTGTCAAAAAAAAGAAATTAATGTCGAATCAAAACATGTCTGAACTTAGAATTGCAACTAATACACTACAGTTCCAGTTTCTTCAAAGAAGATTGCTTTACTTCACGTTAGAAAATAGAATGCTGACCAATCGTTAAGAAACTAAATAACTTAATACTTCAATCAAACTTAAACTAAAATGGCTGTTCTCTTGAACTAAAATAGATGTTCTCCTCTTGAACTAAATTGGCTGTTCTTGTGAATTAAAATGAACGTTTTTTCTAAATTGAAATGGATTTTTTCTTGAATTGAAGTGGCTGTTCTCTTGAAGTGAAATGAATGCCTCTTGTCCTCATGCGTCTTATCATGCTGCTTTTTTTGTTTACCCCTTAGATCTTTTTTTTGCCCCCCCCCCCAAAAAAAGCCACATTTTGACAAAATTACTTACTAGTTTTTTATTTATATTAAAGAACCGTATATCTTTCGTACGTAGTCTTTGCTTGGTAAAGAACTTGAGTTGCAAAGGAAATGAGATTTTGCCAATAACTCCAAACTTATAATCCCTGTATCTGTGAGACCCGATGTCGTAGATCTGATATATTAAACTATGAATTCTATAAACTTTGAAAAAGCCTAAGCCTGAAAATAAGGTTTATACCATCAGGTTTCCAAGAAATAGGGATCAGAAAATTAATGTTTGTGGCAACAACTAAGTTTCTTTCTTGAAAAAAAATTTCAGGGCTTTACATGCTGAGTTTTTGTTTAATAAATATTAATAAGGATGAATTAAGTTGCCTTTTAATATCTTATTTATAATTTTTTTCAATATCATATAAAATCATTTCTAGACCCTCCTTTTCGTGCTCTATGCATTTTGATTAAAATTCCGCCGTAGAGGTCACTAAGTCTGTAGAAAGCTGGGGGAAAAAACAGAATTCTGCTTGCTTTCTTTTACAGGATTTCAGCTGATACTACATGGTAATGCCTCTAGTGTGAGAAAAGATTTTAAAACCTACATCACCCGAGTATGCTTGTACTCACGTACACTATACTCTACAGGGTGTCCTAATAAACATGGGAATTCAGTGACGAATTAGATATCGTCTTTTTAGATAGTTCTTTAATTTAGTATAGTGATACTTACTGCGAAAGCTGTAATCTGTAAGAGTTTCGTCTGCTATGTTCACATTTTGCTTGTTTATGTTTTGACTGCATACGGTTGTACTTAGTAAAACAAGAAAATTGCAGTACAGAAACAGAGTAAACTTAAGTCCGTCTTCACAGTTTATCTTGCGGAGACATTGTAGACAAATCTTTACAGTCTTTTACCTTTTCATAAAATAAACTCTAGCAGACATGGCTTTTGAAATTAGGTATTACAATGCTAATTCATAACAAAGACGATATCCATTTCGTCACTAAATTCCCATGTTTTTTGGGACACCCTGTATTATATTTATAACTCTATTTCTAAATAAAACATAAAATGACTAGAGATATAATTACCAGAACTACCAAATCGTTGAAATCATTATTCTCTTTAAACAAAATAAAATGCTTCCCTCCTGAAATATAAACAAAGGCATAGATCTAAAATAAAATGGCGAATTTATTCTGTAAGGAAAGATTCTACAATTGAATTAAACTCCTTCTGATATTTGAAATGTAGATTATGTTTTCCGTTTTCAAACACAAACGATCTAGAAGGAGACATAAATCTTTCAACTCAACAAGAAATCCTCGTATCTTTAAATGAGAAAATTTGCAAGAATTAGAAATTTTCAAGCTATGCAGAAAAGTTTTCAGAAATATCGATATTTATGAGAATTTCTAAATCATATCAAATGAAAATGTAATAATAATATGTTAATGCAGTTGGTAACCTAGTGTTTTCTATTTTAAAGGGACTGTAAGCGTTATTTCAAGTGACCCTCCATGCAAAGATGCCAATCCTCGATTCACAACAGTACCCTTAAAACCTTTATCTGATCAGTAATGTGGAAGATATTGTCGTTGTCTAGGCTTGATTCCTTTATATTTTCCTCCAATAGAAATGCGCAAGTTACTTTTGTAGGAAAACTAGAATTGAAAATTAATCAGTTTGTAAAAATTCTAAATTTTTATCTAATTCAGATTTGAGGGTACCATTGTGAATCAATCATTGCCATCTTTTCATGGAGGATCACTTCAAATAACGCTTGTAATCCCTTTAAACTTAAACTGAAAAAATACAGAAAAGTAAATTGTACACAATCTGATTCTGGGAGAAATATAAACAAACTAATGTTAGTTTCGAATTCTCTCAGGATCTGCAGTATACAAACATATAATGGTTCCTGGAGTATCTTTCTTACAGACTTATGATGTAACTTTACTTAAGCAGAAGAAGGAATCTTGTTGAGAACCATAAAACTGGAAATGGGAAGACGACATTATAGCAATACTTAAGTATATTGGATACTGTTACAAAGCAAATAGTTCTACTATATAGTAACTTTTAAATCATAAATTAAGTTAAATGGGTCTGTTTACCAGAATTGCTGTCGTCTCCTATTCCAGAGTTTTTGGATCTCACTGTAGTATTTACTATTTATGTCTCTAAACCTGGAGTTTTGAATATTCGAAGTTAAATGTTCTAAATGTTCTTCTGCCACCATAACGTCCTTATTCCCGTGGATCACTAGGGTTGGAGCAGAGATATTCTTCAAGTCAGAGGAACAGATATCTCCTCCTTCAAGATTTAATATGAATATTTTTCAGTAAATATTGTATTTTCTGGCCCTTAGTTGTGTTTTATATTCTACTAGTTGAAGGGCCTGGCGTTACCCATGAAAAAAAACATTTTGAAAAATAAATTCGAATTCTTTTAGCCTATAACACCCCCCGGCCACCCATGAGTGTCAACAACAAAATTCTGCCCAATCGGTCCAGCCATTTGGCCGGCTATACGCAACATACATATGAATGTCTTGTTTTAATATATAGATAAATTCTTTTACAGAACGATTTAGATAACATTTTCTTCACATTACAGACGATATAGGACAGTGGTACTCAGAAAACTGTGGAATTTTCTTTTTATCAACAAATTTTACTGAAATTTCAGTAATTTGAAATTTAAAAATGTTGTGTACATTTTAAAAAAATAAATCAGATACAATTTATAGCGATATTTCAATATAAATAAAGAATAAACGAGGACGACAATCATCCCACTGATGTCTAGTTACCACTGTTGAAAGAATCTATTCTCAGCATTAAAATAAAGATAACTCTTAATTTGATGTTTGGATTAATAAGAATTATAGTCCCAATATATCAACTAATTTTAATCATAATTCCCTGCCTTTATTATAAATATTCTTGTACTCGTTGCACCAGGCTGACCAGAGGGTTGGGAAGCTTTCTCCGTACATAGCGTACATAGGTTCACTCATCCTTAAGCAGATTCACCATTAATACGGTACAACACAATTCTGTCAACATAAAAACCCCCGTTCAGGTTATTTATGATCGTTAATTAAACCTTAATCCCAGTAATTCCGCATTGAACTTGTTTTCCATCAAATACAAGGGAAACAATTATATTATTATTTCATAGAAAAATAACTATTCAATTTTTACTTTCGTATTACATATATCTTGCTGTTTTTCTTTAATAAGTTCAATTACTATTGCAAATACTTGTGTACCTTTGTCAATCTTCCTACCTTATATATCTTCATCTAAATATCCACCTAGTAAGTATACCATGTCTTTACTACCATTCTGAATGCCTGGATACTTATCCGACCTTATCTGTCCTCATCTAAATATCCACATAAGATATATATACTATGTCCTTCCTACCCTTCTAACCAATTGGATACTTTTTTAACCTTATTCATGTTTTTTAACATCTACCTTGCCCTTCCTATCTTTCTAACCACTTTTATGTTTGTTTAACGTCATTTTTTTCAAAATATCCATCCTACATTTCCGACCACATGGATACGTCTGCAACCATTCTCCGTATCCAACTCAAGGATAAAAACTTTGGCCTTTCTACCTTTCTAAACACTTGGATACGTCCGCATCCGGATTTGCTATTTTGATATCCAGCCAAGGATAAAAACCCTCGTTCGTCTTTTCTACCTTTCTAACCACTTGGAAATGTCTGCAACTCAAACTTATTTATCACCTTAATATCTTCTTATAATATAAACCATAAGCTTATCATTTCTACCTTGGATTGGATACGTCTGGTATCTTCTCCAACATCTTAATATTCACCTGTTAAAAAAACCTTGTCTTTCCTACCTTTCTGACCACTTGGATACGTCTGCAACCTGATTTATCATGTTGATATCTTCTTCTGATATATAAGCATTGCAACCAAATACAACCAGCCTCTTCACTGACTTCGGGAACCTAGATAATTTGATACATTTATAGTTTAAAATGAAAATTTGTTACGTGTGATCAATTTCATAAAGAATATTTTTGGGGCACGTAGTACAACAACAGAATCACAAACCAAGATGATGTATTTACGGGTAAATCTGGAGGAAGACATCAACGGTTCATAGATATAAATGAATACAATAGAAATTAAATGTTTTTTGACAAATACTTAACTAAATATGTTAAGTTAAGTTAAGATAATTGTACTTCGCAGGGTAATTAGATCCAACAGCCTTACCTAGCGGCAAGAATAAGGCCAGTTATTCCGCCATCTGACCATCCGACGGCGGAGAATTGGCGGTACCCTAGTTCTGACATCAGACCTTGAGCGGAGTTTGCATCGTTGGAGAAAAAATCCTCGAAATTTCTATCTGGAGGTCTAGACTTCCCATACCCAGGGGGATCCCAGCCAATTAAGGTGAATTTATCCTAGAACGGGTTAAGGTTAGATATTTTAAAGATAGTGCATGGTATCAATAAAACTGTGGAGTATGAAGACGATTGTTACACTCAAGTTATGATTTTAAGCAGTCCAATGAGTATGCAACACAGTCAAGGCAGGGGCGTACGAGGAGGGGGCACTGGGTGCACGTGCCCCCCCCCTATGTGTGACAGCCCGACCCTTGGGGCCTCATTTATGAAATGATTTTATATGATGTGGGGAAAAAATTTAAAGTTTGACATTAAAAAAAAAACAAGTTTTTTTGTTCTTTTTAATATTTTTTACACAAAAACTCAGCAAGTTAAACCCTGAAAGTTGGTTATTAAATTTTGTCCCTAATTGAAATTAAACATCGTTAAATACTATACATTTAGATTTCTTTAATTTAGAACTTTTTATCATTTTTAAACCTTCGATATTCCTTCAAACTGCGGAGAGAAGTCTGAAAGAGCTGAACCTAAAGCTCCAGGTAGAAGAAGCACTGGCTCCGTCCCCGTCCCAGATCGCACATAGTGAATCCTGATAAGAAATTTGTCATAATTATAACGGAAATCAATATTCCCTACCATATCTTATGAACCTGATGGTGTAAACCTATTATTATTTCAACCAAGACTATTTGATCTTTAATCGAATTCAAAGTTTAAAATATCAAAGATCTTTGCGATCATATCTTTGCAAGATATAGAAATTATAATTATGATTTGAAGCGAGTGTTCTTACCTAGGGAATTTTAACACTTAGTTATATTAGAATCTAATAAATCTAACCTACTACCACCAACTTTTGTATAATGAGAAGAGATGAATCTGACAGGAAACATCTGAGAAATCAAGGTTTTCCTTAGAACAAGAGCCATTATTTTTTATTCATCTAATAATAAAACTTACGACCTGAAATCAATCTTTAATTTTAATTTTGAAATAAAAATGCTTAGCCAAGTAAACTGAATTAACCTACAGAGCGTCCCATATCATATTAGATTATCTCCAATCTTTAAAGCAAAAATACGCACATGTTACTCAAAAAATCTAGCATTTTCTGCAAAAAAAAATTCTTTTAGCCTTATTAAATTTTTAAAATGATTCATTCTTCTTCAATTTTCTGATTTATCACCCAAATTGTAATTTAGACCCATTGACGCGGTCTAATTTGATGTGGGACACCCTGTATGTTGGTCAAAAGTCATGGCGATTTTATTTACTTTATTTGAATATGTAATAATCAACATAAAGATGAGATTTTATTTACTTTATTTAAATATGTAATAATCAACATAAAGATGAGATTTTATTTACTTTATTTAAATAAGTAATAATCAACATAAAGATGAGATTTTATTTACTTTATTTAAATAAGTAATAATCAACATAAAGATGAGATTATATTTACTTTATTTGAATATGTAATAATCAACATAAAGATGAGATTTTATTTACTTTATTTGAATATGTAATAATCAACATAAAGATGAGATTTTATTTACTTTATTTAAATAAGTAATAATCAACATAAAGATGAGATTTTATTTACTTTATTTGAATATGTAATAATCAACATAAAGATGAGATTTTATTTACTTTATTTGAATATGTAATAATCAACATAAAGATGAGATTTTATTTACTTTATTTAGATATGTAATAATCAACATAAAGATGAGATTTTATTTACTTTATTTGAATATGCAATAATCAACATAAAGATGAGATTTTAATGACACCTGCAACTCTTATAAAATGATATAGAAGGAGATTCTACAAATTTAATATGACTGATCTCTCATTCTTAAAGTTTTTAACGGAGACCTAAATATATAGAAAAAAAAACATATTTGATATTTCCATTATATATATAATTCATTCATAAATTTAATAGTATTATAGTTGTAAACTTTCTCCGGTTAAGCTTTCTAACTCTTGTAATTGTAACCTTGGAGACTTTTCGTTTGTAACTGGATTCTTTAGTTTTATTGTTGGGAAATCAGCTGATAAGGTTCAAGGAGTACACTGAACAAATCAGCTGATAAGGTTCAAGGAGTACACTGAACATCCTAACACGCAGTAATTTTAATCTCTGAGAAAGAGAAACTTGTTTTTACTCACGTCACCAAGCTCTAGTACAGTCCTGAGTATAGGGATGGAACCGGAGGAGAAGATACACGTCCTAACCCAGGACCTTTGCAAGGATCTAACTAATTTAATAGTATTATAGTTGTAAACTTTCTCCGGTTAAGCTTTCTAACTCTTGTAATTGTAACCTTGGAGACTTTTCGTTTGTAACTGGATTCTATAGTTTTATTGTTGGGAAATCAGCTGATAAGGTTGAAGGAGTACACTGAACATCCTAACACGTAATTTTAATCTCTGAGAAAGAGAAACTTGTTTTTTCTCACGTCACCAAGCTCTAGTACAGTCCTGAGTATAGGGATGGAACCGGAGGAGAAGATACACGTCCTAACCCAGGACCTTTGCAAGGATCTAACTAGTACCTTGAGCCGGGCAAGGAGTGGATGTGAAGCCAACCCGTCCGAGTGGGTTGAGAAAAGAATATCTGGAGAACTTGGTCCCAGTATAGGACGGTATGCAAGATATTTCTCCGAGCTGGGGATTTCGTCCCATGGAGAACTAACTGAACTATTTAAGACACACTACAAATCAAGAAACGGTATATATTACTCGTATTTTGCCATTATCGTTATAACTATTTTCCTATACCACACAGTCAACCAAAATGTACACGCTCCAACATAAAACTCTATTCGGATTTTTGCCAAATACTCATTTTCAATTAAAGATAGAAACAAAGACGTTGTAGTTCGAAAATGTACATGTCTTTGTCTAGGGCTTTAAAAATATAAAAAATGAGCTAATAAGGAAGTAAAGTTCACCCGGTCTTCTAAATGTATGCACAATTTTCATACCTTTCTGAGCCTTCGGGACCAGATGGAAATCCTTTCAAGACTTTATCTGGGTAATCAAATTAACCAAATGTGCCTACGAAGAAGATAATAATAAATTATTGTATTTTTAGTCCGTGAAGTATATGAGGATCTCCAGGAGGTTGAGGAAGAATGGAATCAGTTTATGGTTCATGTTGACACCAAGCTGACCTCGGCAAAGTCTCATGTTTTACAAGAAGGTCAACATGTACCACACTCACTTCAGATTCAAACCATCAGGTGACAATAATCACTAATCTGTCAATCCTCTCGTAGTTCTTTTTGTCCCCCCTCTCTTTTTCTGAAAAATGACAACATCCCATGATTATACAGCGATAACCAGGAAACTCTGAAATAGGAAGACGACTTTTAGAATCAAATTATAACTTTAAAAAGTGTAATGAGCATGATACATAGCAATTGTGCAATTTTAACACTAAATTAGTGATTTAATAAGTGTCAGTAAAACTGCTTGCTTTGGAACAACACCAAATACTGATAAATATTGTTATAATGTCGTCTTCATATTCCATTATTTTCTGGTTACCACTGTACTTTTCCAGGATAGGTTAGGTTTAGATAGATAGTATTCAGTCATCTTTTTCAGAAGAAGGAGGTCCAGGCACATTCAACAAGAAATTACCAAGTTATGTTCAATAACCCCTCCAAATAAACATTTATAATTTAATAATGATTTATAGGAGTGAGGAGCTAGCGCTGAAAGATTTGTATGGAGAAAAAGAATATCTTCATCTAATCCTTCTGCGCCATTTTGCTTGATTACCATGACGCGACCACGTGGCCAGAGTAGAGGAAAGGATTGAAACCTTCTCTTCTGCTGGCTGTAAGGTCGTCGTTCTCTCATTTGGGGAGATTCAGGTAGAACATTTGAAATCCTCAACGGGATTGAAGCATTTATCTGATCAATGATGTGGAAAATATTGTCGTTTTTCAAGGGTTTAATTATTTAATTCTGATAATTTATGTTTTTCTGCAATAGATGCGCAAGTTACTTAATTGGATCGAGAGAAACCACAATTGAAAATAATAAGTTTTTAAATTAATGACGTAGATATATAATTTATACTTGATCAGACAACGCTTTTAAGGGTACCGTTGTGAATCGGGCCTTGCTCTCTTTTCATGGAGGTTCACTTGAAATTACGCTTACAGTCCCTTTGATAAATATATAATATAAATATAATAGAATGATCGCTACAGATGGAATAGCAAACTAAGCACACTATATGACTTAATTTAACGACTACATGAACACTGCAGTACAGTTCAGTGCAAGATAAGACAAGCTGAAACTTTTTATAAACACTGCAGTACAGTACAGTGCAAGATAAGAAAAACTGCAGTACAGTACAGTGCAAGATAAGACAACTTAAAACTTTTTATAAACAACTATCAAAAAGTTGACTTTTATTTTGCCTTAAATATAGTCTTTGAATAATAATTTGGCAGAGAATAAAAACAAGTTGGTTCGGTCCTAGACGATATAACAAAAAAATTAAAATTTAGACATTCTTTTTAGCAACCATGAAATAAAAGTCTTATTTTCAATTTCGCATTAAATGAGTTATGTTGAGATTAGAGTTGAAATTAGAGTGATTAAAAATGACTTGACTGAACCTAATTAAAGTGGCACCTGCACTGTTTTTGACTCAAGTTCAAATCAAATAATTTATTTCTGCAGAAACTATTGTTCAATTTAAAATTACAAGTAAAATATAGAACATGTCAAGAGAAAAAAAATCAGTCATATAATTTTAAAATGTCCAATGAACATGAAACACAAAACAAAACAAAGAATTTTTAAATTAATTAAAAATGAGGTAGCAGAAGCTAATTGTGTTCTGTTATAGGGTGCAGAGGCATGGTTGAAGGATACAAACACATCTCTGGATCTATTCCTAGATCCAGACAGAACATTATACTCACTTTTAGGTCTAGGAAGAAGCGTAGCCAAGGAATACAATTACTCAAATTAAGAAATAAAAACTTTCTTATCTTTTTTCAGTCCCAAACTCAATTATGGAAGTTGATTCTATTATATAGATACACAAACATTTATTTTTTCACAAATTCCAAAAATAAATAAAGTTTGGCATAAATGCAACATGCCTTTTAAAAATTGGTTTTTTTTTTGACAATCTAACATGTTTCAGAGAATTCTCCTTTTGATTCAAATATATAGCCAAACAATAAAACCCTGGGACGGTAACTTTTGAATAAACATATAAAAAAAAACATAGCTCACATTGGAATTTCTCAGGAAGGTTCAAAGGTCTCACCAATAAGAGATAATATTTTCTGCTTTGGATTAGATTGATCACACTCAAAAGTTTTCAACTCATATTTGAGATTTAATCTAAATTTTTTACCATATTTTTCTAATTGTAATTTTATTGTGCAAGGTTTGGAACATCGGAACCATCCATTTTTATGCCGAGCAGTTATCTAAAGGAAGGAAACTGCCCGCGGCAATCTCTGGAGTCGAAGACGACCCACTGCAGATGGGCGGAGATTTCACGTTAGATCGAAATCTCAAGCTTGTCATGTCATACCCTAGTAAAATACCAGCAGACAGGCCTGCAATAGATCACATATTGAAGAACATGAAGTAAATGTTAAAAGATTTATTTAGTATAGAATATAACCTTTTAGTTTTAAATCGATGAAGACAGTTTGCTAAATAATTAGACGCGACGGGTCGGATAAATGTTTGAAACAAAGTATCATTTCTGTTCTATTAAGAATAATTGCATTTATTTGTAACAATTAATAACAATAAATAAATATATATTTTCCAGATTAAGAATTTTTAATGAACCCCTTAATCTAACCATAACTAGGATAGCTCTGATAGCTTGGTTGAGGAGTAGGATAGCTAGCTGGAGAATAGCTTGGAGAAAGTTGATAGTTTGGCTGGTAATAGCTTGGTGGAGATGGGTAGCTAGGCGGTGGAGTAGGATAGCTTGGATGAGGCCAATGATAATTAGGAGTCGGAGTAGGATAGCTGGGAGGGGGAGATTGATAGTTAGGCTTGGGGGATGCATAGCTTGGTTTAGGAGGTGGATAGCTAGGGTTGGGAGATGCATAGCTTGGTTTAGGATGAGGATAGCTAGGGTTGGGAGAAGAATAGCCAGGTTTTGAGTATTTATAAACCTCTCCTTCATATTTAACATCAGCTTTATATCCAGTATGATCATCAGCTAGGTAGGAAACCACCTGGATTCGTCCGTCCGGCAGGTTTACTCTGTACTCACCCTAACAAGTATCAATGCTAACTATTAATAACCATAAAAACTGTAAAACGATATTAGAGCTATTTTTATTGATGTATACAGTGCAAATCTTAAGCATAAGGAAACACTTCTTAAATAACTCAAAAAAAGTAAATTTTAAGAATTTAAAACTTATTGTATTTTTATTATTTGAAATTGATTTCTTTTTTTTCTCATTTTATCTCTAAAACTGTTTCTGTCAATTGAATCAAATCAGTTGGTCACTGCTGAAATGTTTAAGATATTAAAACTTAACTAAATAGTCACTAAATGTCCAGAAATGCAAATCATTAGAGAAGGCTGGCTCTTATACCTATGATAAAAGATTGGACTCTTTTTTCAATTTTCACCTTTGTTGCATATCCGTCCTTTTTCTCCCAAGCACTAAAGACCGGTCCATACTTCTGCGCTTGATCGGAGACATCATAATGATATTCATATTCACTCCGTCCTTCATACTCTCCGCCCTAGGGTAGAAATTGGCCATAGTAAGATTAATCAGTACTGCACTAACAATTTAATTAACAGCTAGCTACCCGTTTAACGTCTATGCAACATCGATAATTAAGGTTTCTCCACTTTGAGTTGAGATAGGGGAGTGTGATACATATGTATAATTATTCAAGGCTTATTAATATCTAAAAATTCTTGATCCCTTACTGCAGTAGTGAAGGTGCCTAGGAGGTTTAAAAAGAACTTTCAAAAAGACTTAAAACATAAAATTAAACAAGCTTTGTTTTTAAGTAAAGCTGCAACAGAAAAGCTTCGTGGACTTAATTTTTAGATCCTTGTAATGTTTAGAATATAGACACAAGTCTTACTGAATTTGTAAAATTATTTAACCCTATCCCCGCTGGGGTACTTGAAAACCAGGATACGCTGGGGGGGGGGTCAATTTGACCCCCCCCCTCTAAATCCCATGTTTTATGTCCAAATATGACAAATGATATCATTAGAAAGCTCTTGTGCTCTACTTTTAGAATCTGCAAAAAAATTTGCAAATTTGCGAAAATTGAATTTTTTATCGCAAAATCCAGTTTTATAGTAAAAATGTTTGCAAAAAAAAATTTGTCCCAAAAATGACAAATTATACATTTTTGAAAAGCCCTTGACCATGCCATTTCAAATATGCAAAAATTTTTGCAAAATTTTAAATAACCTGATTTTTAATCAAGAAAAACTAAAAATGTGCAAATTTTCTTTGACAGGTTTTTTGCAAAAAATTTGCAATTTTTTTTCGCAAAACTTGTGCAATCCGTTTCCTTATGTCATAGGCTTTCCAAAAAGCTAAATTTTATCAAAATCTGACAAGTGAAAGTGGGTCAAAACAAAGATTTAGTTTGCTACAGGCAAAAGCAGTCATTCAGGCAGTGTGCCTGAGGACTCAGGCAGTTAGTATTAAAGCCCGGTTTTAGGCCTAAAGGGAGGGCTTTGGGTATGTAAGAAAAGTCAGAAAATTTCAACAGCCTCAGACCAATACTTTTTGAGTTATGTAAAAAAAACTACAAGGGGGGTCAAATTGACCCCCCCCCCCCAGCGGGAATAGGGTTAATTTTCTGTTTCTTTCTGACCTTAATAGGATGTGGAGGAGGAGGATAGGATGGAGGCTGAGGTTGGTAGGAGGGAGAAGGTGCATTGTAAGTAGGAGGAGGAGGATATTGAGGTTTCGGAGGAGAATAATAAGGTTTCGGAGGAGAATAAGAAGGTTTCGGAGGAGAATAAGAGGGTTTTGGAGGAGAGTAAGAGGGTTTCGGAGGAGAATATTGAGGTTTAGGAGGAGAATACGAGTTGTAGGAGGGTTTAGGAGAACTATACACGGGAGGAGAAGGAGAGGTGTAAACAGGGGAAGGAGTAGTGTATGAGGGTGCAGGAGTATATGCTGGAGTATAGGAAGGAGTATAAGAAGGAGGAGAACTATATGAAGGACTAGGAGTTGTATACCCACCGTGAATCATGTAATCTGAAGACATAGAACTTGGCTCTGAACCCTAGAATATTATTTCTTAAATACTTTTTTATCATAAACTAGACTTGTGGAAGCGCCCTCTTTAAGCCAGAATTTAAGTGTAAATATAGAACTCATAATTCTGCGGATTTTTTGTAAAAACATTATTAGATAACAAAAACATTATTAGATAACAAAAACATTATTAGATAACAAAAACATTATTAGATAACAAAAAAAAAACATTATTAGATAACAAAAACATTATTAGATAACAAAAACATTATTAGATAACAAAAACATTATTAGATAACAAAAAACTATCAAGATTTCTTCCAAGATAAAATTTTTTCTTTTAACCATCCTTAAACTTGAGGTCTTGCAAGTTGCAACAAATAAATTGGATTGGATCGGTTCAGCCGTTTTGACGTTACAGACTGACAAGTTATAGACAAACAAGCCAAATTATATATATAAAAGATATAAAGTTTACCAGAGACGAAGTTTTTCTTGGAGGCGGTGAATAATCTCCGCCGTAGGATTTCCGAGGAAATCTCGCCTTCCGCCGCACTTTTACTATCTTTCTAGACTTTTCCATCCTTTCTTCTTCTTCGTCTTTCTCAGATTCCATATTCTTCATTTCCAGGGTTTCCTTTTTCTCTGATCTATACTTCCTAATTGAAGGGAATATGATCTATACTTCCTAATTAAAGGGAATATGATCTATACTTCCTTATTAATGGGGTTATGATCTATACTTCCTAATTAAAGGGAATATGATCTTTACTTCCTAATTAAAGGAAATATGTTCTTTACTTCCTAATTAAAGGGAATATGTTCTATACTTCCTTATTAAAGGGAATATGACCTATACTTCCTAATTAAAGGGAATAAGTTCTATACTTCCTAATTAAAGGGAATGTGATCTGTACTTCCTAATTAAAGGGAATATGTTCTATACTTCCTAATTAAAGATATGTTCTATACTTCCTAATTAAAGTGAATATGATCTATACTTCCTAATTAAAGGGAATATGTTCTATACTTCCTAATTAAAGTGAATATGATCTATACTTCCTAATTAAAGGGAATATGTTCTATACTTCCTAATTAAAGGGAATATGATCTATACTTCATAATTAAATGAAATATGTTCTATACTTCCTAATTAAAGGGAATATTACCTATACTTCCTAATTAAAGGGAATATGTTCTATACTTCCTAATTAAAGGAACTATGTTCTATACTTCCTAATTAAAGGGACTATGTTCTATACTTCCTAATTAAAGGGAATATGAGTTCTGAGCGACCCTTCATGAGAAGAGAATCGAATGTCCGATTATCAAGGGGTAATCTTTAAACCTTTGTCTGAGTTTTCTAACTGTAAAAATCACTAATTCTGCCAATTTCCTTCCTAGTCTTTGTTGTATAAACCCTCAAGCCACTCTGACAGAATTAGTGAGGAAAACAAGGAGATGTCGGTAAATTTTGCGGAGACAAAGGTTCAAAGGTTTAAATAATGAGCCCCTTGATATTAGACCGACAGTACCTTTAATTGAATCATTTATCTGATAAAAATAGTTTTTGCGGAGACAAAGGTTTAAAGGTTTAAATAATGAGCCCCTTGATATTACAGTACCTTTAATTGAATCATTTATCTGATAAAAATAGTTTTTGAAAGATTTATTTATTTTGAGCAATATCCAGATATTTTTCTTATTTGTTGCATCTTGTTGTTTTAAACCATGGATATAATAAGAAGACTGTGGTTTCATGGGGTTATAGGACTGTTATTGTACTTTAAAGCTCATTTCCATTTGAAGAATTGGACATGATCGATTCACAACAGTAAGTTTTAACCCTTTATCCAACCAAAGGCCGAATTTAAAGAATTGGAGCCGCGGCTTAAATTTAAGCCGCGACTCAAATATGGTTGGTTCTACTTAAAATTGTAGTCAATTTTTTAAGATTTAAGCTGGCGCTCAATTGAAACCGTTTTCAAGCAGATTTAAGCCGTGGCTCAAATTCATTAAATTCGGACACAATAATAAGTTAAACTTTGATATTTGATTCATACCGATCATTCCAAGTTTTTAAGGGTATCATCGTGAATCCTACATACCACTCTACAAATGGAGGGTCACTTATCACTTAAATTCCATACACAGTCTCTTTAAACTTTTATTCGTGAGAGAAAAGAAATATGTTTCTCAATGAAAAAGTAGTTTTCATGCATGTATCAATATTGAAATAAATATTTTAAAATATCCGAGAGATACTCCTGTATCCTTAGGGGGATAGAACATATAAAATTGAATAAGAAAGTGTCTCGTGGAATACAAAATGGAGAATCTGAAATCCATTAGCATGTACAACAGTATCATTCAAGGATTAAAAGTTAGCTGAAAGTTGGATGGGGTGGAGGGAACGGGTTTAGCAACAACTTTAAAATAAGTAAAAAAAATAGATTGAAACAAATAATGGTGTACAGTGGTTACCAGATAACATGAGATTGATTGTTGTCTCCTGTTTTATCGTGAAATGTTGATTTTCTAAATTGATTTATTTCTAATAATTTTATAAGAAAATCCGTAAAGAAATTTCATAATTTAAAAAAAAATGACGAAAGCAATTCCAGTTTGTTTTGTTTTCTCTGCATTTTGATAAAATGTACAGATTTACCCACAAAGGAAGAAATCTTCATGGCAACCCTTGAGTACGTCATCTTAAAGTAAATTTAAAATCTTACATGTCTTTTCATCATTTAACTCCTTCTAATGAAGATCAGATGTTCTATACCTCAGATATTTCAAACTATGAATTCTGTTCGATCAAATAATCTCAGGATTATCTATTAAAAGATTAGAAAGTTTTGGATCAGGGTTTGTTTAAGAATTTCCATATTCGTTCTTCATTATCTCTTGGTTTGATTTCTACCTGAATTTAAGAATATCTAATCTGTCTCGGGAAGGTTTAAACTCTGGGTCTGGGACGGAGTTGACAACTATGACGGAAACTCCGAGTATATAGAACCAGCTGAGCAACATTTTCTGGAAAATATGAAAATACAATTATTTAGAGTAAGAAACGGGAAAGATGGAAAAATATTGAATACATTAGTTGTGAGTGGATTAGACAAAAACAGTTTTGTTCAAAGTTTCTTTCTTATCATATCTATGTATTCCATATATATTTATTTATATGTGCTCATTGTTTATAGCTGATATTGTACTTTTATAATATTGTAATATTGTAATATTGTAATATTGTAATATTGTAATATTGTCATATTGTAATATTGTAATATTGTAATATTGTAATATTGTAATATTGTAATATTGTAATATTGTAATGTTGTAATGTTGTAATGTTGTAATGTTGTAATATTGTAATATCGTAATATTGTACTGATGAAACCAATTCTTTGGATATTTTTCGGAAACTTCGTCTTGCAAACTATTTCAAGCCGGTCACTCCCTTTAATTCGTGAAAATTTGTATTGCCGCCATTTTGAAGTATTTGTAAACGTACATAAATGTATTTACCAACATGCTTTAGTATGATTTATAGGAATGAATTGAGATGGATTTATATAAACGAGGTAATTCTATAAATATATTAGCAACCATAGTATAAAGTGGAATATTAAGAAATATAAGCATAATTTTCAATATTTAGTAATGTTTTTATACCACTTTTATTCTACAGCAATGAAAAATTCTAAGGATCAAAAATCCAGGGTCTTCCAAGAAAGAATGAGACCAAGATGAAACCTGGAACACAAAATCTGATCTTATAAATAAACCCTGTAATATTGTACAATGTACTTCATAACTATATTTTTCTCATTTAAGAAGACATTTTTTTAAGAGTAAATCTTCTTAAATATATTATTTGTTCAAACAATATTTGAGATCGAAAAACTTAGTTATAAGATTTAGTATATATTTTGTGCAGGTTTCTTCTAGGTTCTGAAGAAATTCACTAAACACGTATTTTTAAAACTTATTTCATGCGTTTTATGTAGTTCGCACCATAGTCCTGACTCTCAGCACAACGGAACATAGACTGGGTTTAGGTTTGGGTTCAGGGGTTATATATATATGCAATACATGGATCTAGGTTCTCACGGTAGCTCAGAGTGTACCCGGAGATACATGTGAGGTAACAGTACTGGATTACTCCCCGGATCAATCGATCAATCTAGGACTGCAGGAGCTGATACAGTGATCTATCATTATCAGGTTTTTATTAGTCAGGATATGTATCAGGGGCGTAGTTAAGAATTTGTCCAAGGGGCTTTTTCCGATTTGAAAAGGTTGAAGGGGGAGGGGAAACTGCAGTACAGTACAGTGCAAGATAAGACAACTTAAAACTTTTTATAAACAACTATCAAAAAGTTGACTTTTATTTTGCCTTAAATATAGTCTGTTTGTTCAAACATTATTATACAAAGAACGTCCAGAAGTATCCGCAACGACTAATTAGACTATAAAATAGAGCTGATAAAATAGAGCTGATAAAATAGAGCTGATAAAATAGAGCTGATAAAATAGAGCTGATAAAATAGAGCTGATAAAAATAAAGCTTTGCTTTAACTAATTTTTATATTTGAGGAAAAATATTTTTCTCTTCTCTCTGAGATTAAGATTTAGATAGATATATTGAAGAATTCCTTATTTTTCAAAGAGATTTAGAGGCTGGATGGTAAAAATGGAAAAGAGGGGGGGGGGTAGCGGGAAAACTATACAAATGCAGTGCACAATTCCTGTAATTTTTATTATTTTGCCACTGTTTCCTCTGAAAATTTTTATTTGAAAACAGCTTGAGATCTTGTTTCTATCACAAATGTCAGGGAAGTAATTGGAAAAATGCTGATAGTTTTTTTGTGTGAAAGTGTGCAGATTTAGGATCCCTGTGAGGGTTGTTTATCAACGTGTAAGATTGTTTTGAATGCTGACCTGAATATGCTAAACTTAACCTAGGAAAAAACTTCAGGGGATTATGGTTACGACTTTGTGCGGTTATGACGTCTCCAGTTTTCATTTTAAATAAACATCTGCAGTACGAACTACCAATCCTAAAATGATATCACCCGATAGATATTCTCTAATCTGTTTCAGTGTATGTATTAAAATATTTTAAATAGTTCACCGGACAAAATGAACATATGAACAAAAGAAAAAATGTGAACAAGAGAAACAAGAATAACTAAAGGACAAGAGGATCAAGAAGAACAATTAAAAAGAAATATTAAAACAAGAGGAACAAGAGTAATTAATGGAACAAGAGGGGAAAGGCAAACAAGAGGAACAAGAGAAATAAGAGGAAAAAGAGGAAAAAGACAAACAAGAGTATCCAAGAAAAACAAGAAGAGCATTGGTAATAAGTGGAACAAGAGGAACAAGTGTACTGAGAGGAATCAGAGAATCAAAAGGAACAAGAGTAATAAGAGGAGTAAGAGAATCAAGAGGAACAAGAGTCATGAGAGGAGTAAGAGAATCAAGAGGAACAAGAGTAATAAGAGGAGTAAGAGAATCAAGAGGAACAAGAGTAATGAGAGAAGTAAGAGAATCAAGAGGAACACGAGTAGTAAGAGGAGTAAGAGAATCAAAAGGAACAAGAGTAATGAGAGGAGTAAGAGAATCAAGAGGAACAAGAGTAATGAGAGGAGTAAGAGAATCAAGAGGAACAAGAGTAATGAGAGGAGTAAGAGAATCAAGAGGAACAAGAGTAGTAAGAGGAGTAAGAGAATCAAGAGGAACAAGAGTAATGAGAGGAGTAAGAGAATCAAGAGGAACAAGAGTAATGAGGGGAGTAAGAGAAACAAGAGGAACAAGAGTAATGAGAGGAGAAAGAGAATCAAGAGGATCAAAGCATAAGCAAGGCAAACAGGAGGAACACCAGTAATAAGAGGAGTAAGAACAAGAAAAACAACAATATGAGGTAATGAGGAATGAAGAAAACAATAGTAACAAGTAAAACAAGAGGGACGAAAGGTGAAATTAAGTAAAACCAGATGAAAAGAAAGAAAAAAATACGAAAATGAATAATAAAAACCTTGAGAAAAAAATTAATGAGAGAAATGAGGAAAACAATACAAACAAAAGTAATCAGAGAAGCAAGAAACGAAAGAAACTAAAAGATTACTTACAACAGGTTTTATCAACTGTTTCCACCAAATTGATTAGGACGGTACCTAAAAGCCTACAGATAACGTTTAATTGGATTTAACACACTAGGAATTTAGAAATACCATATGAATAACAAAAGAGCAATTAGGTGTGAAATTTAATTGATAATAATTAATAATCCGTTTTATTAAGTTTGGGATTTTATTATATTTTTTTAGTCTTATCTTTATAATTTCTGCTCAAACCCCAAATTTGATGAGACAGTACGTATATATCTTGCTGATACAGCTTGTTAACAAACCATCGTGGTAAACCACAGCATTGGAGTAGAATAACGATAAGAGAAACAGCTAGGTTCCAGGTTCATGGCATCTCTTGGTATACCTATAGATACGGCTGGATTATTCTATATAATATTATTTAGTAGTAATCTTTATTTGTTTGTCTGTTTGTTTGTCTGTTTGTTTGTCTGTTTGTTTGTATCCGATCATGCTGTAGAGATACAGCTCAAGTTCTAGTATTCATATCTCTTGATATACTATGCTGGATTATTTTATAAACATATATCAAAAAGGAACCTTTGAATCCTCAAATCAAATTATTTAAAACTAATCCGCGAACCCAATTATTTAAACTAATCCTCGAACCCAATCATTTAAATTAATCCTTGAACCCAATTATTTAAACTAATCCTCGAACCCAATTATTTAAAGCTAATCCTCGAACCCAATTATTTAAACTAATCCTTGAACCCAATTATTTAAACTAATCCTCGAACCCAATTATTTAAAACTAATCCTCGAACCCAATCATTTAAACTAATCCTCGAACCCAATTATTTAAACTAATCCTCGAACCCAATTATTTAAATTAATCCGCGAACCCAATTATTTAAACTAATCCTCGAACCCAATTATTTAAACTAATCCGCGAACCCAATTATTTAAAACTAATCCTCGAACCCAATTATTTAAACTAATCCTCGAACCCAATTATTTAAAACTAATCCTCGAACCCAATTATTTAAACTAATCCTTGAACCCAATTACCCGGAAGATTGTTTATTAAAAGCTCAAACCAAGTTTAACAGAACAAACTTGAGTAATATAAAGAGTTCTAATAAATTCATGGGAAATTAAATTGTGCGGACATCAAACCCCCCTTTAGTTATAGATAATGAAGGATAAAGTTTACATGAAACAAGGATTATAGATAATTAGGCTTTGCGCCTATCTTCTATTTCAATTGTGAAAATATTCTCTTTACACATTGCAAAACAAAAACAAACAAAAAAATTCGTGGATTTAAAAAAAATCGTGGATTTTCAAAATTTTCAAAATTAGAATTTTGTTTGAGGCAAATTTTTGAAAATTCGATCATCCATAAACCTTCCCTGGGGTCAGGTGAGGTCCCACAGAAATGAAGGATACAGTTTACATTAAACAAGGATTGTTAGACTCCTTTTAAGTTTTCTGACAGAGAATTTCGTTTTAATTTTAAGTAAAAAATTTTAAACAACGGTACTCATTAAATCTTTAAATCTTGATTGATCGGTAGTTTGGAAGATATCTTCGTTTTTTAGCTCAAAAATTGTGTCATTCAGAAAATTTCCACAATTTGATTCCGCAGACTAAGCTTTTAAGGATACCTTTGTGTGTCAGACATACCACTCCATAAATGGAGAATCACTTGAAGTTAAGACTATTCTAAGTCGCTCACCACATTTTGAAAATCCCGGAATTAAGGGAAATACAGTGTTGGGCTATGGAAAGAATGTTACATTAAAATCGCTGACAGGAGAGGATACCGCGTAAAGCGGTCAGTTTAGTTGAACTCCCATTGTAAAACCATGGCGGAAGCACAAATCCTACCTCAAAATTCGAGTTCAGCGGTACCTTAGAGGGAAAAAAAAG